GCTCATCAGAATGTTGCTGTTGCTTCTCCTCAGTGCATCTCTAAATCCATAATTGGAATTTCTTTGCCATTTGGGAGCAGCACTGTGGGAAGGGGAGTGACTCTGGTTCTTGCTTCAGGTGCAGGTTGGTGGTGCCAAGAAGAGAATGTCGTGCATGGCAGTTCTTCATTCCTGCTGTCACTGGTGTCCTGGTGTTGCATCATTTACAGAAATAACATATACATATAATTAAGGAAGATTTTTAACTACTTGCTTTACAGAATTTGAATAAAACATTACCGAGGTAGTTTTTGCCAATCTTAGTGTAAATTCATCGGTCTCTGAGGAGGTTTCACAGAATATGCACTGTAGGTACTTTGATTAGTGAGAAACTGGCTTTGATGTCACCGTTTTCTTCTTTATCTTTCTCCAAAACAGGAAGTGAACAAGCAAAAATATCAATATTAGGTGTATTTAGTCATGCAGTCATATTTTTCTGATGACTCTTAATAAATTATCTCACCAGCAGTCTGGTAACAGCAGAGCAGCTTTTGCTGAGACAAGGGTTTGTGTCCCAGCTTGTGTGCTCTGAAGTTGTCCAGGCCCTTTCAGGGTGACCTTTGTCTGGGAGGGACAGGGGTTGTGCTGCACCTGAACTACACACAGAGGCTTTTAGAGCCTTCCAAGATAAAAGCCAAGGAGGTGGGGGTGGGATTAGAGCTGCAGGATGTGCAAAGAAAAAAAAAGTCTCTAAAGTGAATAGAGATTCTCAGATGAATAATTGTGGCTGCAGAACTTGCCAAAGCTCCACTCCAGCCGTTGGTTTCCTCCAGCTCAGCTGAAACAGAACTGAAGGTGCCTCTAAAGGTGCCTCTAAAGATGAGTTTTAACATTCCAGGCTGGGGAAGCAAAAGGATTAGTTTCTGCTGCTGGAAGAGGAGCTCTGTGGTGCATAAATTAGGGGTTTATGTGCACTGTTTGGGCTACAGTTTTTATACAGAACAGACTTTAACTGGAGAGTGGTTGATGGGCAATATTGCAGCATTTGAGTACTAGGCAGTAAATGCTTCAGACAATTAACCTGGGTTTCTCACACCCCTCTTAGTTTTAAGGAGGAGGAGGAGGGTGGTGACTTCAGTTCCCTGCCCTCCTTTTCCAAGTGGAACATCACCTCTGGAGCCCAGACTGGGGGTATCCAACATGAGGCTTCTACAGACATGGAGCAGATTTTTTCCTGAGCCAGACTCCTGCTGCTCCCGTTTGTATCAGTGGCAGAGCTGGCAGGGATCCCCTCTGAAACTCAGGCCAGCTTTAGAGGTGTAAACTTAAGGTTTACCTTGAGTTGGGCACCTGCACTGGCACAGTTGGAGCTTCAGAGAGGGTTTTAGCCTAAAAGAAAACCTCCAGGATAACCTGGTGATAAATGTGAAGGCAGAGCAGAGGGTGGGTTCCAGCACGAGACTGTTTTGGAAGGCACTGCACAAGTCATTACCTGGATAGATGGGAATTAAAAGCCAGAGTGGAGTTGTACATCCATATAAACAGCCTTGAGTTTAAGTAACACTCTGAAACTAAAAATCCCCGGAGCAGTTGGTGAGCTGGAGGTTTGGGACAATTACTTGAAGCTGGGTGACATTTTTAGCTGAGGTTGCGTGGTTTCATTTAAACTTTATTAAACAAACTGGAGCTCCAGTATTCCCTGGAGAGTTGGATGCAGCACTAATCTCCTGTTCAAGTGTCTCCAGCTCTCCTGGAAACCCTCCAGCTGAGGTAGCACTGAGGTCTGTGTTAGCAGAGTCAACCCAGCCACAGTGACAGCCTGTGGCTTCTCCTTCTGGGGAGAAGACCATTTCTTTCAGTGGTGACTTTTGGAAGTGGGCAGATATATATATTTTTTAAGAATTAACATACAGTATCTAACAACTGAAACTTGCTTTTGTTACCTTGAATGAGAACCTTCCAGTAAAAAGTTCACTTCTGTGATTTGGAGGTGTGAAGAATTAGATCTGCAGCGATTTCATCGCTCTCCCCACAATAATTTTGAGGTGCCATTGGGAGGTGTGATGTGGAGGTGGCTTTTGCTGCACTCAGGAGATGGTTTTTGCTGCGTTGACTCCCATGAACTTATTTTGGGAAGTTTGAAGTTTTCCTCTGTCAGTTCATGAATGCAACAACAGTGTATTTAGTAGTGTCTGTCTCCTGTGTCTGATGGCAGCAGCTTGTGAATGGTCTTTTGGAGGTGTTCGGAGAGAAATGGCTCCTCAAAGGGTTTGGGCTGTGGAAAAAGTGAATAAACTTAATGAAAGAACTTCGGGAAGCAGGGTTGTCAACTCTATTTACATCTAAAAGTAGGATTAAAAACACCTCCGTGGTCTGTGATGCTTCACGTGCAGGGCTTGTGGAACTGAGAGGAAAAAGGTGGCTTTGGGGGGTGTGAGTGTTCTAGTTCCTAGTGTTGGTGTAGTAATAGATGTATTGCTTCCAGAAATAATTCCTTTAATAATTTAAGACTTAGTTTTATTTCCTCTCAACACCCCATCACGTTCTATCTCTGTGTTGAGTAATTGGTACTTTTGGTGTTGGGATTTTGTGTTCAAATATTTTGTCTTCCAGCCTCCCAGTAAACACTGATAATATCTTTGATTTATACTCTGCTCATTTCAGTTGTACTTCGGTGTGCCTGCATCTAAATGTCTAATGAACTTCTCTTTGCAAAGCTTTGCAGATGATTTTAAATGGGCAGCATCAGTCATTTTAATGGCTCCTGGGGAAGGAATGGAAGTAATTACCTTTCCTGTTAGTCCATGACCTGTTTTGTAGTTTCTGCATGCAAACAATAATATTAAGTGGTCTCTGGCACTAATAACTTGCTTTTGAAATATAACATGGGCTGGCAGTGTCAACTAATCATTGTTATTAAATATCCTGATAGTTTAGTTCTCTTTGAAGGTCTTGGTAGTGTTGGTGACCAGCCTTGTTCCCAACCTTCCCCTCACCTTCACTGGCACTCCAGTCACTCCTGCATGTCATGGTAAATATGTTTATATGGGATTTTCCTGTTCCCAAGCACTTCCTGAAGTCCACGCTGCTCTAAGCATCAGGTTAATTAATGCTTCGTTTGCATACAGATTTTTTTGCCAAATGACCACCAACCTGATTAGATGAACTGTGAGGAGATCAAAAAAATGAATATGGGGAGAAAAAAACCCCCCAGAATGCAGAGTCTGTTTTTATTAAAAGTGTGTGTGTGTGTAGGGGTATAAAAACTGCAATAAATGAGAATATTTTCCTCAAAGAACTGTTGCTAGATTTAGTCTGAGATCCAGGTTGTTTGCTTTACCTTGCCAAAAGCACAAAGCCAGGAGCTTCCCCTTTCCCATGTTCCCTGAGCAATCCCAGGCTTTTGCTCATTGAACACCTGGTGGGGAGTTGTCCCTGTTGGCTGGAAATGTTCTGTAGTTCTGCTCTGCATCAGAGGTGAGAGGAGGTGAAGCACTTCAGTTCTTTCTTCTTTGAGTGCTCATTAAAGCATCACATGTAAAGGCACAGGCACAGCCAATGCCTCTCTGGACAGATGTTGTTATGAAATAGTGAGATTTAAACACCACATGAGCCAGGTAACAGCGTTATCCCAGCATTCTTCTGCCAGGTAATTAAAGCATGCTTGGTTTAGTAAAACAAGATCTGTGATAATGCTACTCATCACTGTGCTAATTGATAGCTCTGGTGCTGTGTGGGTCACACTGGAGGTTTATTTCTTAGCTGCTTTGATTTTATTTCTTTTTCCTGGTCAGAAGTCCCCAGAATCTGTAATAAAACTTGAGCAGAAACATAACCCAATTTCTGGTGTTACACACAATTGTTAAGTGGAGCCAACGGTCTGTTTTGGTGTTGACAAGGATTAAAATTAGGGAGGAATGTTTTAATGTGATTTACTTTTAAGGATTGATTTTTCTTTTGATGAATGAATTAAGTGAAATGCAGAAGTTTTACTGAGGGCTGGATTAAGCCCTCGAGGGTTCTGTTTTATTTTGGCTGACAAAAAGCCCTGCCAAGCCTTTGGCCATGTCAGTGTTGATTCTGTCTGGCTCGTGATATCAGGGTTAGGAAAATGCCTTACTATAAATACAGTGGCACAGCTCCCATGTGCAGCATCCCTTCTGCAGCTCCTGGAGGAGAAATAACTCCCCCCTGCACCACGTGGGGACTTCCAGGGGGCTCTGGGCCAAGCTGTGCTATTCCTGAAGCTTGGCTTTGGACAAAGGCCTTGTTTTGTTCCACGAGATACTTCCCTTCTCAAACACTTTGTTAGAAAGTTGCCTTGTGCCTGTAAAGTTCTTGAGGGCTTCCTGCTTTCCAGGAAGCTCCCAACCCGGGCATGGATGGGAGGGCAGCAGGTTTTCCACGTTTACAGCTGTGGACAAGCCTGGGCAGGAGGAGCTGGCAGGCAGATTTTGGCTGTGCAAGGGAATCTTAGGTGAAGAATTCCACGTAGTCCCGAGTTTTATCCCTCCTAAATCATGCCTCATGAGCATGTAGTGGTGGGGAGGTATTTTATTTTTTGAATACGGAAAATCAGACTTTACAGGATGAAGCTACTTGAAAGATGCTGTTGGAGCTGCTCTTAATAACATTCCCCACTGTTGGTTGCAGATAATTTCTCTGGCTTGCATGCAATGTAAAACTGATCATAAAACTGGCTCATTTTCCTTTGTGTGACAATAATGGGGCTGAATTTAGAACAAATTATAATACACCATTGAAGTCAGAAAACTTAGGCAGTGAACTGGTGTTCACACTGATGTTAACTATAGGTCTGCTTCCCTTCTCTCTTTTCAAGCAAGATTAGATTATTAGATCTCATTTTCCAGTAGTCACATTTCCCCATTATTTAGGTGAAATCATGCATTTAATTTCTTTGTGTCTCTTTATTGGAAAGGTAAATGTAAGGCATACAGAATTCTGGGATTCCTTAAGCTGTTACCTTTCTCTAACACCTTTATTGACTGGGTTTTTTTTCCCCCCCTCTGTTCTCACTCAACAGTTACAGACATAGAGCTGAAGAGGCTGAAAGATGCTTTCAAGAGGACTTGTGGCCTCTCCTATTATATGACCCAGCAGTGCTTCATCAGGGAAGTTCTTGGTGATGGAGTCCCTCCAAAAGTTGCTGAGGTGAGCTCTGAACCTGCTCTTTTCCATTTGGGAAGCCAAATGCAGTGGATCCCGTGGAGCTGTGGGTGTGCACACACAGATGTGCTTCTACAGGCCCGGGAACTAATTGAATTTCTTTCCATTTTTTCCTGGTTTTCCCCTAAGTGTTGACAAAGAGGATGATACTACTGGCTTCTGTAAACAGTTTGGGTTCTGTGGGGGTGTTTCAGGCTTCCCAGGAAAATTTTCAACGTGTGTGAACACCAGGGAATTAAAAGGAGGGAAATTATTTGCCCATGGGTTAAAACCTCTCTTCAGTATTAATTTCTGAGGGTGTTTTCTGGGTTCTTTGACTGTTGGTAGCCCATAAAACTAAACAAACAAAAAAATCAATTGCATACAATTGATTTGAAATAATTCATAACAAAATTCTCAGCATTTTATATTAGCTTGTACTATTGTGTCCCTTTTATGTCAATATTAAGGATTAAATTACTGATTTAGTCACAAATAGAGGTTCTGGGTTTTCACCTGTCTGCTGGCCACTCTCTATTTTATTTTTTAAAAATCTGTCCTTAAAGACACAATTTTGGTGATGATTCTGTCCTTTAACACTCATCATGGTTATACAGCAGTTCTTGGGTTTCCAGGTGGCGAAATAAAATTAATGGAAGAGTCATAATTGGTTTTTGATGGCATCTCATCAGAACTCATCTCAAAATTCCAGTGCCAATGATGGTACTTGTCAGGCTCAGGCAATGCAGGGTCATATCTGGGAGCTTGAATACTGTAAATTTGGACAAAATTTGGGTTTGATTCTGCTCATACTGAAAAGGGGGGCTTTGTAAATGCTGGCTGCAGGATGGGGAGAGGCAGGCAAAGTCATCAGGCAGCTAAAGACCTTGTTCTGGCTTTTGAGCCTTTCAGTCATTAAAATAGATCATTTGGAGCCTCAGGTTGCTGGGCTGGCTGCTCTGCATGTTCTGAGTAATAGTTATTCATGTCTGAGTAGTGATGGGCCTTCAGGAATTTGTTAAATTAAAAACACAGGAGTTGTGTAGCAGGAACACAGAACAGGGAACTGAAACCAGGGGAACTCTGGTCGGCAGTTTGCATGATTGTCACACACACAAACCATTATTTACATGTTCAGGACAGGAGTGTTCTCCAAAGATCTCTTGGCAAATGGAGTTGGGGATAATAATAAAATGAACTGAAGAGCTGTGCTGTGTCTGTGTTGTTTAACTGCAGGAGAGCTGGTCAGGTGGGGAGAACCATGAACAGCTTTTGGTTTTAAATGCAGGGAAATAATGGAATCACCATCTGCAGTTGTGGGCACCTTGATAGTAGAAGTGTTGTGCAGAGGAGGTGGAAGGACAGAATCATGATGATGATGATGTTTCAAGAAGGCTTTTTTTTCATAGTTTTCTATTTTAGGCTGTGAAGGAGAACAGCGTTGAGAAAGGAGCTCCTAACTTTGGCCAGTGCAGTCATTTCAGTGACTCATGAGATGATATCTGTTCTAAATACCCACATTATGATTGTGAGGTGGTTTGTGCACAGCATTCAGTGATCCTGACTGAGGAGCTGAGTGTCAGTGCAGCTTCTTCTCCAAATGTGACTCACTGGTTCCCAAGCTGCAGCCCCAGAGAGGCAAGGAGGAGAGGGATGATGCCAGCAGGGACAGCAGGGACACGTTGAGGGGGCTGCCAGAACAGGAACACACACTTCCCAAGGACTGGGAGAGGAGAGGGGTCAGAAGGATAAAATCAGGAGTGATTCCAGGACATTTTATGCTCTGGAGAAAGGAACCAGGAGAACGTCTTGAGCATCTCCTGCTCCCCCAGCAGCCTTCACTGGAGCTCGTGGGCACAGGGCCAGGGATTGGGACCCAAAGGGAACTGCTTGGATAGGCTGAGGCTGCTTTTGAACAGAAAAGAACCATCTCTTTATACTCTTCATGAAAAATAAGGTGGCAGACTCAAATCTTACAAAAAAGCATTACTTTGTACCATGTAATTGTCCTGAATTTTACATTGCGAAATGTAAATTGCTCTGATAGTCTGGGTGTGGCTATTTTAAGTAAAGCTGCAACAGTATTAAGTAATTTTGGAAAATTGCATCATATTTTCATGGTGCATATTGCTACAATTTTCTCAAATAGCACATTAATGTGAAAAATTGTGGAGCCCCTTCTCTAGACATGCACACTAATCTGTCTTATATGTTGTTCTGTGACCACTCAGTGTTTATAAACTCTTCCCAAGGAATGGTTAAGCAGCTAAACTCAAAGCAATGCCAGCTGCCCGTGGTCATAATTACATATATTAAATACAGATACACTGGGCATTCTCAGAGAATTCCTCTTCTGTGTTTGTATCAGGAGCAGACAATGCATTGAAGTAATACATAGATGTAATATTTGGCATTCAGCTGATACCATAACTGAGATGTACAAAGTTCAACAGAAGTGAGGGGATGTTTTAACTGCATATTTTAAAAAAGCAGTGATTCCAGTGTGTAACATAAAGGTAAAATGCCCACATGGGCTGTGTAGCCTTGAAGGCACCTTTTGAAAACAGAATAATTAGCCATAAAAAGTGTGGAATTCAAGTCTCTGCCGTGAAGCCCATACAATCCTTGTGCCCAAATAAAGCCCAAATTTAGTTTTAATAATTTAGCCCTTCAAGCATTTGGGAAGGGATTAAACTTTAGTAATAGAAGAGGATGAGCTGAGCACCCTGTGGAAATGAGTGTGCTTGGGCAGAGCTGTCTGAGGCTCTGCAGAATGTTTGCTGGAGGATTAAATCCTCCTCTGTTATTGGTCTCATTTACACTGATGTGCCTGCAGACATATTTTAATAGCTTTAAGTGGATAACAGTGGGAAGGGGCTGGATGGGGTGGACCAGGAGAGGATTTTCTGCAGGTTTCTCCAGGGAGTCTGCAGAGCAGTGGTAGATCTGGTGTAGCCGCTCTGGGTTAGGTGTTCCCTTATCTCCTCCTTGCCACCACAGCACTGTGGGGCTTGGCCAGGTCTAACCAGTGCCCTTGACAGCCCAGGACTGGTTTTGTTTGGTCACTCCCAGTCCTGGCTTAGTTTTGCCTTGAGGTGGAAACCACCCCTGTGATAGTGCAGTGACTCACGGCGCTCTGACCAGCCTGGCCTTGAGGATTCAGCCCTGGGCTTGAGGGGAAAGAGGGGATAGAAAGAGGGATTTGGGTTCCAGGAGCTTTCTTCTTAGTCCAGTTGTGAAGCTCTTGTAGAATCCCAGCTCATCAGGTCCTCGAGGAAGCACAGCTCAGGCTGAGCTTTGTCATCGGACGTTTCTGACGCTCATTTTTGAGCCTCACACCATCATCCTAAAGAGTCTCAGAGGTGACATGTGCCACCATCGGCAGGTGTGGAAGTTAGCAGCCATATAGTATATTCTTTGGGAATTTTCAGTTGTCTTCTTCTGCCTTTTTAATAGGAAAAGCTGCAGGTTCAGCCCTCCCAGCGATGTCACTGCAGCTGCTCACAGAGGTTTCCTCTCAGTGCTGCTGGTTTTGTTCCACCTTCACTCAGAGCTGTCTCTGAAAAGTGTCACTTAGTGATTTACATTATTGAAGTGATTAAACTGCCAAGGAAGCTAAATTTTCCTTTATTAATACCAAATAGTGGTCAGCAAATGACCTCAAAAGCTCCTGTTTTTAACAATGCAGGAAGATTTTATTTTCTCTCACGTCCATTTCCAGTGTTCAGCTGCTTGTTTTAAGGTAATTAAACCTTTTGTGGCAGGATTTTGTTGTATTTTGGTTTAGAAGTGTAAAAGGTTCACATGAAATATCGAATCTGTCCACAATAATTCTGAATCTGCTATTGGTATTTGGCTAAATTGTTATGTAAGGAATATTCTCAAGGCTTTACTGGAGAAAAGTGAAAAAATCAGTACATTAAAAAAAAACCAGTACACATCCTGGTTTTAGTACTGTTTATTTAGATTGTAATTCAGATGCAAGCAAAGTAAACACTGTTTAAAATACAACACTCTTCCTAGTAGGAATTGATCTCTGGTCCTTTGTCTTCCCCTCTGAAAAAGTCCTATTTAATAAATAAGTTCAGCAAATAAAGGCTGCTGTCCAAACCACGAGCAGTGAGAAATCCCTTTGTTCTGCTCTTTCCCAGTAGTTCCTCAGCAGCCAGACTGGATCCTTTCTCCTTATGCTCAGATGCTCCCTGTGATACCTGTAAGAAAATCAATTTATAAGACACACTGAAATAAGAAGTGTAAGAATAACAGATAAGTTCTGGCTGCTTTAAATTCTAATACCCGCTGGAGATTCCTGTCTTGGGATCCTGATGGAGTGCTGCTGTTTGTAGGAGTAGATTTGGGATTGCAGGAGGAGCCTGTGTTGGAGGAGCAGTACAGCACATGTATTTTCGTGTCCACTCTGGAGAATTAAAGCCAAGGTGATGAATTGCAACAAGTGAGTTGGTAATTCTTGTTTGCTGGAAGGAGTTGCTGTCTGTCCTAAAACAGCAGAGTGACTTCATGTCTCGTGGATCAGTGTTGAGTCACTGCTCAGGTGCTGATGGGGCACTGAGCCTGCAGCACCCAGGCTTTTCCTGGGAAAGGCTGCAGCCTTTTTCTTGGGAAAGGTGAATTCTTCAGCCCTTCCTGACCTGTGGCTTTTCCTGGGAAAGTTTTCAGCCTTTCTCGTGGGGAAGGTCAGTTCTTCAGCCCTTCCTCAGCTGGCTTCAGGTGCCGCTCCGTGGATCTTCCATAACTTCTGGCTGGAATTCTTGATCTCCAAAGCTTTCTCTTGGAAGCAGGTTGTAAATCCTGCTCTTAGAGCAGGGCACTAGACTGGAGCAATCCCTCCAGCAGCAGCTGCAGTGTTGGGATAGTTCAGGCAGAGCTGCTGGAAGGTTGGTTTGTTGGTTTTGGTGTGTCCCACCTTTCTGAAGCAGCAGTTGTTTGTGTCTTACTGGAAGTGCCTCAGTGAAACACCTGATGCTCCAACAATCCCCCTGATGGTTCTGAGACTATCCAAGCCCAGCCTGGAGGAGATTTCACCTTCATTTCCCTGCTAAAGAAGTCTGGGGAAATAACCCCATGAGCAGGCCAGAAGCTGCCTTCACTGGAGGGTTCTGACGTGGTTTTTGATATTGCTCTTCATGACAAGTACCTGTGTTTCACTGTACCCTGGCAAGGCTGTTTTATAGGTACCAGAAGAGCTACAAAAATGTAACAATTCATGTTTGAAGCCTGTTTAGGTGACTGGGAGGAGACAAACCTAAAACCCACATGAGATGGAGCCTCAGTCTAAGCTGTTGCTGTTACTTCTGCCCTCTGTGTTTGCCCTGCCTTTGGTTTTAACTTCTCTGGTTTCCTCTCCTAGGTTATCTACTGTTCATTTGGAGGAATATCCAAAGGGCTGCACTTCAATAACTTGATAGTTGGATTAGTTCTACTCACAAGAGGCAGAGAGGAAGAGAAAACAAAATGTAAGTGGTGTAACTTTTAGCAGCAGCAACAAGATTGTGGGTAGGGAGTGCAAATACACTTCTGGAAAGCAAACAGGAATTGTGGTCCCTATTCCTGTGTGTAACCAGGGCATACATTTTCCAATAAAGACAGGATCTTTTAAACATTTTTAGCTGTAATTTTTGAAATTCAGTTCATTTTTGTTTCTATAATCATCAAAATGAAATATATGCTGTCATCTAAGGATCCTCCAGAAAGCCTGGGGATCTCTGGCTGTGGGCAGGGGAAGGAGGATGGCCTTGATAATTTTCAAAACAAATGAAAGCATCTGCCTGCTGACTTGTGTTGTTTTGTCTTCTTTGTTAATCTGACTTGATAGTATTTATTTTGCTTTTGATTACAAAGGTAAAAGAGACTGGACATCTTGACCTGAACTTTGTTTTGAGCTCTGCTGGAACTGGATCAACCAGAGTTTTTATTCCTTCAGTCCTTGCACAGCCTTTGGCATTCCCAACCCATTGTAAACTTAAAATCTGACCAATGCCACTGCCATAGTTGTTGACACACATCTCTGTTTCCTCAGATATTTTCAGTCTCTTCTCTAATGAATCTGGGAGTTATGTGGTCCGTGATGAGATGGAGAAGATGCTGCATGTGGTTGATGGGAAAGTCCCAGAGTCACTCAAGAAATGTTTCTCGGAGGTATCTCATCCAGCTTTTCCCCTACTGCATTTCCAAGAAAATAAAAATTACCTTAAGTAGTTTCTTTTTCGTGCTCCTGCACATATGGGAGCAAATTGACCTTGTTTAAATTGGGTAAAAGCTCCCAGTTTTTGCTGTTGTGATATTAGAGGTATTTTGTGGCTGTGAACAGCAGTTTGGTTATATAAATGCAGGCATTCTCCCTGCTCCTGTACTTACTGTGCTGCTTTCAAAGATACCATTTCCCAAGGGTAATCATGTTATCAGGTACATTTAAATACTAATATTGCTAGTGGGAACTTACTCATTAGTGTGGCCATTTTATTGCAATTAGGGGAGAAATCTGGAACATGGATCTGAGAGGGAAGAAAATCTGCATCCTGGATTTAAAAATGCCTGCCAGCAGTGGGTGCTTAAAAATAACAGTTTTATAGTATTACTGTTGTCTCACTGTTCCTGCCAGGAGCTACAACATTTATTTATGCTTCGGGTTGTTTGAGAGATGTGATCTTTATGAGGCTTTGCTGCAGTCCTGCTCCAAAACAGGGGATTGGTGCTTGTAGATTTTCACAGAAGATTCTTAGACACCAGAGATCCTGATGACTTGTCAGCTTTTGTGCTTTGGTGGCTTTGTTTGTTATCAGAGGGCTAAGATCAGCAAAATCTAGACATGACTGTACATTCCACTGCCAAAGGGATTGACCACGAGCTTTATTCGTGGCTACCAGATCACTTAATTACCTCAGATTTTCTTGTCCTTATTGAAGATAACTTTGGTTCTGGGCTTTGCCTGAGCCAGGCTCGTTGGATCTGGCCCTGGGATCGTGCTGGATTTGTAGGCAGTGATGACATTCCTCAGTCTTGGCTGGAATCACAGCTCAGATGGACACTGCAGTCCAGCTCTGGACCTGACCCACGCTGGTATTTCCTATTTATAATTTCCCAGCAGTGCATGGTGTGATGAATTGCCCCCTACGAGTTTAACTGCACGCTGTCCAAGAAATCCAGAAATACTTCATGAAGGCTTGCAGGAAGAGGAGTATCAGCCTGGCTTCAGAGCATTTTCCTGCTCAAGAAGATGCTGCATATTGATTATTCTTTTCAGATGAAAATAACCCACTCAGCAGGATTTACTGGGCTGATAATCACCCTCAGTCAGTGCTGGAGAGTGAGAAGGTTTAATGCTCCTGCTCTGGGCCTGCCTTCCTGCCATAGGGAGGGTGAGCTGATGCTTTCAAGGATGATGTTTAAAGGTGCTTCAGCTCTTCAGAATTATTGCATGTGCTCAGCTAGAAGTAGAAACTTTAAAATAAATCACAGTTTTCCTTTTATTTCTGAAATACAGGGAAGAAATTCAGGCATACCTGTGTTGCTCCAGTCCCATCATGGCTCAGCTGTAAACACTACTTGCTTCTAATGTTTTTTTGTTCCTCCTATCCCAAGTTTTTCTGTCCCTTTTCCTTGTCCTTTTCCCTAATCCATTGGAACAATTGGAGTGTGACACAGCCCCTTCTGTGTTTACAGGGAGCAGTGCAAAAAGTAGAGGGCAAGAGTGGAGCGGGTAGTGAGAAAATGGTCTTGTCTCTTGATCCAAACTGTTAGAGAAATTAAAGAATAATAAATTAAAGAAACTGTGAGGGTGGGGAGGCCCTGGGTTGCCCAGAGAAGCTGTGGCTGCCCCATCCCTGGAAGTGTCCAAGGCCAGGTTGGAGCAACCTGGGCTAGTGGAAGGAGTGGAACTGGATGGGCTCTAAGGTCCCTTCCAACCCAAACCATTCTGGGATTTGTTGGAGGAAAATGTAACAGTCTTTAGTGCAGGGAAAAGAGGCATGAAAAGGGTGAGTGTCTGGACCTGGAACAATGGGAATATGCAGCAAATGTTGGGCAGTGCTGGTGCAGAACCCCTGGAGCAGCCTGGCCAAGGAGTGCTGGATGTTGAGCTGTCTGCAGTTGGCAGTTGCAGACAGTCCGTGGCCAAATGTGAGTTGTTGGAATCTGTAGAGATGTAATTCAGTGAAGTTTAATGGGCTGTGATATGAGGGGAGTTTAAATAATCAATGATTTGAAACCTCTGCCACTTTGCAGCCCCCTGTTTATTTCCCCTGGAGATTGGAATCTCCATATAATGAGTTTGTCTACTGATAATGGGTTTGCTTTCATTTGAGTTAGTTGTGTAGGTTCTGGGGAAATGAGGCTGCTGATCCCGATGGTTTCACGGGCACAGCTTGGAAAAGATTCAACTAAATGGTTTAAACAGCCTGTCCAGCACTGAAATTCTGTCAGTGTGCTGGTTTTATGTATTCCTGGAGCTCCATGGGACATCCAGCAGGAGAGACTGAAGGGGGAGATCCTGGGAATGTCACGGTCACACGTGTGCTCCAAAGTGGGTTTTGGCCAAAAAATGGACATGTTACTGCAGTGATTAATCGTGGCATTAGTTATTCCCAAATCTCATTTTTCTGTGTTAGGTGCTTGTATTCCTGCACAGATAGAACAGCATGTTTATGATTTTATAGCAGCTGTTATTTGGCACGTAAGAGCTTTTGCCTGTGATAATAAATTGAAATTCATAAGAATAACCTACTCTGTTTTGATTGTAAAGTAACCATTTTTCTTTGAGTCCCTTTAACCTGAGTTTCAGAGGACACAGGTTTCCAAAGGCCACATTGAGTAGGTGTTTGAAGTGCAGAGAGAAGTTCATTTCCCTCCCAGTGCTGCGCTTCAGAAGGAAAGGGAAAAACAGGCACAAAGCTCCAAAGAGCAAAATCATTTCAGTCCTTATTTTTCGAGGAGATTGGCCCAATTTTCCTTCCTCCAGCTGGATGGTTCCTGTTTACTGCTGCTGAGAGACAAACAGCTCCCCTTTTCTGCCGTTTCTTGCAGGGTGAGAAGGTGAACTACGAGAAGTTCAGGGTTTGGCTCCTGCACAACAAAGACGCCTTCACGTTCTCGCGGTGGCTGCTCTCGGGGGGCGTCTACGTGACCCTCACTGATGACAGTGACACCCCCACCTTCTACCAGACCCTGGCTGGAGTCACCCACTGTGAGTAAAGGGGGCTGCTTATTCACATCTTCAACAACCTTTCACATTTCAGCTCCTGTTCTGCCACCCTTGGTCATTAAACCTCCCCTCTCGGGGATAAATTCCATTTGTTCTGTGCTGGCCCATGGAAAACATTGTTCTGTCCAAGGACACTGTGGCTCTTATTTCTAAGAGTTATCAAGGCTGCCATTGCAACACTTCTAAGAGAACTTTTACTAGAGGTTTGCTACTGAGCAGGTTGGAAAAAAAATAAAAATGAAGGTATCTTCTCTTTGATAATTAATTTTCTGAAGTGGTTTGCCAGTAATGCTGGTCTTATATTTAGTCTTTATAGTGGATCATTAAACTATTGAGACAGTTGAGAAAATAATGCTTGCTTCAGAAATAATTGTTACCTCCTCATTTGCTTGGGCAGTAAAATCAGTGGCATTCCTGGCATGTGAGACAGGCAGGGAACTGAATTAACTACAGAGGAGCCTCCTCAGGATTTGCATTTAGGAATAATCTCCAAAGAACAAGTGCTTCCTTGTGTCTTTATTACTGTAAAAGAAGGAACAGCTGTTTTTTAAATTAAATCTAAAACCAAAAGGCTGATAAATTAGAACTGATGCCCAATTGTAAGCACCCACTGCAGTAAAGCATCCGAGGGATCCCTGGGATTCCTGGGAGAAGGAGGATTGTTGTGGAGGTGGCAGGGATTTATCTGGTGCTGTTTTCTGTGCTCTCACAGGTTGGCTTTGTTGGGCTGAGTGTGGCATTTAATCTCTTTAATGGGTGGGTTACTCGAATAAAGCAGCATCCAGGTTTTTCTCTTGGTTTTAAAAATGAGCATTAAAATTATTTTTGGACCGTCTGAAAGGAAAAGGCATCAGAAAGTCAGAGGTTTATAAACAGGCAATTTATTTGCATTACACAAGAGGCTGCAGGAGGCACTGAGGTTCCAGAAGAGCACTGAATATTCTGAGCTCTAAGAGATGAGGCTGAAAAAACCCAACCCTCTGAGTTTTGGGGAGTTCAGCCCTGGGCAAGATCTCGAGCTGGATCAGTGTGAGATGGTTCCTGTCCCCACCCTGGCCAGGTGTCCTTCAGCCTCAGTGTTCAAAGAAGGCTTTGCCCCAGGCCTCTGGATGGAGCTTAATTTGATTTTGGGGTTTTTATGCTTTGAAATTGAAACTTTCCCAACAGTTTTTGCTGTGCTTTTTTTTTTCCCAGAAAGTTTATTTATTCTGAAATTGAGGATTATAACTAGAAAAAAATTAACTTTAAATTTAAGAACTACTGTTTTTAATAGATTTTGTTTCCTATTTAATGTTGTTGTCACTTCTTCTGGGTTTGACTGTTACATCTGCAGCCAGGCCCCGAACTGTGTTCTCACCTGGATGTGCAAAATGCATCATTCAAGAAGGAAATGATCTATAGACTGAAGAGCATAATACTCTACTTTACCCAACCACTCCTCTGTTGTTATGTCAAAAAAAAAAGTGTTTCTACTTTCAATCTCTAGACTAAGTGATTTTTTTTTCAGTTTTAAACCAAGAATTAGAGCAATTAAGGCTGAAGTGATAATTAAAAACACAGTTAAGGAGACTGGATGAGAAGCTTATTAGGAAAAAACGAATGAGGGCAAAACCTATTCTGATTCTTGGAGAAAAGGTGGTTCCCCCCATCACATTTGTTTCTCCTGTTGTAGTTACTTTTTCTCCCTTTTCATCTTCTCATCTCAAATTGCTCAACCTTTGTCAGAACAGACTCCCAGTTACTTAATCAGCCTGTGCCTCAGCACATCCACCAGCCCTGAGATGCCAGGCCTGAAATCACCTCCCTCTGCCTCTCTTCTCTTGCAATTCCTCATTTTTTAGGGCTGGAAATTCAAGTCATATTTTCCTGTCCTTGCTTTTAATCTCTCTCTGATCGAGTTGCTTTGTAAGAATTTCATCCCCCCCTGTGAATTGCAGAGCCTGACACTGTGAACTGAGTTACAGGGGGAAATATTGAGCTTTTCTTGTCCAAGAACCAGGTAGTGTGGTCACTCTCTGATGTGTTCTGCTGGAGAAGTTGGAGTTTTAAAGCCTTGGGAAACACGTTTGCAGAACTTTGGGTCCCTCCTGGGCGTTTCAACACAACTCATGTTCTCAGGGGAAAAAAATAAACTATTTTCTATATATTTCAATATATTTCCATATATTTTGATGTATTTCCTATATATTTTCTATATATTTCTACAATTTCTGTATATTTGTTCAATTTCTGTACATTTTCTGTACATTTTCTGTACATTTTCTGTACATTTTCTGTACATTTTCTGTACATTTTCTGTACATTTTCTGTACATTTTCTGTACATTTTCTGTACATTTTCTATATTTTTTGTATTTTTCTCTATTTTTTCTCTATTTTTTCTCTATTTTTGCTCTATTTTGCTATTTTTTCTCTATTTTTTCTCTATTTTTTCTCTATTTTTTCTCTATTTTTTCTCTATTTTTTCTCTATTTTTTCTCTATTTTGCTCTATTTTTCTCTATTTTTTTCCTCTATTTTTTTCCTCTATTTTTTTCCTCTATTTTTTTCCTCTATTTTTTTCCTCTATTTTTTTCCTCTATTTTTTTCGTTTTTTCCCTATTTTTTTCCTCTATTTTTTCCCTCTATGTTTTTCCTCTTTTTTTTTCTCTATTTTTTTCTCTATTTTTTTCTCTATTTTTTTCTCTATTTTTTTCTCTATTTTTTTCTCTATTTTTTTCTCTATTTTTCTATATATTTTTTATATACAACTATTTGCTATATATTGCAGCAGATGACTGAGAAATCACACTAATAATTGGTGGAGTTCCTCTTTCTTTACTGGTAACTTATTGACCTGAGTGGAGTGAAGGTAGAACCGAGTGGAAAATTAAGTTTTCCGTGGGTGGGGTTAAAAAACTGACATAAAACATCCGAGAGCGTTTGAATCTTCAGGTGCACGTGAGGTCTGGGGTGGAGCTTCCCAGTGCATCCCAGAAAAGCCCCGGGTGGTTGCTGTGCCCAGAGTTTGGGAAGCTCACGTGCCAGTTCTGTTTGGAGCCCCAGAGAAAATGAAATTTTCCCCAATTCCCCTGTGATTGGTGACAGTGCAGGAATCTCATCCAGCAGATGCAAGGGTAAGGAAAATATAAGTGCTCGAGCACTTAGGAGTAATTTCAGCCTAATCAGGTCAATGTAAAGAGTGAGAAATTCAGCTCAGGAGTATTTTTAACCCAGCTGAGCGAGTAAAACAGCGAGAGCTGTTGTGACAGTTCCTGTGCTCTGAAGGAAGGCTGGGATTTAAGGCTTTTCCCTGGAGAGTCGATGCCTGTTGGAAGAGCCAGTAAGTGAAATAATGTTTTTGGTAAACTGAGGCAAACACTGTCAGAGAACACAGGGAGAGAGGGAAAGGTTTTAACGTTTCTCCTGCTGACACTTGCTGGGGCAATCAGGAATTTCCTGGCCCTGGATCAGACCCTCTTCCAGGCCTTCCCTCACTCTGTGCTTCCATCCAGCTCCTGGAATAACACGTCAGAGACGTGAAAAATTGCCCTGATCAAAATAGTGAAAGTTATTCCCATCGATTCAGTCACAGAGACCATTTTATTGCAAAGCATCAGTGGCTCCATTTAAATTTGCCTAATGAGCCAAGCTAGCAGGGAAACAACGGAATACTAATTTTTCATCTGTAAATAACACTTATTTTGCTCTGCAGATGTATTGAATTATGTTTCTCAACACATAATTAGCAAGGAAATTTTAAAGTTACAGGAAGCTGCCCACACACTTGCTGCTTTTAATCAAATTTTTTTCCATCTCACTTAAATCAGAAAGATGAATCTTTCCATTTGAAAGCTGACAAAATAACTTAAGTCTATCTTGGACATTTGCTCCTAAAAACCAGTCTCAGAGATATGAGTCTGTCTTGCACTTGAGTACTGACCAATTAGCAGCAGTTTGGATTTTCTCAGTTTCAGAGTATGATCACGTACATTTAGATTGATGTGTATAAATATATATTTAACCCATCCCACTGAAGAGCACTGTGGTGTAAATCCCACGTTACTGTCACACAGACTCAGGTGAGACCTCACTGATTTCCTTCCTTTAGCTGGAAGTGTTTTTCCTGCTGCAATGTAGGTGCTGGTTGCCTTTTTTATGTGTCATTTTGGTGTGTCTCAGTGTCATGTAACGGGCTCAGATGCTCAGATTTCCAGTCCTTTTCCATGGGGACAGTAGTCACATTTATCAGAGGGGTTCCTGCTTTCGAACTGACGGAATGTTTAATTTGTACTTCTTTGTTACCCGGTTCTTGTGTCACTGAGTTGTGATTAAATAACATCCCAATTCTCCTTTGAATTGAAGAGACTCTCCTCTGTTGTCAGAAAAATTCATCAAAGTGCTCCTGCTCTTCCTGCCAGCTCCTGCCTACTGAGGGGCAGTTAGGACAGTCTGTAATCAGGATAATAATTCTATTTTAGAACAGACATTTATCACTAATTTAATGTAATGAATGAGAGGAGCCCTGGGTAACAAGACAGGGGGGTGGAAATGGAAGAGTCAGCTTTTGAAGCAAGATTGGAGCTGAATGCTGTGGAATTAACCTTGTCTGTCAGAGCTGGGTTTGTCAACCTGTGGGCTTTGTGGGAAGCTGGAGATGGGAGAGTAAAAGCAAAGTGAAATGAGGTGATCCCTTCCCTTTGCTCCCTTTAAATGCCTGCCAGGATGTTAAATACGTGTTCTGGAGCTTTTCCACTTCAGCTTCTTGAAACACCATCTCTTAGTCATATCTACAAGGCAATTCTGAAGATTTTAGATTTATTAAAGGTGCTTTTAAGAGCATCTTTCCTTCTGTGCTGCTTTTTCCAAGTGTGTGAACACTTGTGCTGTGAGAGGAGCTGTGCTGCTCACCCCTCTCCTGTGCTGTTCCCATCTTAAGGCTCTGATAATCCCTGTTCTGCTGGAGAGAAACCTGGAGAGCTGTGTCTGACACACCCAAGGATCTCTCCTGGCCAAGGCTGTAACATTCCCTTCTCCCTGGGTTTGTTTTTCAATTAGGAAAAGCAAAAAAGATGAAAGTGTGACATCAGCCCGGGCCAATAAGTAAAAGCCTCAGCAAGCATCACTTAAGCTGCATTTTGCCCCTTGTTATCCTCTTAGTTCCCAGGCTATTTTATGTCTTGCAAAGCAGCTCTGGGTGCCCAGGTCCCAGAGTGTTCTGTGGGTTGATTTTAAAGCCACAAACGAGCGGGTTTAGTCAGAAACAAGAGTTTGTGTCAGGCCTTCAGCTCTGCTCCTGCCTCGCCATGAGGAGCCGCCGGCGGGGCCGGGGATCCACCTGGAGATCCTGGGAACCAGCAAAGCAGGCCCAGTCCCAGTGAAAATGTTGGGAATATGGTATGTTTCTGCTGCTGTGAACCAGAGAGGATTGTACCAATAGGTGGGTAAAAATTACCAGAGATGCTTCGTGAGTTGTGGGCCTAGGAAGAATTGTGATAAATGGGGCCTGAAATGAAAACATGCTTCGAAATTTTTGTTCTAAGACAGGGGATTGATTATTCATGGCTTGCTACCTATGGAATATTTAAGGAGGATGGATGATTCATGGGAATGACATTAAAATGAAGGATGGGGGGGTGTGTTTTAGTGTTTATCACTGTCATCCCACCTGACTCGATCTGGTCTTAGATTAACCCATTTTTAGTAGATTTACAGTTCTAGATGCATATTTTGGCTGAAAGTATTTGCTTGTTCTTCCTTTACAATATCAAGGCTGTGCTTTAGGTGTACTTGACATTATCACCCCTCTGATTATATTTGTCTAATTCTTAAAGATTTGAACCAAGAAATGCTGTTCATGATTTTACAGACCGTGATTTTTACAGCTTTACAGACCTGAAAGGTTTTGGTTATTCCTAATGGACAAGTGATGAGGGAGACACAAAACAGCAGGTGGGAGTAAACTGATAGTATATGGTTAAATTACACAGGTGTGTAATATCTCCATGAGACCTCAAATGTATTTAATTAACAAAAATGAAAAAATTACTTGGCCCAGAAAGTCTGTTCTGATGGGTTTGGAGTACATTGTCTATATGATACATTTTTTTAAGTAATCTGAATGAAAGTCTAGTTCACACTTTTTTTGATGGGATTTGAACAGGCATGAGGGGAAAAAAAGGTTATATTTTGAAAAGATAAAATCCTTTATCTATGCAAAACCTCTTTAGAATATGGAGTTTGGTCGTGCACATCAACATGTTTGGGTATTAAGTGCAGTCTGCCTTTCTCATGCTTCACTGAGGTTCAGCAGCAAATATATGTTCCCCAAATTGCCAGAGATTTCTTTCAGTTCACGTTTATGGAGGAATAGATGGTGCACTGCATATCCTGAGAGTGACTTACAAGATTAGGTGCAAAAATTCACTCTGGAGAAATCAAATTATGCAACAGCTGCTTTCTCAGCTGCACTTCAACTTCACGTGGGCTGCAATCCAGCAAATCCTCTGGATTTTGTTACCTGAAACTGTTGCAGTGGGCTACAGTTCCTCGGGACTATGAATGAAAAATACTCTTTTGTCACATTTTTACTTGTGTTCAACCTAATCTCTGTAAGGCTGATTAGTGCTAAGAATGGTATTTGCTGCTTTGCCAGTTTTACTTTCTAAAATGTTCGTCTTTTCCTCAAAAGTCAGTGCACTGGGGCTGCTGTAATACAAGTGTAACACATGCTAATACTTATCAGCTGTTCCTTTAAAGATGATTATTGGAAAATTCTTTACCTTTTAAATGTCTGTGTCATTTCAGCCACTGCTTGAACTGAAATGCTTTCTGATAACCTTTCTTCTTGGAGATAAAAGAACAAAACAAGTTACCCCTGTAGAAACCTCTGTAAAGTACAATTAAAAAACAGAATGCAGCTAGGTTCTACTGTAGATATTTGACAATAAAACAGTCTTTCAGTTCTTAATTACTGAAGATAAATATTGGAGCTGCCAGGGAAAGCAGGTTTCTGCAGATTTACCCTTCACCGAGGGCAGGATGAGCTTCCTTGAGGTTTTTGAGTATCCTGGGTGTTGCATCATTTCAGGAAGGAAGTGCAGCTCCCACACTTGGTATTCCTCCTTGTTACAAGGTGAATTAAAAGGGAACAAAGTGATTGAGGGAACAAGGGAACAGGGGCACACAAATGCTGCTGTTGTGTTTGCTGATGAGAGCAGTGAGGGGGCTGTGCATCTGTAAATGGCAGTGCAGTTGTTTGGGATGTCACCTCTCGTGAGCTCTCCTGTCCCTGCTATGACCCCCTGACACCTGGAGAGGTGACAGGACTGAGGAAAAGTGGATTTGATTTGGTAGATTGTCTCCTGTGTTGATACACTGGCTGTTGTGGGGAAGCATGTTGTTAAATCATCAAGGCACGGTGATGGAGACATCCCCTGGGTGCCTTTCTGTATTTCCTTGTAGTTCATGGAACATTCCAGTTCTCCATCACTTGACTGCTCTGCTCACGTCTGTGGCAGCCCTAAGGTATCAGGGCTGTGATGTTTCAAAGAAATAGCTATTTCTCTTTCTTGATTTCTAGCAGAATAATGTTCCTTTATTTATTTAAATTATTACTTCCTTATGTGTTGGGGACAGACTTGTGGTGATAAGATACAGGGTAATGGATTTAAACTGAGAGATATGAGGGGGGAAATTTTTTGTGGTGGGGTTGCCCAGAGGGGTGGTGGATGCCTCATCCATGGAAACATCCAAAACCAGCTGGAATGGGGCTCTGAAAACCTGATCCAGCAGAAGGTGTCCCTGCAGGGTGACCCTTAAAGGTCCCTTCCAACCCAAATGACTTTGTGATCACAACCAGGAGCCAGGAGATGGTGGAGCAGGGAATTGATCCAGCTGGGAAGGAGGGGGAGAGGAGAAAGGAAATCAGTTTTTCTTCTGGATCAGCTCTTAAGTCACTGTGTGAGTGCAGCAGCTGGAAATGATGCCCTGGGGGTGCTGAGCCCGCCCTGGGGGTGCTGAGCCCGCCCTGGGGGTGCTGAGCCCGCCCTGGGGGTGCTGTATTTCCTTGTATGTCATGGAACATTCCAGTTCTCCATCACTCAGCCCTCCCTGGGGGTGGGAGGCAGGGCTTGGGGTGGGTCACCTTGATGTGCCCCCAGAGCTGCACCCCAGGGTCTGGCTGTGACTGCACAGAGGACAAGGGACGTGTTTGCACTGATATCACTTTTCTGGCTAAAAATACCTCACAGGAAGATGCAAACCCCTTCCATTCCAACTCCTTGCATTTGACTCAGATTTCCCCCAACTTTCTGCTGCTGAGGGCGAGGTGTTGTGTAGGTTTTGATGCATCAAATGGTGTGCTGGGTATTACAACTTATTGTGAATTATCTAAGTTACTACTCTAAGTAAACTCCTAATAACAGAAACAGGATAAGAACGAAATCCTAATAACAGAAACAGGATAAGAAAGAAATAAATTTCCAATTTGACACATAAGTTTTTACGGGGGGGAGCTCTTCTTTTCTTAAGCCTTACAGGATTATTATTGTTTCTCTAGACTAAACCAGGCCAAATAGCTCAAGTTAAACCTATTAGAAAGCTGGCGTGGATTTAAGGGCTCAGAACCATCTGGGAATGAGATCACACGTAGTGGTGCTTAATATAGACAGCTTTGTCATTACACATCTATTTGAGCACCAATTAATTTGCACTGACCTAAAGCACTGTTGTGACACACTTGCATATGTAAAAAGGTTAAAAGTATTGTTGAGCAGAAACTTAATCTTGTTATATATATATATATTTATATATTTAATTTCAAGGATCAAGCATAAGACCAGCATTTGTGGATGAGGTTTGGAAAGAAAGCACAAGTCCTTCCTCTGGCTAATTTTATTTACTCTTGTTTAGCACCTTGTTTTGCTAATTGGTTTTGGGGTTTGGTTTTTCCCCCTCCCTCTTTAAATTGCCTTATGAGTTCCTCTGCATAAAGTGTCTGTGGGTTTGTATAATCACTCCCTAACGTTGAGTGGGATTCTAAATGATTCTATAGTATAAATAATAATGTGAAACAAACTCTTTTATATTTGGGGGGAAATGCTGAATAGTGTTAAAATGCTGCGTTAAAATTTAGTCTTGTTACTGTATCAGAAGGCTAAAAATTTCAACAGGAATTGAGCCAAGTACCACATTATTTTTTCCTAAAAGATCTGAGATTTTTCAAAAGTGCTACTTTACTCTCTTTTTTGAGGGTTTAAATACTGGATACTTTGGGAAAATAAGATATTGCACTTATAAACTACCTGTTCAAGAAACAGGTGAAAACGAAGAGGCTGCAGGAACCTTTGGCAGCGGGAAAAGCTCCTTTCTGTATCTCTAAACACTTGTGATGGTGCTACTGATGCTGAACTCCTTGTTGGGGAGTAGGTGAGAAGGTTCTGTGGATAAAGAAGATAAAATCTGATTTCTTTTTGTTGGTTGTGCAGTGGAAGAGTCCGACATCATCGACCTGGAGAAGCGCTACTGGCTGCTGAAGGCTCAGTCGAGAACGGGACGCTTTGACTTAGAAACATTTGCCCCCTTGGTTTCCCCTCCAATTCATCCATCTCTCAGTGAAGGTATGGAATGGGGTCAGGAGTGTGAGGAGGACACACAAAATCCTGACAGATGTTACGGCTTCAAATTGGGCCTGTTCTAAAATGGCTTTTAGGCTTCGATGACACAATCGTTCCGCTGGGTCCTGACTCTTGGGGAGTGGGAAATGAGGCCTGAGAAATCCCTATTTGTTGGGAAATCTGGAATGATGGGGGAAGTGATGTTTCATTCTTAGGAGCTGTCAGGAAGTACATCAAAATTTCTGTGTAAGTTGCCCTGTAGCTGCTTAAAATTTTTCACTGGGTTCCTTAAGATTCTGTCACGACAAACTGAGTGAGAGACCCTTCCCCAACAGTGCAAGTTAAGGAAGATTTAATTCAGGACACTCACTCAGGAGGTTTGTGTGTTGTTAGTTCTATTAATAACCCAACTGGTCTGTCCAGTTGAAGCCACTCTGGTCAGAACTGGAGGCTGCAGTTGTGCAGTTGCCATTTGCTGCAGCACATCAGGACATTCAGGAACGTTCCACTTGCACCCAAGTTTTTTGTCTGCAGTCCAGGAGTGGCAAGTTTTTTGTCACCAAATGCTTGGCTTTACTGACAAGCAGGTAGAAAATGGGAAATTCATCTGCAGTGGATGCAAACTGTTAAAAAAATCAGAGCTTATGTCCAATTCCATAGGGATTTATCCCCATATTCTTTTGTTCCTAAGTGTGTTTTATCTATTTAGTGATATAAATTTCCACAGCTGCTGTGGGGAAGCTTGAATGGTTTCTGGTCATTCTATGGCTTCTGTGGAGTCACTGCTGCTAAAAAAAAATAACATGGGATAAAAAAGGTTATAAGTGCTGAATGAATGGAATTGATAAGTCCTTTGAAGGCTGGTAACTAAAGCTCCTGAGGGCCAAATTTGCAGTGAAATTCAGTGATTTCCATAGGAATTTCTGCCAGGCACATTGGAAAAGTGAAGGCATTTGGCATCTGAGACTGTTTTGTCCCTTAGCCTTTGGGAAAAGGCCTGTCCTGGCCATGCTGGCTCAGATGTTCCCTGTAAATCAGAATTCCTGATTCCCTCCCCAGCCCTGGCTTGACCAGCGATCTGATTCACCTTGAAATGGTCTTAGTGCTGCTTAATTGTCTTTATTACACTTAATAAGAATAAATTACAAGTGTTTGTACTTCTCCTTGCCAATGTTACCCATTAACCCCTCCTGGAAATGCTGAGTGTGGGACTGTCAGGTGCTGTAACAGGAGATGCTTTTGTGGTTTGCAGGTTTGTTTAATGCTTTTGATGAAAACCGAGACAATCACATAGATTTTAAAGAAATTTCCTGTGGGCTCTCAGCATGTTGCAGGGGACCCTTGGCAGAAAGACAGAAGTGTAAGTATGCAAAATGTTAACTGTTAATTTTAGAGGAGTTTTTCAGTTTGAGGTTTAGTTGTTTTCACATTTTGAGAGGTTTTTTTTCCCGCTGAACAAATGTGTGTCTGGGAAAGGTTGACAGACTCTGGAAGTTAAACAAATTACAGGAATTTTAAATATCAATGTTTCCTTTTATAAAGGATGATTAAACCTAATTCTGTGTATTTTATAACTTACCAGTAGTTTCACATAAATTATCAAACTGGGAAAAAACCATTTTTCCGAAGTTCTTTTGTAGTGTTCTGCATCATGGTGCAGAAGTGTGTATCTCAATAGAGAAAGTGCAAACACTTACCTGCTCATTATATATAATATAAACCAAATGTCCTATTTGATTGTCTTGTGCTAAAACAGCATGTTGTGGCTTTTCACTGCCCAGTCCTCAGCTGGCTCCCTGCAAGGTTCTGGTGTTTTGAGACACTTTTTGTTCCCTCCTTTCCCAAAGCCATATTGCTGCAACTCAAAAGCCATCACTCCCTGGAAGTTTCTGGATGCACATATGTTCCCTGCTCTGTCACGGCAGAAAACACAGCAGAGGATTGCAGGGATCTAGATTGCAGTTTATTAAACACAGCTGCTCCACTTCCTCCCCACCACACACAGATCCTGCCTCATCACCACTGCCAGCACTAAATCAGCTTCTTGTGACTGTGCAAGAGGTAGAAAAAGAGAGTTGTTGAGTGGCTCTAAGTCGTTTCCTCCCCTCTCAGTTTGTTTCAAGGTGTTTGACGTGGACAGGGACGGGGTGCTGTCCCGCACGGAGCTCAAGGACATGGTGGTGGCACTGCTGGAGGTGTGGAAGGATAATCGGACGGATAAAATACCCGTGAGTTGTGCTTGGCTTCTTATTCCTGCCCTTTCTTCAAGCCATCCTTCCAGAGCTGGAATGGGAACACTGAACAGGCTGCCCTGACCTCCCTGGTCTGAGGAAGGTGGATAACTGGGTGTGCCTTGCCTTGCCCAGCTCTGACCTGCCCAAAGCAGAACCATTTCATTATTGTATCTCTTCTTTCCCATAAAGAAACCTCAGCTGTCAAAGCCCTCAGTTCTGAATTACATACTTATCATCAACATCCCTTACAGTTACATTTTTATTCTGAATTCAGCTCCAGAGAGTACTGGGAGACTCTAACTCAGGTTTCCTGTCCTTCTGTTTAAGGAGCTGGACATGGGTTTGGCTGAGATTGTAGAAGATATTTTGCATACCCATGATAACACAAAGGTAGGAATTTGCTGCTCTTTCCTTGTCACTTTTACACCCCTGTATCTTCAGTTTATTTGTAAGGAAGTAAAACCTTTCTTTAGAGCAGAGATGGGTCAATAAAAGAATCTCTTTCGAGAAATGTCACTTTTCCATTAAAATTTACCACGTTGTTCGGTGAGAGGTTTGAATTTTATAAGCCATTTTTATATATGAAACTCACCCAAAAATACATAACCAGATGAAATGAATTTGAAGCCTGCACTGTGTATCACTAACACCAGTTTTAAATCTGATGCTTGCCTGGAGAAACTGTTCTTTTGGTTCGTGTTAAAAATGATCTTATGAAAAAGAGAGCATAAGTTTAACTTCTATTTTATGCTGTAAAGACACATTATCCTCCTGTGCTGGAATGTGCCTCTGTGAAACTATGAAGGGATCTGTCATGACACACAACAAAAAGTCTTTTTAGTTTATATTGTGCTTTAGAGTGAGCTGGGTGTAAATCTTTAATTATGTCCTTGCTTTTTGGGGAGAGGAGATTTGGAGTTATCACCCTTGAACAACGGAGTTGTTTCCATTATTTCATCCTCTGCTCCACTAATTGGGAAAAGTGTCTGGAAACTATAAATAATTTATGAAAACTGTAAAGAATGCCTAGAAATGCTTAATTACTTGTTTGAGTAGTTGTTTTGCTTGCTTGGGCTCCAACAAAGTGGTGGGCAGATATTTTATTGCAATTCTTTAATTGCCAAAGCAGTGGAATATTATGTGACTTCTCTCTCTTTTCATCCTTTGAGGGTTTTATTGTTTACTTTTTAAAAAAAGGTAGTTTGTAAGCAAGTGTCCAGCAGTCTTGATTCCACAAAGAGTTAAAAAAAAATGACTTAAGTCTTCAGAATATCTTTCCTAGTTGCATCATCAGTGGAGTGCTGGAAAGAGCTGATGGTGCAGTAATTACATAAATTATTTAACCTCTTTTTGTGTGTTAGCTTTGACCTGGGTGAACTCTGGAGAAAATGGGCTGTAAGAGCAGGCAGAGTAACTGCCACTGCTGGAAAATTGGCTATGAATTATATTACCATATAAAAACTCAGATTGATCCCACCCCTGGATGGCTGGAAAGCAGGAGTGACACTGGGCAGTGTTTCACTGCTCTGACTGGGCAGGGGGTTCACAATTAATGGGACTTGTGTTGTGTGGGGAGATCATGAACACTGGATGATCCAAACTGGTTTTTCCCAACCCACGGAGGGAGATGGTGGGGGTCTGAATGGATGCAGGGGGTGACTGGGAAATCTGAGTGATGGAGCAGAGGTTACAGCTCATCCTCTCCTCTCAAAGCTTTTGGGTTCTCTGGGTTGGGTTTTTTATGCTAAAACTGGGTTTTTCTTCTTTCATTGGATCAGCTTCTATTATCCAAGTGGTAGATGCTGGTTTTTATCAAACTTGTGTGATGAAAGTCTTGTCTGGTGTGAGACATTTAATGAGCATTTTACTAGAACTCAATGGTTTGATGGTTTCTCCTTCCCCTTCCCTCCTCCTCCTCCCTCTCAGCTCGGACACCTCACTCTGGAGGACTACCAGATCTGGAGTGTGAAGAGTTCACTTGCCAACGAGTTTTTAAATCTGCTTTTTCAGGTATGTTTACTGGAAATTTCAGCTTGACAGTGCTGGAAATGAACTCCTGAGCTCCTTGCATGGCCACGAAGTGCAGGCTTCAGCCCTTGTGTCAGCGCTGCCGCGTGAGCCCGGGCACGAGGGGCTGTGGCTTTGCAGCTCAGTTGCCCTCAAAGAGGATTCTCAGCTTGGTTATTGTTCCTTTAAGTGGGTGCAGATGCCTAAAGCACAGGTTGTTAAAGTGAACCCGGTGTAGTGTTTAGAAAATGGAATTCCAGCTGTATCAGCAGGTGTATTTTCCATCAGACAAAGGCTGACTTCTCAAAGGGGTTTGGTGGCCAATCTTCACCAAGGAGGTGACTCAGGGAAGGAGAAAAATCTCTCACTCCTTCCCTTTAGATTTTGCAACCAGTTTCCCTTTCCCTTTCCAGTTTCCCTTTCCCTTTCCAGTTTCCCTTTCCCTTTCCAGTTTCCCTTTCCCTTTCCAGTTTCCCTTTCCCTTTCCAGTTTCCCTTTCCTTTCCAGTTTTTCTGCTCAGGCCCTCTGAGGTGCCTCTCACTGCTTCCTTAATGAGGCAGCCCTTGGAAGCTGTGATATCATATCACTGCTCTGTTGCAGCAGCTGAGGATTAAGTATGTGCTGAATTTGGTTTTAATTGAGCTTGAATTGGATTTCTCTAAATCCTTAAAAGCCATATTTTAGCTCTGGCTCACTTTATGCAGGGGAAAAAAAACCCCCAAAGAGTATTTTCATGCACTGCAGTTTGTTCCTTGCCTGTTTTCTGTAGAGGTTGATACTTGGAGTTTCAATAATGATAATAATAATCCTAATTTAGGATTCACTTAAATTCACCTCCAACCCTGTTTGAGAGTCTCAGTTCTTCCAGGGAAGGCCAAGGAGAACCAGTGGGCTTCATTCCCATCTTCCCAGTGAATCTTAAACAGTAACAGGGTCAGATTGTAGCAGAAAAATACTTAATCAGAGAGGAACTGTGTGGTTTGGGCTTTTTTTTTTTAATAAAGTCATGGCAAAAAGCTACCTGAATAGCACATGCTGATTCTCCTGCTTGTGACCCAGGACTGCTTTATAAATTGCATTTTGAATGACACTTTTCCAAGAACTTTAGGGCAGCTAAACTGAGTGAGAGTATTCTGAGGCCACAGCTGGAAAGAATAACACCAGAAAGTTCTTCAGATTCTTTTTATCTCTGATTGCATCAGGTTTTGCTTACATTGCAGCCTTCTCAAGAAGGGCTGCCTTTATTTTTGACCTGTCTAGCCTGAAATATCCCATCATAACTTAGTATTGATGAACTAACAAATATCTCTGCAATATTGAACCTGTAATAAATCTGTCCTGGTGCTGATTGCACATCCCCAGTGTCACACACTGCTCACTGGGAGCCTCATTTACAATATTTTTTTTTTTTAATTCCTGGCACAGTTTTGCTGTATTTTGACTTCAGCTTTTCATTTTAATTTTTATTTTTTTGACAGCTGTATCAGTGAGGCACAGGGAGGGCAGGGCCTGCCATTGATTTGTCTGGGCCTTTGAGCTGTGTCTCATCCACAGACAAAAACCAAATATTCTGAGTGCAGCATCTTGGAAAGCTTGTCAACAAATTGCTTTGTTTGCAGAGGGGTTGGTTTCTCTGATGAATCCCCTATTAGCTCGGTGTTGGATGAATTTAGAAGGGAACACCAGGACCAGCTGTGTTGTGGGTGCTGGAAAATCTGTTGCTTTTCCCCTCAGCTAATGACCTTTCCTTCATTCCGAATGTGAAATGGTCTCTCTCACTGCAATATAAATTTAAATAAGATATTTTATGGAGAAATCTCCAGATGAGATGCAAATCGATGGCCTCAAAAGAGATATAAGACTGTAAATCCTGGTATGAGGAGCAAAACTTGGGACTGTCCTCTCCTGGGAATAAAACCCCACCCAGGAGATGGTGCTTTTTCTCTTGTGTTTGGTTCAAAACTAAAAAGTCTTAGATATAACCACTTCTCCCTGTTTTTCCCCTCTCCATTTTGTTTTAGCCTTTAGTTTATCCTCTTCCAACAGCTTCTGCTCTCCCAGTTCCTCATTCCCTCTCTCCAGTACATCCAAGCATCTTAATTTGTGTGTCTGATCCGTGTCAGTCCTGGGATCTTGCACAGCGTGGGCTTCAGACCTGAGAAGAATGAAAACTATATAAAGAAACTAAATAATACAATATATGATAAGCTGTATAAGCTCTGATAAATATAATAGCAATAAACTATATAAATAAACTACATAAATAAACTAAATAATGACAACTGTTCACCTCTTGGGGCATTTGACATTCTTGGTGTCTTTGTCTTAACAGCAGGAACGGGTTGTGAACCTCATAACTCAAAACACTTCTTTATTTATTTCAATTTTAGTTCATCTTGCTGCATAATTTAAAAAAAAAAAATGCTGTAAAGTCCCACTGGAGCTGGTTTTTGCTTTTGTTTGCTGTGTGGTTCTTGACCAGGACACCTTTCCTTTTGCAGGTGTGTCACATAGTGCTGGGGCTCAGACCTGCCACCCCGGAGGAGGAGGGACAGATTATCAGGTGTGTGTTTTCCTCAGCACCTCCAGCGTTTCAGAATCAGCTTTTCTGATTGTCCAAAGCACTGGGAGTCCCCTGTTTCAGCTCACAATTCATGTTCTCTGTGTGCAGAGGCTGGTTAGAAAGAGAGAGCAGGTATGGCCTCCAGCCAGGGCACAACTGGTTTCTCATTGCCATGCCCTGGTGGCACCAGTGGAAAGAATATGTCAAATACGTAAGTATAATTATAATAATCCACACTGAATAAGTGATATCTTCTGTTTGTGAACGTGTCAATGGAAATATATTGTGGAGCAAACAACTGCTTACCAATAATGCTTGAAATGAAGCATCTCCTGTCTCTTGGTGGCAAATAATTGTTTCCCTCATTCCTGCCTCTCAGAACAGTAGTACTTCCCTCAAGTCTTCTGATCCATTTGGTGATAATTTGGATTTGATAAAAAATTTGCTTTAGTTGGGACAAACACACACACTGGGCATTTTCTGGGCAAATCAGGAGGGAATTGTTATAATTTGATTTAGAGAGAATGTGAAAAGTAGCCCCAGTACCTGATGGTGATCAAAGGAATCCTACTAAAACCTGACAGTCACTGGTGCTCTTTAATACCCTCCAAAATGTTCAAGTTAAAGCATCACTGTGAATTTTACAGAAGAAAGAGTATTTACTAGAATTAAATTTAATAAAATGTAACCGAGGTGGAGATAAATATCGTTTGCAGGTTAAACAAGTGAAATAAACTTCTCAAGAGAGTTTTATATCATCATAAGTAATCCTATGAGTATTTGATTTGTTTTATAAAAACAAATAACTGAAAGGACTCAGAAAGCTGCAGTGTGTGTGTTAACTAACCATGTAATGACAATTATTCTTTGTGCACAATGAATTGGACAAACGATGCCTTAAATGCCTGAAATAGCAGGTAATTTGATCCTTGTCCTGGTGTAAGTGCTCAGATGTGCCAAGGATTTCATCCCTAATCCTTTGCCTGGTGGCACAAGGCCATTAACTCAGAATTGCTGTGAAAGTGCTGCAGGTTTGGGGAAGGAATGTGTTTTTTGTTCTCGTGCTTGCTGTTCTCATTTAACCATGTGAAATTCAGCGGGGACAGATCTTCAAATATTTATAGTCTGTAATTAGAGCTGTCTGAAATGGTTGGATTTTTGTGTATCTAGATAGAGAAAATTCTGGCATTTCTCAATTTTCACATTGTGCAGAAGGGTTTATTCCATCCATTGAACAATTTTGCCTGCTCATTTCTGCAGAGTTTTCACTGGTAGGTGTGGCAGGGATTTTGAGTAAAGCTTGTGTGACGTGCCAGGTGAATTTTGGTGGTTGTTCTCGCTGCCATGTCTTTGATAATGGCTTATAATTCACTTTTCTGCCCATTTTAGGATGCAAAGCCTGTTGTGATAGAGCCTTCATCTGTCCTGAGTGGAGGTAAGAATTCCCTCGTAGCTGCTCCAGCCAATCCCTCAGAACAGGGAGAAGACAAAGTGGGAGGTCTTAATTACTGCAGTGCAACAGAAGAAAAGTTTTCAGATAATATTTCTACTGCCTCAGAAGCCTCAGAGTCCAGCAGCAGCAGTAAGCACCTTATTTCCTTGGAGCTTTAATGTACAACAGCTCTTGAAAAAAACCTCCACCCTGCATGGAACCCCTCCAGCTAAAAACATAACTCACTTTGGATTTTAGGACTTGGAGGATCATTAGGATCTTTTAGTCTTTTTTAAACAGCACTTCAGCTGCTTTGAGTAGTTTCCAGAATTATTTTCAAGGTGTTTTTTTTGTCTTGTCATTTGTTTTCTCAGTGGGTTTTCCTCACTTTAAGTTGTTTAAGCTCGTGCCTGGTTGGTTCTGTACTCTGCCACACATTGAGATGACCTCACATACCAAAAAGAGGAAAAAATCAGCAAAAACCATTAGGAAGAAGATAGTTGTAGTTTTACAGGGCGTGTGATTTATATTTGAATGAGTTTGTGCAGATCCTGAAGCCATCTCTGGGAAAGAGGAGATTTTAGTGATGGGTTTCAATGAGGTCTTGTGGGAATTGGAGATAATTTCTTTTTTTTCTTGTGAGACAGCTGAATGTTGCATCTGGTACTTTAAAATCATAAATTCAATTTAAGTTAGATCAGTTGCTCTGATAAATTTGGGGGATGGGGTTTGGGGAAAATAAAGGAAGGGCAGGAAGAGAAGACAAGTTTTAGCTTAAATGTTCTTTTTCTATTTTTTTTTAATTGACATTTAGATTTAGTGTTCTGCATGACCAAAGCAGGTTCTGTCAGAATAAAATCATTTGCCTTTTCAAGGAAAACAAAAATAAGGCATTATTGCATATATATTCAGTTTTATATGTAAGATATTCAGGAGTTTGATATTCAGACATCCAGACAACAAGCAAATGCTTCACACATTTGCTCACACAAACCTCCTGTTTCAAGCCTGTAAGTGATATTTGGAGCTCATCTATCCACTCGTTTACCTTTTGTGGGAGATAATACATTTATTCCTCTATGGTGGGCAGAGTTGCATGTTTAACTGCAGTGTAAAGAACAGCCAACTTGAACAACCTTTTTTTATAAAACAAACAAACAAAACAACGAAAAAAAGAGAGTGTAACTCATTCCTTTATATCCTGGGGAATCCTGAACTGAAGTTCTCCTTTTCCCTGTTCTGCTGCAGACACCCTTTACCCTGGGAGCCCAGGCTCTGAGGTGTGCTTTGCCAGGCAGCACAACACTTCAGACAACAACAACCAGTGTTTCCTTGGAAGCAACGGGAATGCTCTGCTCCAGCTGAACCCTCAGAAACCAGGAGCCATTGATAACCAGCCCCTGGTGACACAGGAACCAGTGAAGGTGAGTGTGAAGAGAGGAAAACTCTGGTTTAGTTACTGATATCACAGCTTTTTGTGTGTTGAGCTTTGTCAGCTGGTGTCTTAATTCCAAATTAACCCTGCTTTGTCACAGAACAAAATTTGGCTTTCTTACTCTTATTTTAAGAGGGGGAAAAAAAAATTGTGTTCTACTTCTAAGGCTACTTTGTGTTTTGTGAGAAAAGAAACATTCAAGATGTTCTTACACTGGGAAAGGTATTTATGGAAACACAGCTTGCAGCATTAAATGTAAAATACTTTGATAATGAAGCACTTTGTTATTTTCCATCTGAGGATGAGTTTATTGCTGTTCATAACAGAAAACTATTAACTAAATAGTAAAACTCACAGGTTTTGCAATGTTGATGCAAGTAAAAGGTGAAATACAGCCCAGCACCATCAGTGATGAGCAGGGATTGCATTTCTCCATCCAGAGTTGTTGGAGGAGGTGACACAAGAGAGAAACACGTTATGAATTTTATTCTGGACAGGCTTTTAGAGAAATAGTAAATAAGGAAACTTGCATGTTGGTAGTTACATTTAAATACCATCTTTCAGCATGAAAAGCAGTTGCTAATTGCTACTTAGAAGGTTTTTTTAATAATTAAAGAGTGTTCTGTGTTCATGAACTAAAATCATCGTGGCTGTAAACTGATTTTTCCATTTGAGATGTGACAAAACCCCTCTTTTTTCTTTTTTGCAAGGCTGCCTCACTAACAATGGAGGGGGGGAGGTTAAAGAGATCTCCACAGCTGGTGGAAGGAAAGGACTATGTGATGGTACCAGAACCAGTCTGGAGAGCACTTTACCACTGGTATGGAGCAAATCTGTCCTTGCCCAGGCCGGTAAGTTGGGATTTTAGACACTTCACTTGCCATAACCACTGAGATAACACAAACCACCTCATTTATCCAACCCCCTGCCAGGGGCACCTGCTCCAGTCACCTCCCACCCATCCTAAATGGAGAGTCTGGAAGAGCAAGGTGGGAAAAAATCAGTCTCCAAAATGGACTTGGATAGAAAACTGTGGATATTTAGCAGGAGGTTTGCAGCACAATCCCCAGGAGATGCTGCAGCAGGGCAGGGGGTGCTGCTCAACTGGTGGTGATTGCTAAAGCAGCCAGAAGTAAACCTGAGATCAGTTTGAAAGGCTTGGCATCAAAACACTCATCTTGAGGAGCTGAGGGAAATTTTCAGCTGGTCTGCAAATCCTGTGAAATGAAAACTGGGACACCTGCAGCTCTGCAAACCCTCCTCTTCTCCCTGACAATTCCATGAAGTGGGGGAAGGCAACAATTGCTCCTTCAGATTCAGTGTCATAGAAACACAATGAGCAAAAACTTGGTGAAGAGCTAAAAAGCAGATGGCAGGAGGGGAGCCCGGGGAAGGGGAGGGGCAGAGCCTGTGCTCTGGCACAAGAGATGCTCAGAGCACTTCAGAGCTGCAGTTTGTTCACCTACAAATGGTGTAAACTTAGATTTTTTTGGAGTGCCTTCATTCCAGAGACTGGTTGGTTTGTTCTGTGTCAGGCAGTCTCTTGTAGGAGCTACACTTAAGAAGCCACCGAAGGGGTTTTTTGTTGGTGGCAGCAGAGATGAGATGGTTGGTGTCACAAACATCCAGTGTCACAGATGGGAGGGAATCAGCTGGCTGATTGTTGACAATCCTCTCTCTTGGCTCCAGTACTGACAATTATTTTACAGTGAAAAATCACTGGCTTGTGTTACCTCCTCCCACACGTTCTCCATGGAAACAAACACCTTTCATGATCCAGAAAAGGCCACATCACTTTATACACAAACTAACGTGCTTTCTTCTCAGAAAATGTCATCACTGTTGTCTCTGTTGTAGCTGGAGTTTAGTGCTGTGGCACTTCAGTGGGTTACATTGCTTCTCACAGATGAAGTGGGTTTTTTTCTGCTTCACACGGTCACAAAAACAGTGAACATTCCTTCCATTTGTGGATGTCTGTGTTTGGGTACATCTAGGTAGCAAAACCTTGGTAGAAATGGTGACTGAAAAGCTGCAAAAAACACGTCTTGGGGTGATTCCAGCTCTTTCTGTCAACATATCAGAATGTAACAAAAGCAAGTTTTAGTCTGTTCTCACAACACGAAGGTTTTAATTCAATCCCGTAGTTCAAAAAGTGCAAAACAAATGTCTTATGCAGCACATGTCAGTTTGTTCCACAACTGTGAAACTTTCTTACTGAAGTACACACTGAGTGGAATTAATGAGCTTCATTGTAGATTCACAGATATTTCAGGAATTATAAAAATGTTCTTTCTGTGGTGTGGTGCAGACAGCTATGCTCCACTAACTAAGGGGTTTGCTCTTGACAACCTGCAGCTAATAAGCTCCAAAAAAGTGCTTAGCAATCAGTAAACTGTCATTCCTGAGGATATTTGCCCACATGAGGAGTTCAGAAGATTTCTCACCTCCCCGTAGAACAGTTTATTTTTCCTAACTGCTGCTTCCCATTCCCGTTGGGATTCCCAACCCCCTTGGAACACGGGGTGTCTCTGTGCTGGTTTAAAGGTAAACCAGCAGGGGAAATGAACCCAACTCAAAAGAGAGATTATAAATCAGAATAACAATTTAATAAAATAATTCAATAAGTACGATTATACAGACAAACAATTGGTTTTAACCCACAAACCCCCAAATGTATAACCCAGCACCCTGGGGCATGAACAGAGTGGTGTTCCTTGGGCCCCCTGAGTCCAAAGGAAAAGGAGAGGGAAAAACCTGTTGGTGAGAGTGTTTGCAGTCCAGTTGAGAGTGGTCTTTGCAGTCTGGTTGAGAGTGGTGGTCTCAGTCTGGTTGAGAGTGGTGGTCTCAGTCTTCCTCTGGATCCCACGAGTGGTTAAAAACGTCCCAAGACCCCAAGATTATCTATCCTCCAGTTCAGGCAGGAATGCCCAGTACCTCCCTCAGGGGTTCCACAATGGGTATGAGGACAGGAGCACCCTCCTATCTCACAGGCCTCTTAACACCCAGTTTATACCCTGAGGAGTCAGGGCTGCTCTGGGCAGAGGGTGTAAATGGTTCATTGGTAACAGTTTCTGGGAAATGGCATGGAAGGCTATGGAATACCCAGTTGTGGGTTACACCCATGCAGTGATGAACTGGTCCCAGCTGTTCTAACCAGGACACTCTCCCATGTGTTTTGGGCGTGTTTAGGTGATCAAGAACAGCAAGACCAATGTGGCAGAGCTGGAGCTGTTCCCGCGGTACCTGCTGTTCCTGCGGCAGCAGCCGGCCACGCGCACCCAGCAGTCCAACATCTGGGTCAATATGGGTATGATGAGCCTCAGAATGTTCCCTCAGCACTTACCCAGAGGTAACTTAAGAATGCAGCAAGAATGTGCAGTTTCTGAGCCAGCCCCGGGCTGTAGGAGCTTCCTGGCACTGTGCTTGTGCTCCAGCTAATCACCTCTCCGGCACGGTGACGAGCCAAAGGCTTCCTCCTGCCCTCTCCTGAAGGAACAGGCACGGGCAGCGTTGGCAGGGAAGTTGATTTGCATGGTTTACTGTAAGTTGAGAGGGAGAAATGAGCACTGCAGGAACTGAGCTGATAAAGGGCAGAGCTGGTCGTTCCTGTTTGGATTTTTTGTAGAATAGGTGCCTCTGCACCGGGCTGGGTGTGTGCATCTCACAGTACAGTGGCACAATAAATTCAATTAATGTTCAGTCAACTGGTTCTGAGCTGCTTGGGCAGCTGGGCTTTGATGCCCAAAATTATTTAATGCTCTTCAGAAAGCAGCTGAATTAATGGAACATTAAGGTTATTATTTGTCGCGGTTCAGAAAGACAATTCAATGGGAGGTGTAAACATGCAGCTAAAATCTGTTTGTCATAACTGTGGTGGTGATGCTCACCACAAGACTGTACAAGAACCATGTTTAGATTGTGATTTAGATTTCAGCTGGGAAGTGCTGCAGGATTTGTCCCCAGTTCCCAGTTTTCCTGCACAGCTGCAAACCTGGCCTGGCACGAGGGGTTTGAAGGAATCCCTGAATCCCATTTGCATCCACAGGGACAGATGTCCAGAAATGGGCTCACCTGGCTCCTTGAAAATTCAGTCCTTTAGCCTTGCTAGTGTTTAAAAACCTCCTGCAGCTGCTCCATTTCCCCCTGCTTTTATGGAATCTAAACCTCAGGTGTAGCCAGCAGCTGCCTTGTGTGATCGAGTTCCACCACAGAAACTGCCTGCTCCCAAATTCACCTTTCCCACCTGACCTAATCCCATGGAAACCGCTTCCTGCCCAAATTCAAATAAAGAATCTCTGCCAAATTTGATCTCGATTTGGAATCATTTTGCACTGCACTAATTCAATCATCCAATCAGTTATTAATCTGAGTTCTCAAATATGCTTTCTTGCTGTAATCTTACAACTAATCCTCTGATCCCTAATCTCAGAAAATGCTGGTTTGTTTTCTTTGGAAAAAAAAATGAGTACTTTGCTTGGTATACTGAAGCAAGACTGATGCTTTGCTGACTTATGATTAGAGTATAGTTTCCTCTCTTGTCCAATTGCATGGAATAATATAATGTTGCATCTTTTCACGTGGTGCTGTTCATTTTATTTTAATCTTTTTACAGCAAGGGTAGAATGATGTCACTCCTCAGGTCACTTAAGCACTGCAGTTGCCAGTTTGGGCTTGGCTGGATAGTAAAAGCTTGTCATGAGTGTGTTACAGACCTGTCTCTGTGGGGAACCTCCAAAGTTTAAACTAAAACAGCTCAAAAAAATTAAATCTCAAGTCAGTCTCACCTCTTGTGCAGATGTTTTATTCGAAGATGAGCTCACGTTATAAAGAGCAACAATCTTGACTGATGATGGAATTAATTTGTGTTGCAAACATGAGATTGTTGAGAGATTCTGGTGAAAATCCTGGGTGCCATCACAGAGTGTGTTTTGAGGAATTTAGTCATTAGGAATACTTTTGTTGTGAACTCCAGGCTGATTCCATCTGCACAGATCAGCCTTTATCTCCACAGATGAACTGAAGCTACTCCCAAGAATAGTCAGACTGACTTTTTTTGACCTTATTTTTTATTTACGATGTTCTCTCAGAAACAAAATCCTCAGGAAAATTTGAAGCCCTTTACTTTGAAGTTTTACCTTTGCCTCTGATACTGTGTCTTTAAGAGACAAAAAGAACAGTAAAACTTCTTTGAAATGATTTGTTTCCTGTGAGACTCTCAGGGGAGCCATTTTCTAATAGATTTTGGTACCAAGGCAGATAATTTATCTCCTTTGTGATAGCGAGTTTTTTGTCCCAAAGGATCAGGAACAACTGATTCTCCAGTTTATTTTATCCATAAATACAAGCAGTAGAATTGTCTGGTGTTTTTGGCAGAGGCCTGATGGTAAATGCAGCATGTGAGTTGTTACTGCTCTGATTGCTCTCTTGGCCTGGGGGTCATGACAGGGGATAGATTATCTTCTCCCTTTCTCTCCTGATTGTGAATCCAGGGAATGTCCCTTCTCCAAATGCTCCTCTAAAAAGGGTCTTGGCTTACACTGGCTGCTTCAGTCGGATGCAAACCATCAAAGAGATCCATGAATATCTGTCCCAGAGGCTGCGGATCAAGGAGGAGGACATGAGGCTCTGGCTGTACAACAGTGAGGTAATGGGGGCCCTTCTCCTTCCTCTCCTTCTTTTCAGCTATTAAATATCATATTCCTTTCTAGAAACCATTAAATACACCTGCACAGAAAAATTATAGTGGCCATAAGTTTAACTGCTCAGGTTGGAAAACTCTCGCTCCTCGTTTTCCAGAGGTTTTTTGTGCACTCCACTGTTTAATTTCATTGCTTTGAGAGTGTTTTACATCCAGAAGTAATAACTACATGAAGGGGTTTTTTTGTCTCCTGCAGAACTATCTCACCTTGCTGGATGACGAAGATCACAGACTGGAATATCTTAAAATCCAGGATGAGCAGCATTTAGTAATAGAAGGTATAAAAAGGGCCTACCATTAGTTCATGCACTAGAAATAGAGGTTTACAGAGGGAGGTGGTGGTAGAGCCAGCTTAGGCAAGTTTTTACATAGTTTTCTCACAACTTATCTTGAAACAAATGTAATTTGTCCATGTCTTGAAATGCATTTGAATCTGTTGTTGGCTCATAACAACAAAAAATAGTAGTGATCACTCATGGAGTGAACAGATCCCTTCAGATCTGGGGGGATCCTTGTTAATTATTAGAATAAGCACTGGAAAATTTGCTGTCCAACAGGAAAGCATACCCAAGGCTGCTTTCTAAAGATGTTCTGGTGTGGCTGGAGTGATGCCAGTGTTAGAATGACTCCCAGTAATGATTGGAAACATGGAGATGAAAACTAGCAAAAATAATAACTAAAAATAAGCAGATTTCCAGTCTCAAATTTTAGGGAATTTTAATTAAACCTCTTCAACTGTGTAAGCTCTGTGGAGTAAGTAAAATTTTTTTAAAAAAACCCTCTTTCTATCTCTTTCTAGTTCGGAACAAGGACATGAGCTGGCCAGAGGAGATGTCTTTTATAGCAAACAGCAGTAAAATAGACAGACATAAAGGTGAGTGTTTCAGCAGAGTGACTGAATCATGATGGGAAGAAAAGTCCAAGAATGTTTTATGCTGAAACAATTGTTTTTCATCTAAGTGCTCTTAGATTAGAGAGGTCTTGTATGCCTGTGCAGCTTTGCTTGGTCTTTATATTAACTGAAATGCTGGAAATGTGGTGGCAGATAAATCTGTAGGTGTTTAGATACAGAAGTAGTGAAGGATACCTAGCAAATTTTGCATTTTGTGTTTATTATCTTGGACCTTTTTAAGGTAAGGAATTAATTTTAACAAATGGATGCAGAATTTTCAGTACCATAATTAGAGAATGGTTTGTCTGGATTGTGCTGATGTCTGTGGTGGGTCAGGTCCAACCAAACACCTCAATTTCTGTTAAGCAGAGTCGAGAGCAGGTATTTTGAGCATCTCTTGCATCTGTGCTGCTGTAATTGGGAGCAGGTTAAATGAAATTGGTTGCCGTGAAAAGGTCACATCTTTACTGATAACAGCATTCTGAATTTTCACATCTGCACAGTTGATCTGATGATGGGTTTTTTTCTCAGTTCCTACTGAAAAGGGTGCTACAGGGCTGAGCAATCTGGGGAACACGTGTTTCATGAACTCCAGCATCCAGTGTGTCAGCAACACACAGCCTCTCACTCGCTACTTCATCTCAGGAAGGCATCTCTATGAACTTAACAGGTAATTATCTGTGGGAGACCATTGGCATTTGAGATCCTGCAACATTTATTCATCCTGTTCTGAAAGCTGAAGCTCAGTTTAAAGAAATCTTTTCAATTCAGTGTTATCAGCTCTGCAGCAAATACTGATTAGATAACGTGAAAATATAACCTCTCGTTTGTGGGAGCCAGAGGCCTTTCTACTTCCTTGTTTATCTGCAGGCTTGAACTGGGTTTCAGTTTTAATATGGTATTAATTACTTTGTCATTTCTAGGACAAATCCCATAGGAATGAAAGGACACATGGCCAAGTGCTACGGGGATCTGGTTCAGGAGCTGTGGAGTGGGACTCAGAAGAACATTGCACCCCTAAAGCTGAGGGTGAGTGTGCTGGGAGTTAGGGGAGAAAACAAGAATTCCTTCCAATAAATATTTCAGTGGACTTTTTCCTCATGTTACCTGTATTGTAATGGTTTGGAGACTCAAATAGTGTCTCCCCTAGAGAAAGGGAAGGAAACCTGGATGTGTTGGAAGTTGGCTCTGAAGCCGGTGACATCCTGGGCAGTCAGACATCCCCTTTGCCGCTCCAGACTCATCATGGAATTGCCTTTCTTACCTGTAAAGGGTGCAGGGAAGGTGTTCAGGAAGGGGCAGTGCCAGGGGCAAATGCCCTGGAAGAGGAATGTTCATCAGTCCTGGTGCTCAGGAATTCTGTGGAATATGTGGCTCGCTGGTTGTGAGGTCAAAGGAATGACCTGGTATGACTCAGAGGTTGTGGGATAAAATAATGGCTTTCATAGCCCTTTCTAGGGACAAAAGATGATGCATTTGCCTGTAAATGAGCTTTTGTTCTGCAAGCAAAGGGGCTCCCTTTAGCTCTTGGCAATGGAATTTGTTCCCGCTGACAACACGTGTCTTGTCTCCAATATCGTGATTTATTGTTACAACTTCTGCTACGTGATGTTAAATTACTTTGTCATCTATTTCCAGTGGACAATAGCAAAATATGCTCCAAGATTTAATGGCTTCCAACAGCAAGACTCCCAGGAGCTTCTGGCTTTCCTCCTGGATGGGCTCCACGAGGATTTGAACAGAGTTCATGATAAGCCATATGTTGAACTGAAGGACAGTGATGGGCGACCAGACTGGGAAGTAGCAGCAGAGGTAGGGCTTCAAATTGTTTCTGTGCTGGGTTTTTTTGTCCTTATGACACTAAAATATTTTAAGGTACCTGATGATCCTCTCAGAAACACTTTAAATTATGTCATACCTCGATACTTCCGTTAGTTGAGAACTTTACTTATGTTGAAACTCGATACTTGCTATTTATTAGAAGCTACTACACAACTTCTGTGGAAATAATTTGACTCCCATAGGCTTGTGTAACTTTGGAGATCAAAGGAATAGCCTTCAGTTTCTAACTGTTATTTTTTCGTGCTTTGTTTCAGGCCTGGGAAAACCATCTGAGAAGAAACAGATCCATTGTTGTGGATTTATTTCACGGGCAGCTGAAGTCACAAGTGAAATGTAAAACTTGTGGCCATATAAGTGTTAGGTTTGACCCCTTTAATTTTTTATCCTTGCCTTTGCCAATGGACAGCTACATGCACCTAGAAATTACAGGTGAGTGGGGGTGTTTAACTCCTTCTAAGCTGTCATTGCTAAAATCAAAGTTGTACGTGTAGAACAGCTATAAAACATCACATTTTCTTGTGTTAGTACTTGTTATAGTCACTTTAATGTAACAAGAGTTCAAGAATTTTCATTGCAGTACACTTAAACTAAGATGAAACCTTTAAAAACAAAACATAGATGACCCATTTTCAGCCTTGATTGAAGGACACAGAAATATGTAAAATGGAGATTTTGGGAAGTTTGCTTCTGTCCACTCTGTTGTGGAGGTTGTCCTCAATCTGCCTGAAGCAAAAACAAGGCCTAGGGGAAAATACAGTATGGGTCATGAACTTTGCAATGAAGGACCCCTGTATTGCTGGAAAAGAGGCAAAAGAAAAGATCATAAAAAAGTGAACCAAATTTTGAAACCATTTTGTACTGCCTGTGCAAGAAGACATTGTCTGATGTTTGCCTGCAGACCTTGGAAGTTGACTGGGAAAATAAAATATATCTTCAAGCAGGGAAAAAATAAATTCCAATTAGTATGGAACTGTAATGTATTATTCTCATTAAAACTTCCCTGGTTTGCTGACCAATGTGTTTCTTTTCCCCTTTGAAGTAATTAAATTAGATGGTACCACTCCTGTTCGATATGGCCTGAGACTGAACATGGATGAAAAGTACACAGGATTGAAAAAACAGTTAAGTGAACTCTGTGGGCTCAAACCAGAACAGATCCTACTTGCAGAGGTGCACAGCTCCAATATAAAGGTGAGAAGAAAAAAGATGAATCATTGTCTCTTTTTGACATTGTTTTGTGTACAAGGACTCTGAAATAATTGAACTGAAAGTATGATTAAAGAGTCAGCTTAGCTGTATCTCTACATGAACTCTTGTTTCATTCTTAAACAGTAATTTGGCTTGCTGTAAATAAATTAAAATGGATTGCTAATGATATTTTTAGGAGAAAAGCATAGAATCATCTCGAGGTGATAAATCTCAGTTAGAAGTGAGGAATTCAAACGCTGTCGAGGTGGTGGGGGCATAAGTAATGACTGGCTTAGTTCTGTGTGGTGTGTATGTACACCTGTAGATATATTTTGCTGTCACTGCTTGAAATGAAACTTGAAATGTTCTCATTGTGTTTAGAGAACCATCAGTTCCTCTCAGGTTTTGCTGCAGAGGGGTGGGTTCCTTTATTCTTCTAGAAAGGGGTAAGAAATCAGATGAGAGGGAGAGAGAGGAGCTGCTAGATACTCTGTTTTCAAAAGAACAAAGCATGTTTGGATCAGATAAAAGATTGAAATGCCTGACTGACTTTCCCTTCTTCATCGAAGAACTTCCCTCAAGACAACCAGAAGGTGAGGTTGTCGGTGAGCGGGTTCTTGTGTGCGTTTGAGATCCCCATCCCAGGATCCCCCACGTCAGCATCGAGCCCTGTGCAGACAGGTAAGAGAAAACATGGATTGTCCTGTTTATTTAAACTGCACACTGCCCTGGTGTTGAGAAATCCAGGAGAAAGCTTTGCTCCTTGTAATAAGTTAAAAGGACAAGAGCTGCGAGCGGGTGATCCACCGTGATCCCACACGGAATGAGGGGATAAAGATCCTGGGATCAGCTCTGGTTGCTGTGGGTAACTGAGAATTTAATTGTCTCCCTGCAGACACCTCCACTGGGCCCTCAGCTAACGGAGCCCCCACCATCCTGATGAACGGGGACCTTCCCAAGCCCCTCATTCCCAACGGGATGCCAAACACTGTCGTGCCATGTGGGACCGAGCGGAACCCGCCCGGCTGGGCCCTCAACGGCCACGTGCCCTCGCTGTGTGACAGCCCCTGCACAGGGTACATCATTGCAGTGCACAGGAAAATGGTCAGTGGGCTATGGACTGGCTGGGGGACACACTGGGAAAGAAACTATCGAAAAAACAAGACTTTTTTAATGTCCATGTGGTAATTAATCTTTATTTCCGAAGAGGAGAGGGAGCGTGAATGCATTTCCCTCCTATGCATCGTGTGAAATGTAGAATATTGTACACGACTGAAGTACAGATTTATGTTTGGTGTGGTCTAGTGCCTGAATGACATGGCCATAATATCATAAAATACAAGCATTTTTCAAGTCAGTGGTCAAAATTTACAGTATTTAATAATGGAAATAGAGTGGTTTTAGTAGAATTAATGGTTAATTTTAATTGCCAGAGCAAGGTCAGCACCCAGGTAATTATGGGGCCATGAGTTAATGCACCTTTCCATGTGAGTCCTTTTATTTCCTGCACACAGATGAGGACAGAGCTGTACTTCCTTTCATCCCAGAAGAATCGTCCCAGTCTCTTTGGAATGCCCCTCATTGTTCCCTGCACGGTGCACACCCGGAAAAGGGACCTGTACGATGCCGTGTGGATCCAGGTGTCCAGGCTGGCCAGTCCCCTCCCTCCTCAGGAGGCCAGTAACCATGCCCAGGACTGGTGAGTGCAGCCTCTGCCTTGAGGGACCCAACACAGTGGCTTAAACTTGGTTACAAGGTTTAAAATTAAATTAATCGCTGTCAGGTTTGATTTCTCATAATAATGGCAATGATAAAAATACCTCGTAATCCTTTTTGTAACAGCTAAATGTTGCTGCACGTGAAGGTTGGCTTTACACAAATGGGTTGATTGATAATTATTCATATCTGGCAAATTTAGGCCATGTAAAGGCAGGTTTTAATAGCTTAATCTAATCAAAATTATAGTTTTAAGTTTATTTGGGTTTTTTTAAGTAGACGTAAGCCTGGTTAAGGGGGTATGGCAGTGAGTGAGTGCTGCTGTTTGATGTTGTGTTCTCTTCTGTTTCAGTGATGACAGCATGGGGTATCAGTATCCCTTCACCCTCAGGGTAGTTCAGAAGGATGGAAATTCTTGTGCTTGGTGTCCATGGTACAGGTAAATTGTCCCTTTTTTCGATTTACAGCAGGGAATCACTCCAGCAGAAAGGTAATTTATGGTAATGGCTCTGTGATGCATTTCAGACTTCAGAGGTAATATCAAACAATAAGAATCTAGAATCCAATTTCACCAGATCTCTCCCAGGGCAGACTTGCACTGTAGTGCAGCTTCTATGGCTTGGGGAGCTGAAAGCTGGCACAGAAACTTTAAATTAGGAGGCAGACATGAGATTATCAAAAACCTCTCAGAATATTCCGTGTGTATGTGCTGGCACGTGTTCCACATGCTTGGATGGTTTTGGGGGGTTCATACAAACCCAAACTTCAGATGTAAATCAGCTACCCTTGTGAGATCCTGTGCCACTGGAAGGGTAAGAACTAAGATGGGCAATAAGGAATTCACCCTGGAAGGATGCTTGGAAATTTTCTGAAACAAAAATTCCAGGCCCCTCCTGGAGAGGTATTTGGACATAGCTCATTTAAAAAAAAAAAAAAAAAGTGTCTTGCAGCTAAATAATCAAGTGAATTGGTTATCATGGAGTAAACAAAGCAGTGTAGTTTTTGGGGTGATAGATCCTGGAATGGAAGGGACCTTAAAGCTCATCTCATTCCAACCCCCTGCCAAGGGCAGGGACACCTTCCACTAGGGAACCTTCCCCTGGATCATCTGCAGGCAGAGGGTTGGATTCACCCAAATGCTTCAGTTCCTCATCCCTGTTCAAGTTTTGTGGGAACACAGCAAATGACTCTGAGGATTGTTGTATAAAAACACCTCTGACCCCGAGGCCAGGCCTGGAACCCGGAGGGCGCACGTGTCAAAAAACAAGGAGCAGAACTGAGCAAGTAAAAGCCCCTGGGCAGTTCCTTATCCAATCTGACTTTTCGGTGCAGGTTCTGCCGGGGCTGTAAAATCGAGTGCACAGAGGACAGAGCCTGTGTGGGCAGCGCTTACATCGCTGTGGACTGGGACCCCACCGCCCTCCACCTGCGCTACCAAACCTCCCAGGAGCGGGTGAGACTCCAGCACAGACCCTCAGCCCTTCAGCTGTGCTCTGAAGCGTGGCCCATTTCATCTCTTTTTTAATTTATTTGATGCTTCTCTAGTCCATTTTCTCTTGATGTAGAGTCAGTGATCACGGAGCAGTATATTCTGGGTAAATTGATGTCAGTGTTAGACCTCTTAAGTGGTTGTATAGTGTGGAAGGGAAGCTTTTAAGTGACCACAGCTACCTGTTGTGAGTTGTTTTTGATCTAGTCTCTATAAACTATTACAAAATATGTTAATTTGAAGAATTTTCGGTAACTATAAACAGTTACGCATGTGAGTAAACCCATTTCCCCATTGAGTCAACAAAACCTATGTAAAGGTAAAAACCTGTGCTTGAGTTGATCTAGAACAACTGGTCAAACTTGTGAGTTCAATCCATAAAGCTGTGCCTTATGGATAATCTGTAAGCAGAGCCCAAGAACGAGGACAGTGAATTATTTTTATACCTGCCTCTTCAGAACTGAAACGAAATTTTCTGCTAAAACTGGGCACGTCCAGTTTTTACCTTCCATTCTAAACGAGTCCCTGAAGTTATTTGTGTGGTGCTGGGGGCAGAGCCTCCCTCTGAGCACTGTGTGTACCTTGGCAAGTCAGATGCAGTTTTCTCTGCCCTCAGATCGTGGAAGAACACGAGAGTGTTGAGCAAAGCCGCCGGGCTCAGGCGGAGCCCATCAACCTGGACAGCTGCCTGCGAGCCTTCACCAGCGAGGAGGAGCTGGGGGAGGATGAGATGTACTACTGCTCCAAGTGCAAGACCCATTGCTTGGCCACCAAAAAACTGGATCTCTGGAGACTTCCCCCTATTTTGGTATGATCTTTTGTGTGGTTTTCCTCCACAGCAGCAAACCCAAAGTACGTTGTTCCCAAATCTGAATCGCTCGCTGTGAGGAAGGTGATTTGCTTTGCTCACAGCCTCAGGAGGGGACTGGCTGGGTTTGCTGTGTGAGGTTCTGTCAGGCAGGCAAATAAAGCAAACCTCAGAGTTCCTTCTGAATGTTTGTAGCTGCTCCATGGCAGGAAATGGTGGTGGTTTGTGATCAGGGTGAGCTGTTGTGACACCGAATTCACGCTCAGATGGGCTTTCTGGTAACATGATCTTTACTTGGGCAACACCTGCATTTCTTATTTTTCAAATTTGGTTGGTTATTCAAAACAGACAGTGCTGATCACTGAGCTGAAGCAACCCTTTCCATCAATTCCCCATGAAAACATTAGTTTCATATTTTACCACCTTGATCCCAGAATCCAAGTTGTCACACGCAGCTTTGTCACCGTGTTTATTAGCAAGCGATAAAACGTGTATGTTTTGTGAAAAACTCCCTTTAAACAGTGAAATTACTCACTGGGATGTAGTTGTCCTCCTTTAATTTTCTCCAACTTCTCTCCTTAGATCATTCACCTGAAAAGGTTTCAGTTCGTAAACGGCCGCTGGATAAAATCCCAGAAAATTGTCAAATTTCCCCGAGAAAATTTTGACCCAAGTGCCTTTTTGGTACAAAGGGATCCAAGTCATTTCCAAAGGAAGGCCCTGACGCTCCAGGTGGACACGGAGCCACGGAGCCTCCCAGGGGAGCCCAGGAAAACAGAGCTGCAGAGCTCTGGCACACCAGGGGAAGGAGAGACACTCAACAGGAGCCCGTCCTCCCTCAACACTACTGTCCTCAACAGTGTCAAAGGTAGGCAGTGACATGGGGACATTCCAAAATCTGAACCTCTTGAGTGTTTTGGCCAAAGCTCCTCACTCACTTTGAAACATTTCTTAGTGTTTCTTAGTGAAGCTTTACCATGAAAAACCAAAGAAAAATAATAAAGTTGCTCAGTGCCAACAGATACCGGCACTCGTGTAAGTGGGCTGGAATAAGAGTGAGGAATGTGCTCCTGCACAAAAGAGGTAAATTTCAGTTTCCAGGTGTGCACAAAGATAGATTTTTAATTCCATATATGACTCGTTAGTTCTAATGAAAGAGTGGTTTTTTTTTTTTAATGTTTGGTTATTAAAAAAATCACTTTTTCAGAAGAAACCCAGACTGTGTGTTTACTCGTCTTAGTAATCCACGTGCTTTCTGTTTTAGCATCTCCATCTCTGGGGAGGAAAGGTGGAACCAGCTGTCCCTCGAGTAAAAACAGCAGCCCAAACAGCAGCCCCAGGACTTTAGGGAGGGGCAAAGGGCGGCTGCGGCTGCCCCAGCTGGGGAAAAACAAACTGTCCAGCAGCAAAGAGAACTTGGACGCCAACAAGGAGAACGGTACCGAGCAGGAGCAGGGGGATGCCCTCACCAAGGGGCACGTGCTGGGGGGCAGCCAGAGCGAACTGTGCGGTGCCCAGGAGGGCGAGGGGCCTCTGGCCAACGGGTACCTGTGCGAGCAGAGCTCCTTCAGCAACGGGCTGAGCGCGCAGGGGGACGCCCACAGCGAGGACGACGGCGCCGACGACCAAAGAGAGGACGTGTGTGCGAACCCCATCTACAACCTTTATGCAATCTCGGTACGTGCACCCTGCGGGGCCGGGGCAGCGCCTCGGGGGGACGGGCTTGGCACCAAATGCCTGTTGTGGTCACTGCAGTTGGGAAGGAGGACGAACTGGCACTGAGTCCAACTGAGGTGTCTCTCTGCCACCTGTTTGTTCTGCTCGAGTGTGTGAAGTTAGATCGTTGTGAGCCATTGTCACATGCAGATAATGAATTTGTGAGTTGTTTCCTTGATCCAGGATTGATTCTCTTCTTCATTTCCTTCAGTGCCATTCAGGAATTATGGGAGGGGGTCATTACGTCACTTATGCCAAAAACCCGAACAACAAGTGGTACTGCTACAATGACAGCAGCTGTAAGGTAAATCACTGCTTCTTCTAGCAAATAGTGAGTGATTTTTCTAGCAAATAATAATCTGGTTACTTGTTGCCAAAGAAACTTACCTTATAGAGTCATGGAATCGTGGAATGGTTTGGGTGGGAAGGGAGCCTAAAGCTCACCTTGATCCAACCCCCTGCCAGGGGCAGGAACACCTTCCACTAGACCAGACACTTGGTGAGGGCATCTCAAAAGCTGCATCAGAGAAATATTAAAATTATTAACCGAAATTGTACATGAGATTTTTTCCAAGGTGACATCTGTTCATCAGCTGCTCCCACACTTAAAGATGCTTATTTTGTGCAGAGATGGGGAAAATTACTAAAAATAGGAAGCCAAGAATATATTTTCATGATGGGAGCAGTTTGTATTCAATTAGTGAATAATTCAGTTCTGATGTTTTTAAGTATTTGCATTTATCACTATAAAATATGTCAGACTTCTCCAGTAATTAATGGAGCCTGATAACAAATAAGAGAGCAGAAACGTGATTTATTTGTTTTTTATTTGTTACAAACAGACAGTTAAAAAGAGTTTCCAGGGCAGTCTTGTGTATTTTAAGTTCCGTGACAGTAACACGATCATCCCGTTGCGTCTTCCCGCCCGTGTGTTTTCCGTGTCCCAGGAGCTGCACCCGGATGAGATCGACACGGACTCTGCCTACATTCTGTTCTACGAGCAGCAGGGGGTGGACTATGCCCAGTTCCTGCCCAAGATCGACGGCAAGAAGATGGCAGACACGAGCAGCATGGACGAGGACTTCGAGTCCGACTACAAGAAGTACTGCGTGCTGCAGTGAGCGAGGAGGAGCTGCCCGCCGTGGGAGCAGGGGAGGGGGACACCCTGCAGGGCAGGGGACGCTGAGGGCGTCCCTGGGACGCGTCACCCACGCGTGGTTGTCGCAGCCCGTGGGCCGAAAGCACAAAAAGCACCCCCTGGTTACCCAGTTAATATCCAGTAGTATCGTTTTGTTCTGTTTTCTCACTACGCGCTCTGAACGTTTCTGATGTCGGACATCAGGCTGAGACTGCCACTGGCCTTTAAATCTAATGGTTTGAGAAAAGCCACCCAGGACCAAATAAGAGCTAAATTAAATAGTCCAAATAAGAGCTAAACAAAGTAGTGTAGAGTTTACCAACTGTTCTAACAACCCCCCGAGGCTCTCGTTAGGTTTAAGGTAATGGGGAAAACCAATTTGTAGTGTTGTCTTTGGACAACATGATATTGCTACCTCCTTTTTCCTGCAGTTTTATTGCATTTTATTGGCAAAACAGGGAAAGCAAGAGAAGGAAAAGTGCACAAACCGAAAGAATTACCGTCAAGAGTAGGAGAAGTTTCCAGTTTTGCCACCACTGATGTGTGTCCGTTGCTTTCTTTCTGTATGTTGGGAGCACAACCCAAATCATCCTTTGAGAAGAGATTCATTTCTGCACTCGAATGGTTTGTTCTCTTGTGTTTCCTCCCCGTGCTGGCCGTGCACATCCAGCAGGTTTCTTCAGCCTGGAGAGTGCTGGCTCAAACCTCTGAGCTGCCTCAGGCTGCAGAGAGTAGCTGTGGTTCCACTCGTGGTGTCTTTAAAGTGTGCACGTTGCACGGGGCGTTCCCGGCGTGCGGAAGGAGAGACGCTTGAGCTTTTATGTTCCATGACCGGTGTTGCTTTTTAAATTTGCACTTTTGAAAATGCGTAGAATTGAATTGAAAAACCAGAGTTTGGTTTTTTGTTGTTTGTTGTCGTCGTTGTAAGGGCTCTGGAGTGAATGGCTGTGAATTATCCACTGTGTATTTCCAAGGGAGGCGAAGCTGTGGCTGTCAGGGAGCTCTCGTAGCATTCATGGATGGAGATATTTTTTTTTTTTTTTGGTTTCATAATTTAATGGAGTTTCTTGGTTTCAAAATTTGGTTGCCTTTTCAAATTTTCTTCTTTTTTTTCTTTTTTTTTTTTAAAACAACAGTTTATGCAAATACTTGCAATGAAACCAGAATTGCTTTCCCTGCCCTTGCAACAGTGCTCTGTAACTCCAGGGGCCTGTTGCAGGAGGGAAGGTGTGACTGAGTCTTAGCAGAGACTGGAAAAAAAGATGGTTGTTTTTTGAGCAGGCATTTCCTTGAACATTTTCAGTGTTAAGTCGTTTGCATATCTGAATGAAGATAAAAATCTCACTCTTTTGGCCTTTTTTTTTTCCTTCAGCTGAGTTCAAGCAGCTCATTAATTTTGTCCTGTGTCATCTTCCCAGTTCTCTGGATTCTGTATCTTCACTGACAGAGCTGTGACTTACGTGGTTCTCTGAAATGAACGTTTGGATTCTTCCTGAGGGGTTTTACAAGGCTGCCAAACCTTCAGTGGGTTTGTCACTCCCAGGAAGGTCTGAGCTTTCTCCATGTGAGGAATGGAATCAGCTGGTCTGGCTGTTCCCTCCTTGGGAGGTTGTGCCTCTGCAGGGGCAGCAGATCTGTTCCAAAAATGGGTATTGTCTTACCTGTCAGGTGTTGCTCCTTATCCTCTCTGGTCTTTTATCTTTCAAGTGGTCTAAACATTGAGCCTGAAGAAAAGCAAACATGACTTGGGAATTTCTAGGGTAGAAGCTTTTTCAATACCCACTTGTCTGCTCCTCCCTCAGCAAACTCCATGAAAAGTGAAAGATTTTCAACTGATTTACTTTAAAATGTTTTATTTAAGCAGGTAGCACAATCTACTAATGTTATTTGATCTTCTGTGTTTGTTACATTGGTTGTAATTAATTTTTTAAATTAAATTAATTCATAAATTAGTAGTAAATTTATTAAGTTAACTATTAACTACATTCACTTTGTAAATTATTGTATAAAAACTTATTGACAATGCACTGACTTTAGAAAGATGTTAATGTACATAAATACCTTGTAAATAAAATAGTGTTGATGTACTGGAATATGAGCTGTATTAAAACAAAGGTATTGGTAATTGTATATGGAGTGAACCTGTTTATCTGTAACTATATTATTCAAACAAATTAAATACTGTGGATGCAGATGAAGTGTCACTTCTTGTCAGATAATTTTTAATAACTCTTTTCCTGCTTTCAAGTGTCTGTGCTGTTTTCATTCAGCTTAAATGTGTTTGTCAATCCAAAAAACAGGAACGTGGGAATGAGCATCCAGCAATTCTTTATTGCTTACCAGAGGTGAGTTGGGTCTTTTCTCAGTGGAGTCCCTTGTTCAGTGTTGCTGTGGACAGTAAGTGTGGTTATTATTTGGAAACAGTCCTTTTCCAAGGTGGAAGGAGCCCTCAGGTCCGTGAGGTTTGGCTCTCCTGTCTCTGGAAGGAGGAGCTGCAGGTCCTCCATGGACAGTCCCGGGGCCTGACGTGTTCCTGCTGCTGCTTCTCCCAGTTTCTTGCTTGTGGATGGTGCTGAGACATTTCCTCTGAGCAGACACTGCCTGGGAGAGCTTTAACTGCAATTACAGTCGTGCTTTTTTCCAAAAAGGAAGAGAATCTGGTGGATTCTGGAAACTGGACCCAAGTCCAGGGTGAGCTGTGCCAGGAGACACAGGTTGTGGAGGTTCTTTGCTTTTGAGTGTTTCCAAAGACACTGTTGAGCTGGACGTGAACAACTGTTCTTATTTTATGGCCCTTCAAGGTGCTAAATGGATATTTATCCCAGGATTAGCAGACATCAGGATCATCACCAGGATGATCCAGAGGAACTGGTGTCCCTGGAAGTGAGGCCCTCTCTTGCTGTGTTTGGAGTGCTGGTGCAGCACTAAGTGATGACCCTCGAGCTGGGTTCAGTTGCCTTTACTGCCTGGGGTCATTCCTCACCAGGGTGACCAGCCCACAGTGTCACTGGAGTCACTGGGGCATTTTCAATACTGGAATTTGAATTTCAGTGAAAGAATTACAGTCTCTAGTTGTTCCTATTGTGCATTTCCTCTCTTAAGGCTTTGAGGTATTGGAAGTGCAGTTTAAAAAGATTAAAAATTCTAATTACCAGAGATGTTCATGCGTGCTGTTGTCAGTGGTAAAGCTTTTATTGATTCAGAAGTGTAGGAAGGGCCATTAAATAGATGCAGGGATCATATCCCTGCCAAAACCTGCAGCCATTTTCTGCTGCTGAATCCCTTTTCCTTCCCAGATCAGAACTGTGCAGTCTCAGACAAGGACTCTAAAATTAGCAGAGCCCATTTTGTGAGATGGGAGGGATGTGAAATGAGCTGTGGTGGAATTTTCCCCTCATACCTTTTCGGTGCTGGAAGTGCCTGTGCTACACTTGAGGGTGGTTGGTCAGCCTTCCTTCAGACCTGCACCCACCAGCTGTGCCTTCTGATCCCTCTCCTGGGAGGGAGGGGAAAGATGGAGCGGGGAAGGCATCTTATTTTCCCTGGTGTGACAGGAGGGACATGCACAACTCCTGAGGGTGCCCTGCTGCCGAAGGAGTGCCCGCTGTCCCTTCCCTGCAGGCTGACAGTCCCAACTCCAGAGGTACTTCCCGTCTCCATCCAACTCTTGAATCTGCTCTGGAGCCACTGTTGTGGCTGGAGTGCATCCCCCTGCTCCCTACCCTCCCACAGGAGGCTGTGTCCCTGCTTTTCCCTGTTTCTAAATATCTGGATATCATGGATTTATCCCTTATCTGCCCTCAGGGCCCTCAAGTGCCCCGAGAACGTGCTGGGCTGCGGCCGCTGGCCCAGGGCCCCGGAGCATCCGCGAAGGTATTAATTATACCTTTTGTTACACTTGTTCCCTCAGGTGCAGTAAATTGGAGCAAGAAGTGAGTGAAATGCAGCCATCCATGCCTGCTGATTTATCACTTCAGGAAAATAAAACCCTCTCAGAAGCTCGGGAGATTGTGCCTTTTGTTTGGGACAGGCCTCCGACTTCCTTGATGGCGTGTAAAAGATTTCCTGTTTGTGAGAATGGAAAGAGGTGTTTGGTAAGGTCCCTTAAACCAAATGAGACACAAACGAGAAAATATGGTGAGGATGCTCCTGGGTTTGATACAAATTAAATTTTCAGAGCATGTTTGCAGAATCTGAAAGTCCTGCTCGTGGTAGTTGCTCACTTCAGGAGTCTTAGGAGCTCACAAAAGCTAAAACACCCGGGTGACATCCTGGCTGGTTTATGATACAGGCACACAGACTTTTGGGGTTTAAATAATGTTTTTCCATTTCCCTAGTTTTTGCAGTGTAGACCTTTTGTCTGGGGTAAAAAGCCCAGCAGGTCTGAGGAAGGAGAACTGAGCAGGATGTCAGGGTGTCCGTAGGACACGTGGGCTTGAGGAGTTGTTCCTGTAAGGGCAGAGCTGAGAGGACAGTGGGAAATCAAGCTTAGTCCTTTATTTAGATTGCACAAAAAATGACCTCAAGACTGAAAATCACAAGGAGAATTTCTGTTGATTTGTTACATTTCAGTTGTTCAGCCACTGGTGGCTGGAAGCTTTCGGAGCTGGTGTGGTTGGTGGTGATGCCCCTGGAAAAGGCACGGGAATAAAACCAAGCCAGGCTGCTTTCCTGTGTTTATTCCAGCTTGTGAGAATGAAAGAGGCACCAGAAGCAGGTATGGATGCTCATTTTGAGACTAAAACAAGATAAATATACCAGTAGGAATAGAACATGCATTTGTACAAAAGCCCATCCAGTGGCTTCCCCCTGCTAATTGTGAGAGTAGAAAACAAATGGAGGAAAAATAATGGCAAAATACAGCTTTTATTTTGATTTAGGGTTATTCCAGACAGCTCTTGAGCAGTTACCTGATGACTGACCCTCACCTTCTAACTTCTAACAGTGCATTTAAAAACACTGAGGAGAGCACAGATGTCCCCAGGTGGGTCACAAGCTGCTGGGGGGGATCGGAGTTCGTGCACTCCCATCCCCTGCAAGAAAAATAAACAGAGCAGCAGATGCTTGAGAGCCTTTGTTCCAGTGTTTGTGTGATCTGACAATACAGGACTCCCTGTACTTGGATATTATTTATCTCGGTGCTGCTGGAAGTTTTTTTCAGCATTAGAGTTTTATTGGGTGCAAAGTCCAACTGGACTGGCTGGGGGAGCTCTGCTGTGTGGGGACTGTGCTGAGCATTTGGGAAGTGTTGTCTCAGTCTGTTGTTCCTCAGCTCTGTGTAACAGGCTAAAATCCCACGTTCTTCCCTGATCCAGAGTTTGGGAAGCACAGGGAGCTCCTTGGGAAGGGGGCCTTACCAAGGCAGACTCTGTTTTATCTCATGACAGGAACAGAGACATTTCCCTTTTACTCAAACCAAAGGGATGGAGGGTTTTTTTTACTTTCTGTCTTGTCCACAGACTGTAACATCAACTTCATAGAAATGAAATCATAGCACAGGGTATTATTTGGCATAGAACTATTGAATCATAAAATAATTTGGGTTGGAATGAGCTGATCCAGTCCAGCCTTCTGCTCAGAGCACTGTCCTCACTGAATTAGAGCACACCCTAATGCTGCAGATAATGGTGATTTAAAAAAAAAAACTACATAGATTTTGTAAATTAGAAAACAAAAAGATATTTTCATTTCTGAAATATCTTCTTTTTACTTTGGTTTGTCATTATTCTGTCACAGTCAGGTCATCTCACTTAGACTTTCAGGGAGAAGTTTGGCCAGGTATTGCTGCAGCTCTGGGTGATCTTGGTTTAAATTTGCTGAGATATGATATAGGAAGCACAGTATTAACCTAAAACTTCCAGACTCAGAAGGGTTGAACTGGCTGAGTTTTTGAGCTCTGTGGTTCAGATGTTCTTGCAGCAGTTTAAATCCTGGCTCAGGGTTTTGTTGAGACGCTGGAGGTTTCTGTTGTGAGCCACCACCAAGCAGAACAGAAAGCTCGATGGATTCTTTTGTTACATGATGTTTTCCTTCTGATATGGAATAAAACCCCTTTGGAGATCTCTAAATCAAAGCCATTCGTGTTGTATCAGAACATTTCTTCAAGGGGCAGGAAAGGATTCCACACAGGAAGGCCCCAGTGATGCACGAGGCTCGTTAGCACACGCTCCCGTCGATGACCTCGCTCGCGCTGGTGAAGGTTTGTTTGCCATGTGCTCGTGCCTTTTTATCTCCAGTTTTGATTATAAAAATGTTCCTGTTTAAAAGACCCACGCCAGGGAATAAATCTCTGGGCCCAACAGCCCCTTTGAGCACAGGCAGCCCCAGCATTTAACTTGTAACAAAGAGACTTTTGGTGGAAGCTTTTTGATAAAAGGTTGGCAGCATATCAGAGGAGCAGTTTGGCCATGAGATACGAACAAGGATGTCACTCTGGATGTTTTAACTTCTTACCTTTCCTTCCAATTATTTTTTTTTAAATGATTATGAATGAATTATAAACCAGAAAATGATTACTTTCAGTGTGGGTGTTTCCAAATAGTGCCTCAATTAAAGAAGCCAGTCTGTTTTGCTTTTAACATAATCCAGAGATCTGGCAGCTCAATGAGATACTGCTGTAAACCAGCAGCAGTTTAAAGGAGTAAGAATTCAGAGTGACCTGAAGAATAATTAGCTTTTAGCACAAAATCTGTCAGGATGAGGAGCTTGGACTGTTATTTAACTTATTTGATTTAACTAGGACCAAAATACTGGTTGCCTTCCCTCTCGTGTGAGTGGCAGGTGGTGGAAAAACAGCAGAAGACAAGGTGAGGGTGAAGAAGGGTAGAGTTCAAATAAATAAATAACATATATTAGAGCTGATTAAAGGAAAGGTAGGACACGAATGTGAGCATCCCCTCTGAATATATTTCACTCTGAGCTGGGTTTGCTCCTGCTTCCTTCAGCTGCTGGGTTGGATTGCAGGGCACAAAGCAGACACCTCCTGTACCTCAGCCTGGTGTCCCAGGCAGCACCAGCCCTTTGTCAGCCCCTGTCTGCTCAGGCAGGTTATAAATCTGTAACCTTGCACTTCACCTTTTGTGTCTTGTTTAATGACCTTTTCAAACTAAATGCAGGATGGCCGAGGGGAAGGGGATGGGCCGTGGAAAAGCTGACACGTCCGCAACCTGAGCTCTGATGGTTCTGATTGCTCCAGTCTGCTGAACAAAACTGCTTTTTCTTTGTGGGGAAGAAAAAGAGGGACAAGGGGGACAGGGAAGGGTTTTCTTAGCCGGGTTCTCTGTCTGTAAAATGCAGTTACCTGCTTAAAGAAGAGGCTGCACTCGTCCAATATGAAAAAAGACTTTTTACACAAATCTCTATTTCATTTTCAGAAGCTGTTGTTTCAAGGGCCTCTTGTAAGAGCCACTGGAAGTGTCATCCTTAATTTCTTTTGCATAAAAAAAGATCGTTTCAAGTTCTTAACAGGCTCTTCTTCTGTTTCCCACACTACTAAATTTAATATACACAGACTTGATATAAAAACATATGATAACTTTTATGTGAGTCCATTAAAGTGTATATTATCCCTAAGGAATGTCTTACTATAAAATGCTCTCCACTTGAATGAAAGGAAAACTGAAGTTTCCCACCATTTCAAACCGGGACAATAATTTATTTTGGTGATGATTGTAATGGGTATTTTGGGTCCATGTGTACAATAGTAAAACTGACACTGTTTTCTTTTGTTTATGTATTTTGCTTAAAATAACAGATGACTCCAAAGGAAGGTATTTGAGGAAGAATGCTTGCAGAGAGGGGCCACATTTATTTTGGCTGGCTGTGCTGGGCTGTCAGCTGGACACCAACCTGCACAATTCAGAGAGACCTTCAACCTGCTCCCAGCTGCCTTTACCACAACAGCTTACAATGCAGGATCCCCCCCTTGCTCAGCTGACCTGGGCTGACAGTCCCTTGCAAGCTGCACCAAATACTTTCCAGTCATTTTACTGCTTAAGATTCCCCAAATAACTGGGATACCAAAAAATGTGTTGTGGGCAGGTCACTTGTACTGTTTGCAGTTTGTGCATGTCCACGGTTGTGCTGTGCCCTGTCTGACTATTTCTAGTGGTTAGGCCTTAACTGAACTTTTATTTCAGAGTCTTACTATTTTCATCTTGTCTTTGCAGTGACCTGCTGGTCACTTTTTAACAAGAGGGGAAAAAAGGAGTGAGGAGTGGGAAGAGAGGAAATTGCCACCCTTTCAGTATTAGAAATAATGTCCCTGATGGCAGAGGACTCGTAGAAGTCATCAGTGATGATTAAATTCCTCTTAATAAGAACAAACAGAGCTGTCGATGGAGGACGTGCTGCAAGGAGCTTCCTATGGAAATCACCCCATCCAAATGCTAACCCAGGAGTGCTCAGGGCACTGGGGCAGGAGAGCTGTCTGTCCTGAAGGTCCCTCGCAGGTGAGTCTGGAGACGAGGCAGGCAGAAGGGTGGGGTGGGGAGCAGCAGGACGGGCTGTGCCCAAAACAGTCCCTTTGCCACGGGTTATCCCGGGATAACTGACTGCTCTCTCATGAGGGCACAGGGTGTGTTAATCACTCCACTCCAGCGGTCCTGACAGGAACTTGGCAGCAGGTTCCAGCCACCCAGGCACTGAGGCTGCAGGTTTTATGGCCGTGCCCAGATGCGGTTGTGGGGCTGTTCTCCCTCATTTCCTCGGGGAGGAGCAGGTTACACTCTCACTGCTGTGGGCTCTGCTGGGGACAACTGGTTTGCAAAGTAAACTGTTGCTTTCTCATGTGTTGAGGGGTTTTTTTTACCCCCATCTCAGTCTTTATTCTTATTTTTTTAAGCGTGTATTTAGTGTGTTCAGCCAGAAAGTTGAAAATTTCAGGCAGCTCTGTGTTCTGCAGAAGTTAAACACTTACTTAGCCATTTATGTCTTAGTCAAAGGAGGGAAAAGAGCTATCGGAGGAGTTGATTCCATCTTATAGAGCTTACTGTGCATGCTCTTTTGTAAATGAGTTTAGCTCTCCAAGGTGCTTCTGCCCATCCCTGGGTCCCACAGCCCTCCTGTGAACGTGTGTTACCTTGTGTTGGCAAAACCAGCTGCTGGTTTCACCAACTGATCTCTCTTTCTTGAGGCTGAATCTTTCCTGGGGTCATTTGGTACTTGCTGAGAAACAGGCAGGCAGGATTTTGCTTTTTCATAAGCCTTATACGAGGCATTTATAAATCATGAAGCGTGGATTGCCTGCGGTCCCAGCAGGTCTTCCCTGTCCCGGCCTCACAACAGCCCTGTGGCTGCAGCAGGAACTGCACTGGCTTTTTGAGTGCGTTTCCGTGCAATCTGAATGTTTGTGCTTTATGAGCTTTAATAGCTGTTTTTCAGCATAAATCAGCCTGGATGCATCACGTGTCCACTGCTATCCGTGGGATCATAAACCCCAACTTCCCGTTTATGCCCTGGCGCCGCGGTAACAACGACGGGAACAATAGAGACCCCTTTCAGGGGGTTGATGTGAGTGACACCAGAGTCCTTGTCACAGTGCTTGGTAAGACACCGTGTTCCTGCCAATCAAACCGTTGTAACACCGCTGGAGCAAATGGAGCCTTGGCGATTTCTCCGCTCACAACCTGCTTTGTGGACTGAGCTCTCTGTACGCAGGGACACTCCTGGGACTGCAGCTGTCACAGCACACAGTTCCTAAAATGTTTGAGCTGAACCAATGATCTGGAGCACTGAAATTCTCTGAGGAGATCAAATGAGTGGTGAATCCTCCCTTTTGCTTAGATGTGTTTGGCATGAAGGGCTGCACAGACGGCGGGGTACCATCAGTCACTGTGCCTCTCAGCTGACAGGGCTGGAGAAGCTTCAGCAGCTCCATGGTTGACTTTCTGTCTTTATCTTGCTGTTTTAAGATTTAAACTCCATCTCTTGTTTGCCCTGGGGAGGTCACTGCTGTTCTCCCAGGGGTACTGCCAGGTTCAGCAGTCACTGCTGGGTTCCAGGACATAAACCATCATGTTTTACTGCATGTAAGAAAGCATTTTGTGCAATGCTGAGACTTCATGTGCCACAAACTCAAATGATTGCAGGTTTACAAAGATACTGCATTCTTGATAGGAAATGTCTATGATTTATTTAGAATTTAATCTCAACATCAGCACAATCAGCAAAATGTAAAACTTCTGCCTTTCTTTGTCTCTCATATAAATTCTTCATAACTACCCGTCTAATCACTAATCCATCAAGATCTTTCTCTTACGTGCTGGGAACAACGAGCAGTCTTGGTAATGTGGGAAGGGAATGGGTGTTGACATATGAAGGTAATTTCAGTCGATGAAAAACAATATAGTTTTGAGAGGTAATAAAAAGGAAGGGCACAGAGAAGTTTAGCTAGAGATAGCTAGGAGATGGATTACGGGAAAACAAAACCCATGGTCATTAAAACAGTATCAGCTGTTCAGATTTCTTTTTACATCCAAACAGTGTTTGACTACTGGATGTCTAAATCACTTCAGAAGATATTAATAGGTAAAAGATAATAAAATAACCCAAATTGATTATGATCTTATAGCATTTACGATATAACTTTAAATGCAAATTGCGTTCAACTGCAAGAAGGGAAATGATGTCCCAAAGGCATTTCAATTAATTGCTGTAGTTAATTACACTCATAATTTTACTTGTGTGACTAATTATAATCAGGTTTTATCGGTGTATATGGATTTATTTCTGATGCTAAAAGCCCCAAACAGCAGGTTATTTTTAGGAAATACATTTAAACTTCATAATGGAAACTACATGTTCCCATTCTCAGCAGTTGGCTGGAACGAGCTGTGTTCAGGAGGAGTTTGGAGGAGATCAGGAAGGGAACGTGCTGAGGAGGGGTCTGGGGAGGTCACTGTGGCGCTGCTGCTCCATTGCTCCCTCTCCCAGTTTCTTTGATTGCTTTTTATCCTGTGTTGGGCACCAGAGTCCTCGATGGTGGCCCCGAGGTCACCAGGGGGACTGGAATTCTGCTGGAAAGGCACTGGAAGTGCCACCTCTGTTCCCTGCAGCCGCTTGTGAGACACTTTATGGGGGCTCCTCGAGCAGCCAAAGCAGCGCTGCTTTTGGGGGTGATGCCTGTGGATTTTTAGGATTTTTAGGTTTTCGTAGATTTTAGAAGTAGTTGTGTAGTAAACGTAGATTTTAATGTAGCTGTATAATCTGTCACACTTTAGAACAGTAGTTTACACATACCCAACCCTATGACCCCATTTCGTGTTGAACTTCCTAGATTCTTTTAGTTTGTTTAGACTTCTCTCAAGACAGGCCTTCATTCTGTTTAAGACCATTTGCACCTCAGGCCTCTACAACAAGATCAAATCAACTTTCAAATACCTTTTTTGAGATGCAGTGTTTGCCACAGTGTCTCTACCACCTGAACCCTGGGATACAGCACCTGCTCCGTGGTGGGCTGTTTATTCCCTGGGATGGGGCCCCAGGGTGAAGGAGCTCCCCTCAGCCTGAAGGGGACCCTCAGGAAATGGCGGCCAGCAAAGCTAAAGCTTTGGGGGGTGCCCAACCCCGAGCCTGCCACCCCTGCTGTGCCCAGAGGGAATTTTTGCCTTTCCTCCCCTTCTTTTCATATTTTTCCTGGCTTTTTTCCCCCAGCTTTCTTTTCCCCTCGGTTCGTGTTTCCGTGGCAGGACCTGGCACCAGCACCCGGCTCTGTCATGGCCGCCGTGGCCCCCTCAGAGCCCGGCCTGGCCCCGCCGCCTCTGGAGGTGAGTCCGTCCTGTCCGTGGGGAGACAACAAACAGGGAAATAACACCGGGAAAAACGTGGAGCACAGAGATGTGCCAGGTGGAGCAGTATCCCGAGCACAGGATGCCTCAGTCCTGGCTGCCTCCCCACGGGTGCAATCCCCTCAGGCTGGATCCCCTCCGATGTTTTACAGGGCTCTGTAAGCAGCACGAGACACGTGGTGTGAGTGAGGGGGGTTTGAGACATTTCTTGTGGGTGAATCCCTCAGGAATGAGCCCGAACACCTCCTCCCCTGTGTCCGTGGGAGCAGCCCCTTGGGCCGGGAAGGGTGGTGGGAGGCTTCCCTTTCCTCACTTGTGTCCCTTCAGTGCATCCCAGCTGGAGTCTTATTGCCTTTTCCATGGATACACATTAATTTACGAGTAAAACCCACGCTCCAATTTTTTTATAATGTAATTTGTATGATTTTCTCCCATATGCAATGTTTTCCACAGCGACCTCTGAGTTACCAGGTCGTTTGTTTCTCTGTCAGTGAATTGTTTTTAAATCCCATCTCATTTTAGTGCTTGGTGGAAGAAAATCACCAAGTCCACTTTTAACTCTCTCAGAAAGAGCATCCTGTCTCCAAGGGTAATAATTTTTCATAGAATCGTTTATAGAATAATAGAACCATTTAGGTTGGAAAAGACCTTTAAGATCATCGAGTCCAGCTATAATTTTTGTGTTTAACGTTTGCTCCTGGGCTGTATGTCCTGGACAAGGTACGGCACCAGGCAATGGATCCCCCTGTCTCTGGATCAGAGCTGGTTGATGTTATACATGGTATTAACACATTTGTTAAACTCCAAAACCAGCCTGGGAAGTTCAGTGGGCTTCTCTGTATCCTTTTTTTTTTCTTTGCCTACGGGTGGTTGGATGGATATTTTACATGGATTTGCTGTGCGGTATCTTTTTAACTGGAAGGCTGCTGGCTGTGCTGGCAAGTGCTGTTTTTCCTGTGAAATCTGCTCCTGGATTTGCCACGAAGGAAAGGACAAAGCAAAAGACTTTTTCCTCTTCTCCCAGCAGCCACAGAAAATTAATTTTGTACAGACAAGTGCATTTTGAGCTGTGACTGTTCAATGGAGGCGCCAAGTTTGTCAGAATTCTTTGTGGACAATGTAAATATATTTCTTGTGAGTAGTGGTTTGGTTTCCTTGTCTCTTTCTGCTTCCTGAGAAAATGTTTTGCTGAAAACATATTGTATTAAGAAGTTTTGTTTTGTGCCTGCCCCTCCTGTCACCCCCTGCTCCCGATGTTTGCGAAGGAGCGACGCCGGGCTTGTGTTCATGTGGGAGAGCTTCTCCTTCACCTCTCACACCTCCGGAGGGTGCACTCAAGTCAAGGTCTGATCTGGGAAAGAGCTTTTTGGATGTGTTGTACAAAGCCATGCAATCTCAGCTCGGAGTGTTTTTAGGAACAGGGAGGATCTGCTGATCTGGGGAGTCCCCAGTTGCTGTTCAGCGCATGAATGGGCTCTGCCGTGGCAGCAGTTCCAACTCTAAACCAAAGTCCAAGCTGCTTCCAAAGAACAGAGCTCTGGTAAGCAAAGCTACGTCCACACTTTGATAATCTCCCAAACGTTTTGGTCTTTGCCCTCTTGAGCACCATCACTTCATACATCTGGTTTCCTGCAACCCAAATGCTGCTCTACCTCCCACTTGATCCAGATCAGCAGAGCCTCTGCTTGTCTCTGTTTTAAACCCCAGACTTTGATCTCTAGTGAATTTTAATTTCCAGTGTAGTTTCATTTTCTCTTGGACTCCAGTTTTCAGCCCCAGAAGACAAACAGTCGTCTAGTCTGGCTCCCACAGATGTGAAATGTGTTAGTGATGTTCTCTGCTGACTTTTCTGTACGTGGGAAAATAATGTTCTTTCTGGGTCCTTCTAAATCCTTTTGTTCTTTCCCCCACCCTTTCCTGTATTATCATGGCTTGGCCACTTGTCCTTCAGGAGTTACTCTCGTTTCCTAGTGTCTTCACAATATAAGAAGTTTCATGCCAAACACAGCATAGACAAAATTCCTGACAATCAGCACCTGAGGCTACCTGTGGAACAGCAAATTACTTTTCCATAACCATCTTCACAAAGGCAAATCAAACGTCCCACTTGAAGCCTTCCTGTCTTTTACTGCATTTTAAATGCACTGTATTTATTCAGTGCATCAATACTGGTCCTGTCATTGTCACACCCTGTCCCAGAACAGAACGTGTCACCTGAGTGCAGAGGAGACTCTGCCATGGGACAGACTGAACTCAATCACTGTCCCAGGTACAGACTGGAGCATTTCCCTTTTCCTCATTGCCACAACACTGAGTCACTCAGTAAAATTGTGATACTTGTCTAATCAGGTTTTATTCGTGCTGAGGTTGGTGCAGGAGGGGACTTAGAGAAGACTAACCCTCTTCTCAGCAGATTTTTGTCTTTCTCTTAGTTCTAATATATTTCATAGTAAATAAGTTCCTCCCACATTGGAATTAATGGCTGTAAATACTTGTCTCTATCTCCATGATAAACTGAGGCACAGCCTAGTGAAAACTGCCCCAAGTACTGCAAATCCCTGCCCCCCTTCCCCAAAAATGCAAACCCAACCCTAAACCCAGCCCTAAACCCAACCCTAAATATTGTGAAGAAAACAGGAGGGGGGAAAAAAAAAAGTCACATTCCTGTTCTGAAAGAGTGTTTGTAGATTCCCCTTCAGCAAGGACGAAAGAAATAAAAACTCAAACCAATTCAAATATAGGTCTCTTTCAACTTTAATATTTTGTTTATGTTTGCTCCTCAAAAGTCTTTCAGTTACATAAAAATACAGTTTAAGTATTAATCATTCCTTTAAACATTAAATAGGTGGATTTGCTTTCCCATGTGTGTCTTTAAAGCTTATATTATTGATTGATAAATATGAAAATAGTTCCCCCCTCCCCCTGTTTTTTCTCCTTTGGTGAGCTGTGGTTACTCTCACTGCCAGGATTTTTCTGAAAATGGCCATATAACTGTAGTATAAAGTCATCCCTGCAAACACTGCCTTAAAGAAAAAAAATACAAGTCTGCTAATGTGAAATCCTGTTTTGGTGTGGCCAAAATCTAAAATTCTAAAAGCAGCTGTAATGTGTTATAACATGAGGAAACCCCTTTCACCAATATCTTTTCTGTAAGTAATTGGGTGAGATCTGAAGGTGTCAGTTCAAATCACAATCTTCTTGGAAAAACTGTGAGTCTTTACCACATGTGAATATTGCAGGTATGTTATTATTAAAAATTATATATATCTATATAAAAGAAATATATATATATAAGAAAGAGCCATTTCTTGAGCTGTCCCATTTTACTAGGCAGATAAAAACTATAAAGGATCATCAGAGTCCCGTGCTTCAAATGCAGCCCTCCAAAGAGAGGGAATTTCCACAGATGTGCCCCTGGTCCGTGGGGATGAGCTTCCCTGTTTCTCTGTGGCACATCATATTGACCCTGGCATCCCAGAGAAGGGATGAATAAATAAGAGAGAAACCCGAAAGCCAGAATCAGGAGATCAGGTGAAAGGAATCCAGTGTCCTCAGCTAAAATGGATTCAGATCCTCAGGAGGAAGAAGGGGGGGGTTGTGTTAGATGAGGTTTGTCACATACCCTTCCCTAGAGGGGGTGACCCAGATGTTGCTCCACTGTGTGTGAGCGTTTTTTTTCTTTGCTCTGTGTTGTACCTTCAGGTAGGACAGTGTGGGATTATAGGAATGACTGCCAGGTTTGCAGTGTTGAGTGTAAACATACTCCAAACAAACCCCTTCCCAGGCACTTAAGAACAGATTCCTCTTGAAGGTCCTCTGTACAGCTTGTCAAGTGTCCTTCCAGTGGTGTGTTAAAACTACAGGTTTGCAGATAATCCGTCCTAATCCATCCTAATGTTTCCTCTAAGTGTTTTGCTTTGGTTTATTTTAAAAGTGAATCTTTGCAGCTTTATCTTACAGTTCCTTTGAATTCTGGTGGTTTAGTGCAACGGGTTTTTCTGTAAGAGCAGCACAGTCCTTGGTTAATGCCTGGAGGAGGACAAGGTTACACTCTGTACTGAGATATGATTCACGAGTTGGTAATTAGAGAGGCTGCTTGGTACAAAGAGCCAACAACAGCAAGAATAAAAAAAAAAAAAAAAAAGGACAAAAAAAAGAGGAAAAAAAAAAGAGCAGAACGTTGAATGAGGTGAGAAATGTTCACTGGGAAGGAGAGCTCAGGAAGTACGTAAGTGTGAGGAGCAGCAGCAGGAGCTTTGCCGGGGGTAGGACGATGCTGGCGCTGGACCAGGACACCTTGCGCTTGTTCAGGGGCTGGATGGGCCGGAAATTTTCAATCATGTGAGTTGAGTTCTCCCCATCAAAGTGCAGAGCTGCAAACTGAGAGAGCTGCAGGCAGGGAAGGAGAGAATAGATCGTTAAACCTTCTTTTTTCCCCCGCAGGACTCTGGGAATTGCGGTGTCGCGAACCCGTGGTTTTGAGCGGTGTGGGTTCGTTAAAGCTTGCAGGAAACACCGTGACAGGGGCCACTGCCAGAGGTCACCCACAGATGACTCCTGCCAGCCTTGGAAATCAGGGGCACTTCCTCTCTGTGTGAGCCAAATGCTTTGTTCACCTCAAGAACCTGGTCACCCTCGTCCTCCTGACGCACGCGGCCCTGTCCTTGTCCCCCACGTCACAGTGACACAAGGTAGGAGCACGAGGATTTCTGTCTCTGCCCCAAATTTCTCACAGCACTGTGTGATGCTGAGCTGTGTCTGGCTGAGCCCTGCCCTGTGACTGAGGGACTGTGAGGAAACTGTGAGCAAACTGTGAGCAAGCAGCTAAAATCCAGGTGCTGGCCCTCAGCCAGGCCGTGCAGCCTCCGGACAATCCGTGTTTTCGAGGCACTCGTGATTCAATCTCCTGTTCCACTCTACAGGTCAAAAATGGGCTGCTTAAAGCTGATGCTGATAGGCTCAAAGTTTGGATTTGGAATTATTCTGTTCTGGTCTCCTGCCAGCGGGAGAAAAGCCATGAAGTTTGGGAGTGAGCGGGTGACAGCAGTGGAAGTGGTGCTGACGAAGCGCTGAGCTGGGCAATTACCTGGGGGCTTTTCTTGGCTTTCTTTTCACGTCGTCATTTCCCCTTCCTTCCCCTTTCCTGCCATTTTTCCCGAGATGATTTAATAGGGTCAATCAGCTGGCACTCGGGACTACATTTAGGCTGATGCCAAGCGAGTGTGTGTTTGGGACAGGGCAGGGGAGCAGCTGGTCGGGCTGTGGTGCTGGGGGAGTGGGCAGGCAGCCCAAGGGGCAAAGCAGACCCTCCCCTGTGACTCACCTGGGGAAGGCTGAGCTCAATTGGCATCTCAAATATGGTCCAGATGACACCCTCGAAGCAGTCAGGGGTGGTGAGGGAGCCCTCATAGCGATAGTACCTCCCAAGCTCTTCCTTAGGTGGGAGAAGGGAGCTCAGTGGCAAGGGATCCATCTGTGCTGACAGCCCTGAACACACCACGGGGAAATACTGCCTGTAACACTTGTGGCTGCAGGTTTTGTCCACAGTTATCTTCAGCCTGATCCCCCCATGCACCTCCCACACTGCACAGCTTGTGAAACCCCCGTCACAAGTGTCTTTCTTACCTTTGTATTGAATATTCTCTAGTTCATTTAGAAGAGCCGTGTAATTTTTGTTTTCCTCGTCAACCTGAAATGGAAACATTTTGATTCCAAATCGTGCATTTCTCAACCACGGGTTGCTTTGAATTAATTGTGGCTAAACCAGGAAAGAACCACAAGGGTAAAAACCAGCAGCAAGCAGGATGTAGAAAGGGGTAGAGAAACTCAGTGCTGACAGAATGCCTGCAGAAGACAGGGAGGGTTAGGTCTTGTGTACTGCAGTATTGACACAAACAATCACTCAGCCAAGTTGCTGGTAGATTTGAGATGGACAGTTAAAAATGTGACTGCCTACCTTTATAAAGAAGGCAAGCACAGCCAAACCATCCTTGTATTTCTTGGCTTCTGTTACATTTGGAACATCCTCTCTTATGTGGACAAGGTGCAGCTGTAACACAATAGCCAAGGCTCTGGTTAGTGAGCAGTGTCCTCACTTCCATATTTCCACTCTCAGACTTCCCTAGGAGATCCAGCCAAGAGTTTTTGTGAACAGCATCTTGAAAAGCCAGAGTTCTGGAGTAAAATCCATAACCCACCAGGATTCTCACCCACCTCCATGGCGTATTTCTCCCCATCTATGCTGTGCTCTGAGCCAGGGATGTACTGCTGCACTCCTGGGCTGCTTTTCTGCAGTCTTGGGACCCCCCAGTGCAAATGGAATTCTACTGCCTTGTATTTTCTTGCCAGACCTCCACCTCCAACTTTCGGGGATGCATCCAGTGTTACCTTAACTGGGGGAAAAAAAAAAGGGAAATGGTTTTAAGGGCAAAAATCAGATCATGCATGGATAGGATGTGAGAGCAGAGATTCAGATTTATCCAAAAGTTCTGGCTTGAGTTTTCATACCAAGTGTTCCAGAAATTCAGCTCTGCAGAAACTGAACTCTTAAAAAATTATAGCTGAGTTTAATTTGGAATGAATTATAACCACTATGACCTCAGGAGTCAGAGCTTCTTCTACCTTTCAGAAGACCCTCTATTCCTTCATTTTTTGTCTAGGAAAACACCCTCTATCAAAGTATTCTTGAAAGTAAATTTGATCACAGTTTATTTGGGTTTAACCATTGTTTTAATCTCCTGTTATCTGCACTGTAACATTTATTTTAGGCAGGGTTTAAAGATATTCTATTTTAATTTAGAGTAGTGCTACAATTTAAGCCTAAGCATCTAAGTCATTATATCTGTTTAATGTGATGTTTGATCTGCTGTTAACAGCAAAACAAAATGTTCTTAGGAGATATTCTTCTAGTTAGACATCACCATCACTTCCTTGATACATTTGACATATAATTTTAAATTTTACTTATTAGGATCTCTGCATTAAACACAGCACTTTTCTCTGCATAGGGGAATTCTGGATTGCAGCCCCAGAGATTTCATTTGTGTTCTGAATTCCAGATGAACCTGGAGCTTGCATGAGTCACTTAATTCCTCTGCATTTTTATCTGTAAATTGATAAGTCACATATCTTTGTGGGCTTTGTTTATTTAGCTTGTGGGACCTTTGAGACACTGACCCTTGCTATCTGCCCATCATCAAACACAGGGATGGTTTAATCTCACCTGGAGCTTCTAATTGCAGTGGGAATTTATGCAATACCTGTTCCAGTGCTGTACTCATTTAGCCCAGGAACTGGTTGCCCTCAGAAGGAGGAAATTTTAAACCCCTAATCCTCGTGCATGGCTGGGGAAGATGAGAGTTCTGAGCAATCCTTATAAATATTAATTTTTGTGTAAAAGGGACTGCAAGGTGGACGTTCTAGAGCACCATTCTGTAATGGCAGAGTCATTAACCCACAAAAGTCACTGCCTTTTCCTTCTGGTCTGTCACAACACCAGTGTTTTAAACTAGAATCTCTGGCTGTTCAAATCTCCCCAGCTGCCTTCCTACCCTTCCCTTTTAAGCCAGGAGGTATTTGCCACTTGCTGCTTTCTGCTTTAAGGATTTGGCAGTTCAAATAACCCATCTGAGATTTTAAGAACACCTGAAGATAATTTAAAATAAAATACACCACAGGTTTATTTTTAAAGCTGAAGTAATTGAACGTAATTTTGTTGAAGCATCATCATTACAATTGCTCTTAGTGAAGAAAGCTGGAGGAAGTGCAACAGTTCTAAATTACTCTTCACTGATTCACTGTTTACTGAATCAATAAGTAGCTGATCAACACACTCAGGTTACCTTCTGTGTGCAGAGAGAACAGGTTTAAATCTGAGAAGATTTCAGCTCATTATTTAAAGAACTAGTAGGACTCACACACCACGAGCCACTGGTGGAATGAGTGTCCCAGGTGATGTTTTTATTTCAGCAGAATTCTTTGTGCAGAAGCAAAGTTTGCAAAGGGCAAGCCCAGAAATGAAGGGTTTAGGAGCATTCAGCAGAAAATCATCTGTCTCTGCCCAAAGGGTTGTCCTGAACCCCTCTACCCACCCACATCCTCATGCCAGGTGCTGTTGGGGTTAGAAGTTCCCTGGACAGCTCTGTTTGTGCACATCTATAGGAACGATTTCTGCTGAGACACTCCAGGGCCATGCCCAGAACCCAAAAGCTTGATAACTCCCACAAAATTCCCAGAAAGTCTCAGCTCAGACAGTGTTCTGAAAGTTTCACTTCTGAAATACAGGGCTGATATCCTGTCTGTGCTTCCTTGCCACAGGGATACCCAGCACTGTGCCCAGGACGTGGAAGAAGCGAACGCTGGTTCCAAGGCAAGGCACAGATAAATCCCACAATATTTGGCAGTACTTGCCTGTATGTCCATTATTTTCCACATTCCACTTTGAAGACCCTTTCCCATCATATCCCTCAAAAGTCAGAGGCTTGAGGCTCTTGTCATAAACGACGTTTCTGGTGACAATGTTGATGGGGGACTGTCTGTCCCCTTTGCAGGCGGCGTCTGTCAGGTGCCACTGGTGAGGATCTGTGGCAGGGTGGAGGAAACAAGTTTTTTCTGTAGACAGCAAATCCCTCATAAAACCAAACCACCCAACCAATATATTCTTGCTTGGGAAACTGGAGACATCAGGGTGATCTCCTCTGGACCTCATTTGGAGTTACTTTGAAACAAAATCAACAGTTACCACAACCAAAGGTATCTTAAAAACACCCTCCCCCGGGTATCCTGTTTAGCACTTATGTGTGCATAAAGCATTAAGTGCTGAGTTGTGTGAGTTTTTGCATTATTTCTCTCCAGAGCCCCTTTGCAAAATGGAATAATCACAAATGTGATTGGAAAAAAATCACTTGGTCAGCTGTACCTTCGCACTCCGGGTGTTCACACTTCTGGGACCGGTAACACCAGTGGCTTCCCACTAGAGAAAAAGAAATCAAACCAGCAGATGTTCAAAATTAGGTGAATGAAAAGCTGCACAAATTGTCCCCCCCCAAAATCAGCAGGGAAATGGATCCTCAGAGAGTGATGACTGGGCACATGTTTTTGAGAATTCCTTGGGGTTTTCTGCCCAATTTTATTCGGGTAGGATGTTTTGTTTCTTAGGTATCTAACCAAGGAGGGCTGGCAGAGGTGAGTGCTTCAGCTATAGAGAAATCTTGAGTTGCTAAAGACTCCTTAGCAGGGTGAAGAGCACTATGCAGCAAGTCCAGCTGGGTTCTGATATCCCATAATTTAGAAGAGATCCTAAAACCCTGCAGTGGACAGCTCTGCCCTCTCTAGATCTCCTCCTGGTCTTTACTGAATCAGTTCCTACCTGGTAACATTCCCCCCAGCAACAGTTCTAGCAGGAATCAGTAGGACTCTGTGTGGCTTCTAAATAATTTGATTTTCAAACCTTGGCTTCTGCAATTTCTTGAGGCAAAAGTTCCACATTTGAATACACGTAGTGTTAAAATAAATTCCCTTTATCAGTTCTGCACTTGCCAGCCTTTCATAGACTTGTAAATTCACTTATGCAAGAGGACTTATTTCACTCTGTTCCAGGAACTATTCTAAAGGTTACTTGGTGCCATAGGGAATTTGAAGAAATGAAGGATCTCACTTCCTGGAAGACCTGAAGGATCGTTAGTGTAACCCAGCTGTGATCCATCCCACAGAGATGGCTGAGAATTTTTTCAGTAGAACATCTTAATTTTATTTTTTCATTGCCAGAAGAAATGCAAAGTTCAGAGGAAAAGAGCTGATTTAACTGAAGTATGTGCTGATCTAGTCAGGAAAGGAGGGACTGTTTCGGTTGTCATGGGTTCCTTCAGTGGCTCTTTATGACAGTTCTAGACTTCAAAAGGACTTGGACAGGAATAGTTCTCTTAAACTATCAAACTTTAATCTATAACAATTCAAAACCTCTTATAATCATGATTTAAACTAGAGCTTCTGTTTTCTCATGATTAGTAAATTATAGACATTTTAGGAAATGGCAAATCAATTTTAAGGATTATTATGGAGGGGTCCTGTCATTAGATTGGTAATTACCAGAATTTGTAATTTATAACACACCTGCTGGAAGGCTCATAGTGGCTTTTACCACCTTTATCTTGATATCAGTAGCAGAGCAATACATCCATCCATTAAGGATTTAGAAGTTTATAAACAGAGCCTTGACATAAAACGTGGGCAACTAATAACCCAGAGGGAGACTTGGACAAGCTTGTGGCAATTAATAGAACCTTGAAAAAATGAGAGTTCCAGCTTTTCTTTCACAGAAACTAAATTTATGCAGAAAGCCACAAATGATGTTGACTCACTTTCTAGTTTAGCAAGTGTTTAGTAACGCTGAGAGGAGAAGTAAACAGCCCTGTTAGTTCGTGTGGGAAGAGCCGAAGGGATTTCCGTGGCGGTGTTCCATTGATGTTTTTTAATCATCCAAAAAAATCCCTTTTGACAAGGTTTTAATTTTTGACAGACTTCTGATAGTACACAAAATTTCACCTCCTAAACTTGCTGGTTGCATTTTCCCAGGCCTGTGTGCAGCAGAGAGTGGCCTGACCTCCAGCTGAGCTCATCCCCAGCGGGGCACGGCAGGACCGGGAGTTCCAGGCACAGGATGGCACCAAGTGCCTTCATCGATATTCTGATCAATAAATGCCCAAAGAACGCCAGGTAAGGAGACCTTCACATGCTTGGTTGTGTTCCATGAGTCAATGTTTGCTTGGCTGGATGACTCCAGGCATATTTTTGGCAACTCATTGATCAGCCCGTGCTTTAACAGTTCCACACCAGCACATCAGGATTGGGATTTTCTTGGCAATTTATACATGAGTGAACCTTTAGGAGAAAGAAAGCAGGGAATAACCTGGGCATGAGAGGACAGCCACCTGCAAAGATTTGCTCTCAAAGCCTTTGGGAGGTGAGTTAAAGCAGAGAGGAGAGAACTCAAGGTCAGGTGAGGAACCCCGGGCTGTTTACCCCAAACTCCTGGGTTTGCCCAGGGCCTTGCACAATGGCAGGTGAGCAGGGCTCAGACATCAGAGCTCTACTGTGCTGCAAATTGGATTTTCCTGTCAGTGGGATTCACAACTGGGAGTAAGTGTAGCCAGTTGGGGATAAGGTTGTGGAGCTTTTAAACCAGGGCTGTAGAACCACAAAAACCAAAGACAACCACAGCAAACACCAAGGGAAGGTAAAGGGAAGGTAAAGGTCACGGGATCACATTGTCAATGGTCCTGAATCAGCACCTCAGTTTTGTGGAAATGGGTTATGGAGGCTTTTACTGCTGGGTGCACATCCCACCCTTCCCAAACAAAGCAATCACTGACTTTTTACTGCCTGAACAGGTGCTGGCAGGTTCTCTCAAATAAACCTCAATCACTTCTGAGTAGACTGACACCAACCCTGAAAGGCTTTCAGTCATGGCACCAAGATCAAGGGGAGAAAAAAGATTTTAGAAATAAAATGAAATTTAAAAAATCCAGCCCTCGGTGGCTACAGCTGCCTCACATCCAGCACTCAGGAGTGTTCATCCCTTCTTCTGTTGAATCCTAACTAATAATTAGTGTCTGAGTTTTGCAAGGCTTCCAGTGAGTTCCTGGTGTCTATGAACAAAGACAGGATCTGTGTTTTCTATCAAGTCCTTATCTCAGTTGTGGTTTAGAGAGGTGGATGGTATCAGTGAAGTAGAACAGGATATAAATTCAGCATTTCATAAGAAAAAGGTCCTTAAAGCTGTTAAACCTTAAACAATGACCTAATTAAACATTCTAGAACGCCTGAGCAAACAGTGAATTAATGTTTATTGTGAATTAGATACATTTTTGGTTGGCAGCAATGGAACATTGGAGAACAGGAGCTTTTGTGTAGATACTGCTCAGGAGGGACCTTCCCCAGTGTCACTTACAAGGAAAATTTGCCTTTGGATTTTTATCTGAGTCAGGTGTGATTCCTCCTACGTGTGGGGACCTTATTACGTGACAATAGTTCTTTTTTTCCCCTGAGCTTTAGGGCTTTATTTCTGAAGCAAGAAGGAAAGATACTTGTCACATCCAGTCAGTTGTCTGTGGTCTTAGGCATGATTAGGCCCTAAGGTATGTTGTCTAGTCTGGTCTTAATTGTCTGAGTGGCTCCTGCCACTTCCCTTAGGAGGCTGTTCCACAGTCTATTAGCCATCACCATCAGGAAATGTTTCCTGTGGAACAGCTTACATTTTCCACTTGCTTATCTGCATCCCTTCACTCCTAGAAATATGACTGAACCACCCTAAACAATTCTTTTCCCTCCCTGGTGTTTACAGCGTTCAAGTAGTTCCCTGCTAATCTGTAATTCCTGTTCTTGCTTCATCCATCCTTTGTCCCATCTCTTGACACCATTTCAACTTCCAAATCCTTCATCCCTCTTTGTCTGACCTCCCTTTCTTACAGAGCCTGAGTACCTGTCAGATCCCACCCTGCTCTCCTCTCACCTGGCTGCTCTTTCAGTCAAACCTCCTCAGCTCACCCAGTTTCTTTCCTGTCATTTATTTTGTTGCCTGGAGAAATGCAGCACAAAGTGGATCTTTCAGTGTTTCAGTGTTTATTTTCTGTTTCTTTGTTTTTATAGCTGAGGTGCTGAAATAATTACAGTGAGAGATATATATATATACACACACACCTGGACCTTCAGTTACTGTATTATCAACTATATTTTGCTTTTACCTTGTGTTATGAATCCTTGATTTAAGTAGTGATGTACCACACCATAGTTGTCACATTGACTTTACAGGTTTAATTTAGAGTAGGGCTGAACTGTGCTGAAGGCCTCCTCTTCCTCCCCAGAGTTCAGGACAGTTAAATTTAGGGAGTCTCTCCTGGCAAGCGAGCAATCCTACTTATCTCTGTTTCTTCCTTGTCAAACTTACAACTGGTTTCCTGACCAAAGCCGTTTTCTTGGCACCGGGAATAGCTGGAAAACAATACAATTACGTATTGTTTTCATTTCATTGTAAACGTTTTCAATTGTTTTAGCTATCAGGCCTCGTTTGGAAGCTCCAGGCAGAAAATTCCCCCCGTCGAGAACTCCCTCTTCTGTTCAGCCGGGCAGGCGGACGGACAGCGCTGCTGGCTGGGAGCCAGGCTGGGAGCAGCTGCCAAGCCGCTATTGTGTGATCTAGGAAAAGACCCTTAAGCTCTTTGGACCGTCCTCAGATTGCCTGAATTCCATAAAAGATCCTAAATCTACTTTGCCCTACTTGTTGCCTGTTTGCTGCCCTACTTGGACCCACGGAGCCCGATCTCGGAGTCAGTGCCATGGGACAGGTGTGTTCTGGGGGCTCAAAATGCCCTCTTAACTTGTTCACATGCACAAAAGACTCACTAGAACAGGTCTTGTCCCTCTGACAAAGTGGCTGAAAGTCATGAATTTTACATTTGACAGCTATTTTTATTAACTGGATTTAACCTCTTGAAGCGCGAATGACTTTTATGCCGCGAGCAGCCTGAAGGAGTGGGACAGCAAGAATATCCTGTGCTGCTCTTTAGTTCCAATCCCTTCTCCCTTTCACTGACTGACTCCTTTGTTTGTCCCTTTAGCCTCTTGTCACCCTTTCAGCCAGGTCCTGGCTGACCATTCCCTGTTCTCTGGGACACAGATCAGTGCTCCCGCTGCACTGCTCCCTTTCAGAGAGCCCAGGCTGCCCTCGGTGCCAGAGCTCTCCTTACTGCTCTATAATCCAGTTTTCAAATCCATCCCAAAACCTGCTGTCACCTTTGCAGCCTTTTCCATGGAAGTGGCAAAAGCTGGTTTTGCACGTGGTGTATTTTTAGCTTTGGTTTGTGTTGAGCTCGTCCTAATTTTAGCTGGCTTTGTAAAACTTACTATTTTTAGGACAAAAGACAAAACAACTTAAAAGCAGTTGTTATCTGTCTTTGTAATTAATGAGAATGCTGACCACAAGCTCAGCATGTATAGATAAGCCTATTTATACATTCTTAAGTGTTACACATCCTCAGGAAGCCTCAATCAGCCACTTTGACAGACAAAATCAGTTCCAAGTGCTTACTCCTAAATTTGTGTATCCTAACCGTGTAAAAACAAGTGTTTGTCATCATCCATTGCTCTTCTCTTCACTTTTACCTGGAATTCTGTTTTTCATAATGATATATATCTTTATGCATGTACATTCCAAGGTATTTAAAGGGGATTTAGCCTTGAAAATGAGCTTTATTGGAGTGGTGAAACATTACAAGTCACCACATCTGATTTGAGCACAGTGTTTATAGTTTGCACGTGTACACATAAATCACATGTACACATAAATCACTGGCTCAGTGAGGTCTTTGTAACACACATAAACTAAAGCAAAAACCCAGAGGGTGAAGGATTCTAACTGTGCCTTAATAACATCTGCAAACTATTTCCTTTGTGTCAGAGCCAGGAGAATGTTTTTAGCTGTGACCTGTGATACTGGGGTAGCCTCTGTCATAGATCTGTGTCCTCATAAATGTGCTGTACAAAGACAGAAGCTGGTCTTTAACAAAAAAAGGAGTATCCAGGGCTAAGGTGATTGGCCTCTGTGAGGGATTTTGCCTTGCTTTGTTTCATAAAAATACGATTCAGAATTTTTCTGAAGTATTTTTAAAACTGCATTCCAACAAACCCCTTTGTGGCTTTACTGTCCTTTTGCAGTCTTTTATGCTGAGTTTATAATGACTGATCTTATGGCTAAAAATATAACTAAAAATCTAATAACAGGCCATTAGATATATTCTGCAACATAACAAAGCATCTCCTGCAGTGCCAAAAACAGGGAAAAAAAAGCCTGTTCCTGTGGAGACAGACACTGGACTTTGCAGCATGTCCTGAACACCTAAAGGCTCTTGCTGGTTATTTGGGCAGCTGAGAGAAAAGTGTCTCACAGCAGCACCTGTCTCTGAAAATGCTTTTCTGATTCCAATCTTCAAGATCTCAGTGTAAGAGCCAGGAGAAAAGGTGGCTCCAGTTTTCTCAAGAGTCACAGTGCCCAACTGGGGATGTTCCAGTCCTTATGCTGGTATTTTTGCTGTAGGAGAAAGGAGAGCATTTATTTCTTAAGCCGGGGTCATGTCACTTGTCACCTGGGTGTGGCTGCTGTGTGGGGCTTCTGCCACGCTCCTGTCCTTCCCCCAGGGCTGAAGGGCAGCAGGACAGAGCCCTGGAATCTTGGATGCTGGTGGAGGAGGGGGTGATGCAGCACGTTGCAGTCCTGCATGAGGTCAGCTCCAGCCTGTTCACACAAATTGATGAGTCTGGAGTGTTCTCCTGCTCCTCAGGCTGATCCCTAAATGCAGCATTAGTAATGTGACTGGGGCCACTGTGTCCCTGGAAAACTGCCCATTCCTGATGTGTCACCAGGAACAGGCTGCCAGGCAGGGAGCAGAGGCTGGATTGGCAGCTGGGATGCCCTTGGATGCATCAGCTGAATAAAAACCTGCCTGCTCAAGAGCCTTGATGCCCGTTGAGGCACCTCATATCCATGTGCTGCCTCAGGCACAGCATGGATCAAACAGAGCAGGATTCACCCTCGTGGGTGAGGGTGGGGGCAGTGTGGGATTCATTCCTGAGGGAGGCAGCAGAGGTGGCCTTCAAACCCTTCCACGGGTAATTCTTTGAGGGCAGGTTGGGATCTGTGATGAATGTGGATCTCAGCAAGACCTGTCTGCACAGCACACATCCTTCCCAACCCCATGCAGACTGCTGGGAAGGGCTTCAAGGCTCTCCTGGTCTCACACAAAGTCAGCCAGTTGTGCAACACAGATTTATCTTGATGTCACACCTGGCAGGCTGCAGAAATGTGAGAAATCCCATATATGACTCTCCTACTGTCTCAGAACTGCTTTTTGGCATCCTGCCAGTGATACACAGGGCTGTTCTCTGCCTACTGGGCTGGGTTCTCTGTCCCCCAAAATGAAGCAGGGGGAGTCCCTTGCTCTCAGTGCACCCCCAGCATCCTGACAAAATCCCCAGCACACAGGGGAGCTGACTGTGATGACAATCCTCAGATAAACCTTTACATCTGTTTTGGCAGCCTGAAAGTTGCCAGGGAGGAAGAGAAGAAAGCCCTAAGCATAAAGACCATTCTTTGAGATCAGAAGCCTGTCTGCACTGAGATAGTCAAGCAGCCACTTTGGCATAATGTCAGTGATAGCTTGTCAGCTATATCTACTCATGTGCTGGGTTAGAGTGGTGGAGAGAGGGAAATTCAGGCAATCCATACCTCCTAAAGCACCTGTGGATCACTGCCTAAAGCAGCTATGACTTACTGCCTTTTCTCTCTGTTCCAGGTCTTGCACTGCAATTATTCTTCTTCTGTCTTAATCAACTGAAAATGCAGCTTTTCATCCCAGAGTGTGTCTTAAGTGCAGCAGCATCCCAGCTTTGCCAACCCTCAAATGGATTTGGGATGCAACCATCAGTGTGTGTGCAGTCCACACCATTAGAGCTGGAAAGGGAAGAAGTTACAGCATCTCTTTTTGTGCTGTTTGTGGGGCTTTTGGGTATCTTTTGAACGTGAATGGCCCTGAGGAAGCCCCAGAGTGAGAGCTGACGTCCATATCCGCATGGTTATGTAAATTTTATGTTCCTCAAAGTTGAAAGTATGTGAGCAGAAATATAGAAAATTAGAGGAATCATGTTCTATCAGGCAACAATCTGTTGGAGCACCAGAGCATGGACTGTGGGAGATTGTCCCCTCATGGCTGAGCCCTGCTCTGTGATAAAGTAAAAAGTTAAAATGTGCTGGGGTTCATTCCATTCCTCTTGAAGAAAATTGTTTTCAGTAACACCTGGAGCTTGCTCTAACCCCACCTGAAAGCTGCTGGATGGATGGATGGATATTCCTGCTCTCTGAATGGTCCTGGAATGAATCCCCCATTAATAAAACCTCTCTCAAATATTGGGAACTTTCCCGCTGGAATTTGCAAACCTTTGGCCTCTCTTCTGCCCAACAGCAGCACCAGATCCCTGGGCTCTCAAAGGAATCAAACCAGCCACCTGAGGTGCAGCAGTGCAGCTGGTAAAGGAATATACTGAGACCTGTATAAATCAGTGGATGTGAGGCTGGACAGAGCTTTAAGGGAGATTGTTTCTCTTCCAGGTCAGGTGAGTGCACCTTTGTGCCCCGGTTTTCCTCTTGTAGAATGGGGATAACAAACTTTCCTTCCTTACAAAACCCTGGAAGGGCTATTAGTAGTAATTTTAAAAGCCAGGTGCTTTGATATTAAGACAGGTCAAGGCTGAAAGCAATTTGAAAGATTAGCAATCAGTCATTTGCCTGTTTAAGTGTGGGGAGTGATGAACTGCCCAGATGAGAACAGCCCAGGTGGAGGTGAGTTAAATGAGCTGGTCAGGGGATCTCACTCAAGCTGGTTCTGAAAAGGGGCAAGATGGAAGGGAAATGCTTGTTTTTTTTAAAAAAAGATACCTTCTGAGTGTAACAAGAAGTAATTGATTCTCAGAAGTTGAGGTTTCTTGAAATGTGCAGCCTTTAACTTAGCATAAAATATCCTGTGAAGCTTCTACTTCAGGAAAAGTTTGGAAAAGAAGGTGCAGGTTCTTTTTGTGCTAATAACTGTGTAGTTTGGCTTTACACTTGGGGGAAAAAAGTGGAATTAATCAGGATTAGGGCAAAAAACCACCCACAAAATGTTATATGCATCCCCTATATTACTTCCATCTGCTAAAGCATTAATTATTAACACTTATCTAATATAAAGTCAGAGAGGTTTTCTAGATAGTCATCCAAGTTTCCATAATACATCCCTTAACAGAGCAGCAAATTTAGCAAAGTGTTAATCAGTCAGTGATAAATAGCAAGCAAACACTCGTTGTAGACTTTGGAAAAGCAAAGGCTGTTTGTGTTTGTGTTTGTGTTTACCTGTACCACGGGTGGGAACCTCTGGAGAGAGAACAGAACACAAGGAAATAGAGAAATAGGGACTAAAGGAGAGGGAAGGTATCGGGACTCTCAGGTAAGAGCCTGGAAAAGGCAGGTTACTGAGCCATGGAGAATTAATTAAGAACAGAGAACTAAAATCAGGGAAAGCCCCTCAGCTTCCCCAGTGCTCAGACTGGGCTCCTTAAGGCACTTTGTGCACCTCTGGTACCTGAAGTCTCTGAACCTTGATCTGCTTTAAAAGCATCTCCCTTCAGCTGCCGTCGGTGCTTCCCCCGACACCTCTGGTAACACCAGAGCTCTCTTTCCCTCCCTGCACTCTGGTCTAGTTTAGTGCAAACAATAGACCCTTCTTTGCTTTGAGGAGCTGCAGGGTTTAATTTTGGGGCTGTGTGCCTGTGTGTGCATAGGAAGGGGGATTTATTCAATGTTACAGCATCGCTGATTAAACAGAAGCATAAAAATGCCTTCTGCATTTTTCAATACTAATTATAGATCACTGTTTAATCGAGCCATGGTAAGTGCTCAGTGTACTTATGGTGCCCAGGGAACAAAAATAGATGGGGCTGCTGGGCTGATGCAGCAAAGACATACTGTTCACTCTCCCTCAGCAGAATTTCACCTTAATATCATAAACAGCAAAGCAATAGTAGTGGAAAACCAAAACAAGCTATTTGCTTTAAGTTTTAAGGAGTTTTACAGGGAAAGAAATCATGTTTCGATATAAATGCACATGTATAATTAACTGTAGAGATCTAGTCAAACCTCATTGATTTTCCTTGGAAGAGGAAGGCAGATAGAATCTCTAAAGGTGAAAAAAAAAAACCAAAACAACCCAAAAGCACTCATTCATTCATGAGAAAAGCCTATACTTGATATTTTACCCCAAATAATAAAACGCAGACAAATAAATAAATCATTGTTCATTTACCATATGGAAGAAGCAGAGAGCCTGTGCCGTGTGTCCTGACACTCAGACACAAATCAGAAATCAGAGTAACCTTAACACAGGGTTAGAAAGAGCAGGCAAGGACTTACCTACTGCCTCTGTCTTGAGAATGTGCAGAGAGAACAGAGCAAGGAACAGCAATTCCATTCTCTGTTTTAAACAGGCTCAGTGTTGGAACCAGAATTGATTAGACTCCTCAGGATGTGATCATATTTCTGCTCTCAGTTTTATACTGGAGTAAGTACTCCAGGACAGACCTGAAAGCCATGGCAGGAAGGTGAACTCCTCCCCTTTGTAATTTCTCCAGATTTACCCTGCTCCTGATTTGCCTAAATTTATTCATTCTCCAAAATGAATGGCAAAGGGAATGAGGCTCTTTGGCACTGAGCCTTCAGTGAATAACTGAGACTTTGCAACCTGTGCATTTTTAGTGACCTCTTACTGAAATGCTACGTTTTTATTTAGTGGTAGTTTTTTTCCTGATAGCCCCCATGACATTTGATTAATATGGGTGTTAAAGTTGGTGTTTTCTTTAAAAAAAACCCTATGAAACAAAGCCCCAACTGCCCCCATCCCCACTCCGCAACCCTGCAAACAGCTCCTCAGGATTGCAGTAGATTAGAGGGACTGGAAAATGGGAATTCTGTGTGCAGTGACAGGAAATGTTTATTAGGTGACATGCAGCACCTTACTTACTTAGTTAAGGAATGGTACTTTTTTTAATAATCCTTTTTCTTAACTTTCTGCTTCTGCTGCTATAGTATAATATATACAGACATTTTTTTCTGTCCCCTTTCCTATCTGATTTTTTCAATTCCATGTGCCTGATTCAGTGGCAGCTCAGACTGTTTGTTCAACAAACAGAAAAGCGACACAACCACTTTTTGCTCTGCTATAGACACTGTGTCACCTTTTAATTTGGGTTTGGATTTTGATACAGCTGAGGAAAACAAATGAGGGAGTGAAACAACTTCTACCCCTTCCCCAGATGCTTCTCTGTCCACGCTGGGTTGGGTGGGAGAAGAGCAGGATGCCCGACCCAGAGCTTCTGCCTGAAGGGGTGGATGGAGCGAAGCAATGCCGTGCCAGCAGATCTGAGCATGCAGAGTCATCCAGCAAGGGCTGAATTAAAAAACGAGGAGCCAAGAAAGTGCTTTTTGCCTTCCCCAAGAGCTGCAGCTCCCAGAGCAGGGCTGTGCTGTCAGCAGAAGGGTGGCACGGGCTCAGGACCTGCAATAACACCGGCACAGCTGACTCACGAGCAGCTCTTTTATTCATAAAAAAACCGGCTATAAATAACCCCCCAACAATGAAGAGCTGCTGGGGAGTGTTTTTCCATCCTGCTCTAGGCAGTTAGAGCCCGCACAGAGGATGATTTGCCTAGCACATGGTGATAAGATAAATAGTTGCTGCAGTGACAAGAACAATAAGGGAATTAGTGGCATTTTTTCACTTCCGAGCGCGGTCCCGGCGGAGCTCCGGGAGCAAGGTGAGTCCTGAGCACGTAGGGCAGGGAGGGGTCAGGTGCTGTCAGCCCTCCAGGGCATCCACGAGACACTTCACTCCTGGGGATAATCCTCAGTGGCGACCTGAAAGGACACTCTCATGGATTTTTTTCACTCTGTTTCTGTTAATTCTCTGAGAGCTAAAAGCCTGCTAGAAACTCTCCGTTCAGGACTGAAAATAGGGTTAGAAATGTTGATCTTAAAAATCAGGAGTCTTGGTTTGTTTCCTTTCTTTTTTTTTCCTTTTTTTTTTCCCCCTTTTTTTTTTTCCTTCCCCCTCCCCCCAAGCCTTTCAGCCTATCACTATTAAAGTGATAATAAATTGCACTGCAGTCATATCAATTAAGCTTTTATTTGTTCTAGGAAGTGAAGGCACGCTCGGGGAAAGACATTCCCTCTCCTTATAAAGCCTGTAATCTAAATAAGCAGGGCAGACATCATGTGATATGTGATCTCCTTATTTTTTTCTAAAGAAATTCACCTGGCAGGTACTTGGTTATCAGTTCTCCATGGCAGTGCTGCACCTTGGGATAATTTCGAAAGGAATTACTCTGTGAGTTGGTTTTGGACATTGAACCTAAAGACGTGTGAGGATCTTGGTCAGAGAAGGTGACACTCAAGGTTAAGCAGGGAGGTGACAGCAGATCACTGAACTCCAGGCTGGTTTTTCCTGGCAGAATTATTGCAGTTGTGTCCATAGCTACAGGGGAGGTGGGAACACCAAAACCAGTGAAAACTGCATTTATTTTGTTGCCTCGAGAGCCACAGCAACAAAGGTTTTGGGGATGTTCCCCCAGCCTGGTTTCTGGAACGTGTGAGGTCTGACATCATCCTGCTGCTCCCAAGGGAAGTTTGGGGGGGGATGTGGTGGTTTGTGAGGCTTTCACAAGTCTGAGCCACAGGATCCCACCAAGTGCTGAGGGGAGGGAGGCCAGAGCTGTCCCCAGCCCTCCAGCTGAGGGGCTGCATCCCATGTCCCAGCAGAAGGGATGAGGGCTGGCTGGGGCTGAATCCGTGCCAAAAAGGCAGCAGAGACCCAAAGCCCAGGCTGTGGCTCAGCTCTTCGGGCTGGAGGCTGAGCTGTTGCTCTTAGAAGGAAAATCTAAGGGTTGTGAGGGTCAGACTGGCCCAGGGCCAAATCCTGGTCACAAATGACCCAGGAGGAATCGCCCCTGCGATGGGAGAGGGAAGCACTTCCAAGAGACTTCAAACCCAGATGAGTTTTGTGACTGGGAACCCCACCCTGTGTGTGAGAAAACACGCTCAGAGCTCTTTAGTTACTTGTGTGCTGCCATTTTATTCGTTACAGTTCCCACACCACTGAACAGGAAATCTGGAATTTCACAGCTCTTGGTGAATCACAGTCACTGGGCCTTCATCTTCCACGAGGAACGTGGGCTGGCTCTGATCCTCCCTGAGTCTGTTGGGAACAAGCACAAGGTCGTTTCCATGGAATACTCGGGAGCAGGGATAAGATGTTTTCTGGCTTCTTCACGTCTAAGTTATCAGTGGAAGGCTTTGCTTGCCATACACCTGGTTTTAGGTATTTATTCCGGTTTGTTTCCTTTTAGACAGGACAATGCAAGTTCCCAAAAGGTGAAAATACCAGTTCTGGCATCTCAGAGAGATGTTCTGGCTCTGGATAAAGGGGAAAAGGGTCTGGTTTGGGGAGTATCCTTGCAACAAACCAACTTTGCCAATATTTTGTGGCTTGTTGGTAACGTGCTGCTGAACAGCACTCAGAGACTTCAAGCCTGATGATTATCTGATTATCTTCACTTCATGTGCCTGGTGAGGGCCGTGGAAAAAGAGCTGGGATGTTGGATAACTCCAAACCCGTGAGGCAAAAACTCCTCAAAGACAGAGGGTGGGGGAGGAGCAGAGCTCTCTGTTTTCAAAACATCCCAGAAAAATCTTGGAAGGAGATCATACATCCCATTTGTGCCTTCCTCTCCAGAAAGGAAGACTTTAATCTGCATAAATTAAAACATAAACTGGATAAATAGGCTCCTTATTTGTATTACTGCCTTTCATGACTGTTTCTTCCTTGCAGGCCCCGTGATGGCCACTGAGAGAGTGAGCAGGTGGATGTTCTGCTCTCACTGAAGGTCGTGGCAGTGAACCCTGGATCCATGGAGTGACTCTGCCTCCATGCTCAGCTGAGCTGGGTGGCACTGGCCATTTTTTGGCTCAGGTAAGGTCTTGTCTGTTGTGAAAGTGCAGAGCTGGAGTGTCAGGAATGAGTAGGAATTGACTGTGAGTTCAGGGAGAATGTGACAGGGAAGAAACCAGGACAGTGGAATCCCTCATCCTCCCAGTGCCTGGTTTTTCCTGTGTGTATAATGTGTGTCCATGACCTTGCAGGTGACACCAAACCACGTGCAGCTCACCTTCTACTCCCTGTGCTGTGGGATTTTTGTTTTCATGACGTGGATGCAGCTTTTTCTCCTGTAGTTTCAGGCATAACTCAGTTCCTCAGAGTGCTCTCAGCACAAAGGTTGCTCTGCATCACACCAAGATAAAGGTGTCTGTTGTCCAAGGGTTACTGAGCAGAGCTGGGACCCGGCTCCTGGACCCAATTTCCTGTTTTAAGATCAACTTGGGAATGTCCCAGCTGGGGCCTGTTGTCCTGAGCCCTTGAGAATCCCTGAGAGCTGCAGTTGTGAGCAGTTCTGAGACTGAGCTGAGGGGGGCAAAGATGCATTTCCCACAACAGCCACTTGAATCATCATTAAAACTTCCACCTGAAGCTTCTCATGTCTCCTCCTCTCTTCAACATGTTCAGTGATTATTTTCTTCTCCACAGGCACAATCATCAGGTAATTATTATTGAACTTGGAGATTCTCTACAAAATAAGGCCATTTCTTAACACATGACATGTATCAAAATAACACCAATTCAGACAGATATAAAAATGTAAAACCAATCATAGAACTAAAAGAAAAACAATTCTAGAACTAAAAAATGTTGTAGAAGGCGAGGTCTAGATAGTTATAAATCAAAGGCTGCCAACAGCATGGTACAGCCAGTGTTTGAAGTGTCAACCTGAGCTATTGGAGATTAGATTGGGTTCTCTGGACTTCTGAGGGATCTTAAACAAATAATGTGATTACTCTTTTCCCGCTTACGGGATGTAGATAACACTCTTTCCTCCAAGATGTAGGGTGAGGTAAGTACCAGGAAGATCACACAGTTCCTGGAATATGGGAGTAGGAAAATGCCCTTGAACTGAGGTTGTGATGTGCAGAGGTTTGGATGTGTAGCAGCTCTGTCTCTGAGTTTTCAATTCAAAGTAGTTTTCATCTGGTTTTGAGAGCTCCAGCTGTATCCCAGAGGGTTGGAATGCACAAACCTGGGGGTTTCTGTATGTTAAACCCCACTAAAAAAAGCAGTTTCCACACTAATATTGTCTCACTTAATCTAGCAACATTATGCTAATTTTTATGTAATTCTATTAGGGAAATAAGATTACAAAGCTTTTGTGAAGAGCTGTTTATAGTACTTGATATTATTTTAATTACATTCCGATCTCATTTCGTTTAGTGCTTAGTGCTCGAACGCCAAATTTTCAAATTAGAGCAATTTCAAGTAGCATTTTCAGGAATATCTGCAGCATTTCAGATCATTGAAAGGATTTGCTGACTCGAGGTGTTGGCACTGATGAGGTGACAGAAATAGTGGAGCCCTTGTTCAGCAGCAACCTCACACCAGAGGTGTGGCTGACAGGGAGGGTTCCAGGATGCACAAAGGATGGTTTATCTGGGACACTGGGAGAAGAATATTTTATAGGATGTTAAGACATCCACAGGCTTGATCCGTCATTTTGCAGCCCTTTATTTCTATATAATCATTCTTTGCATTTTTACGTGACCACCTGAAATACTTAAAGTATTTCTAGTACATAATTATTGTGTACTAATTGCACACTAACCTGAATACACTTTCATACATTTCAATAGGAGAAAAGGAGCCCTAGAATTTTCCTTTTCAAGCTCCACATTTTAGCCTGAATTTCTGATGTTTTAAATTTGGCAGAGCTATCAGAGCTCACAGATTTCCTGCTCTAGAGCTGGAATTGCTGCTGCAATGATCAGATGTCAGTGCTGAATGTGGAAAGACCGTGAACTCAGCTGAGCTGCTTGGCAGTATCACAGTATAAAATTGTTACTCATGGAAATTAATCTTTTGTTAGGATGACAGTGAGAAATGAGTTAAATCAGAACAAATTCGGACATAACATGGCTTTACCTGGGTAATTGTACTGCTCACCTGAACTGCTCTGCTGGTTAAAATCTCCCTGTTCCCACTGAACCTTGTATTTTGTTCCAGCAGTGCCCTCTGCTGAGAGCATGGAATGTGTGTCCCAAAGGCTTTTTTTCTCCAAGGCTCAAGTATTTTAAATCCAGTTCTCAAAAATCATTTGCCTTTACAAAGATAGAGAAAGAAAAGATATAATGATATTGATGTTGATTTATTAATGTGCAAGTCACACATTAAATAAACACAAAATATCCTATAATGAGCATGAGTAGTGATGTCTGCTGTTGTTTAGCTACATTCTCATCCAGGAATTAAGGTGGAAAAAAAGGCATTTTCCTAACTGCTTAGGCAGGAGCTGAGGGCCAGGTTGGTGACCCAGCACTGATGTTCTTATTTCAGCTCCATCAGCCACACACTCCCCCCTCCAAACCCACAAAATTCTGCTCTCTGTTTCCTGAATCTCTAATCCTTTATCATCTAATTGATTGGTGAGTTAAAGCTGAATTCATATTAATTAAATTTTAGGCTATCCTTAAAGAATTTTAAACTACTGCTGTGATCATTCATCCTCTCAAGATCTGGCCAGATTTCACTGCTGGCAGAGGTTGTTTTCAGCAGCTCATCTGTGTAGCAACAAATATGTTTTCCAGTTTGGGCTGTCCTAGCAACTGAACGGTAATTGGCGATGCCCTGAGGTGGTAACCCAAATATTTAATACCACATGTGGTTAAAGTTTAATCCACTGTCATGATGATGATGATGTGGCAACAGAAGCTGTGCGTCAGGGTCCATTCCCCACCTGGGGAACAAGGTGGCAGCAGCTCTCGTGTGGTGTGGTCTCTCACGGAGTATGGGATGAGTGAGGCCGACCTGGCTGAGGGCTGAAAGGAGGATTTTCCACCATGAATGGATTTCCAAACTGCTCTGCTAACTACACAGACATCTGGAGTCATTCTTTGGTGCTTGCCCTGGGCATCCCCCAGCTGACCATCAACGTGGCGTCCGTGCTCTTCAACTGCACCGTCATCCTCACCCGCCTGGCCACCAAGGACCTGCACAAGCCCATCTCCATCCTCTTCTGCAATTTGGCTGTCTCTGATCTCTTCACCAGCTTCTCTGGCTTTTGGATTTCCACGCTGTTCATCACCAACCCCGACATCACCATCTTTGGGTCCGAGGACATGCTCGCCCCGTACGCCTTGTACACGACGTCCATTTTATCCACCATCTACAACCTGGTGAGCATCGGGGTCGAGCGGTACCTGGCTGTGGCCAAGAGCATGAGGACGAGATTCAGGGTTGCCAGGAACCATTCCATAGCCGTGGTTTTCACCAACTGGGTCCTTGCTTTCTTTCTGGGCTGCTTGCCACTGATGGGGTGGAACTGCCTGCACAGGGAGAAGAGCGTCTCGGTCCTCTACAGCCCGTTCTGCGTCAACTACCTCTTCTTCATCGCCGCCCCCAACTTTGTGGTGGCCTTTATCATACCTCTGTTCACCTACCTCAGAATCATCATCATCCTGAGGAGGAGGAAGCTGAGGATGAAGGCGTGTGGGCAAGCCACCGGCACCTACAAATCGGCTGAGACCCAGGTGGCCAGGACCAGCATCTTCATCTGGCTGCTGGCGCTCATCTCCTACGCCCCGTTCTTCGCCGGGGTCATTTTTGATGCCACCAACCACCGGTGCCACGTCGACCTCTACCCGGGCGTCTACATCTTCAGGAACTGCACGGCCATGCTCATCACCATCAACTGCCTGGGCAACCCCCTCATCTACACCCTCAAGCTCAAAACCCTGGGGGCCAAGCTCAAGGCTCTGAAGTGCCTCTCCACCAACAGCGTCCGAGCCTGTGCCATCGAGCACATCTAGGTGGGGCTGCCCCTGCTGCAGCACTGCCTGACCTGCCCAGCGGAGCCAGGGAGAGCTCTGCAATCACTCCAGATCCAGGGGGATTCAAAAAACACGTGGATGTGGCACTGGGAGGCACAGTTTAGTGGTGGGATGATGGTTGGGCTTGATCTTAGAGGTCTTTTCCAACCGTGTTTCCTGTGGTTCCATTCCTGAAGCCCAGGTGCTTCAGCACCCAGCGAGGGGGAGGTGTTGGGGTGCAGAAACCAGTGTGGGCAGCCCTGAAAGGGGGGCTGGACTCTGTGTCTCCCAAAGCCCTCAGCAGCGAGGAGCTGTGCTGCCTGGCTCTCCTTGGGGAAGTGGCTCAGCGTGTGCCCCTGGTCTGTGTTGCCTCCAGCTGGGAGCAGGGGAGCTGTTTTCCTTGGAGATAAAAATAACTCCATTAGCCCTGTTTACTTTGTGCTGCTGCTGCTCTCGCTTCGCTGCCCAGACTCCCATCCCTGTTGTGTGGTTTGTATGGCTTTGAAGGCAGTTAAATGGCTGGAAAATTCTCAGCAGTCTGGGGGAAATTGTCATTTTACTTTCTCATTTACACTCAGTCAAATTGTCTCTTTGACTGTTGGATGAATCTTTATTAACAGGGCACTCAGCCCTGTTTTCCTGGGGTAATTTTCACTGCAGTGTGTAGCTGGATTACATGTTTTTGTGAGACATTTGTGGCTACATCTTTCATATTTCTGCTTATAGAGGCACACTCGAGTCCATGGCTTGTGAAATTTGTGCTGTTCCAGGTGACAACCTTGGCTGGATCCTTCAGGATCAGAATTGAAGTTGAGTTGCCTGTGCAAAACAAAATAAAAATGTCAAGACCAAGTATTTTGTAAAAGAAAAAGGTCTTACTCCCTCTCTCTCAAAAAAAAAAAAAAAAAAAAGGAAAGTTGGCTCCTGAATATTTATTATTTATTTAGTAGATATTGTTTCATCAGATCCTAGTGGAGGTGGATGTTTATTCTTAGTTACACAGGGATATGTTCTAGAAGAATCTCAGAGTTCAAACTTCTGATCTCTTGCCTGAACCAAAGCAGGTTTATTTTCTCTTGCCCCAACCAGAAGCCTGGTTTTAACAGATCTGGTGACATCAGCCCACCTTGCTGGTTTTTTAAAGTGCTCTCAGATGCTGCTCTGTGGTGTTTCATCAGTGTACACCAATAAAGTGGCATCAACAATCTACACAGTGATGATGTTCTCACGTTCATCACACGCACAATCCAACCCAAATCAGCCCTTCCAGCACAGACTGGAGTTTCCAGGGATTTATTTCCAGTTTCTTTGCTTTGTTGTTGTTGTTGTTGTTCTTTCCCCACTTCAAAAGGTTTGAGTGAACTGAGGGAAAATCCCATTGCTCTGATCCTGGCTGGGTATGAGAAAAGAGATGTTTTGAGTAAGAACTGGGAAGTGCCATCACATTAACAAATCTGATACTCAGTGGTTCCCTTTACTGGTGACAAACCCCTCTCCTGTGCTGCTTCACACTGAAGAACTCCAGGGATATTTCTTTTGTCTGAATTGAAATTCAGATATTTAAGGAAATGGATGGCCCTAAGTGACACAGAATTAAAATGAATTATTTAAATGGATAATGTAACTCAGGCAAGATAATTTCTTTTCTCCATTTTTTTTTTGTTGTTTTATTTTGGAGCACTGCTGTTCTATCAGGGACTTCTGGGAACTCCACCACCCCCAGCCCCAGGAAGGGTTTGGCTGGAACCTGACATCTGTATTTCACCCTCAACAACAGGAGGTTCAACCAGACCTTCCCACAGGGCAGATGGTGAAGATCAACCCGGGGTGGTTTTTGATGGGATATTTGCTATATGGTGTAATTTTTTTATCCACTTCCATATTGACATTGGGAAGGTGACACGTCAGGAGCAGAACACTTGATGTGTCACAGCCCATGGCAGTGAGTGTCACTGGGAAAGCCAAGGGGACAGCTGGGATCCTGCCAGAGCCCTCCAGAGGGTCGGGATCTCCGTATCAGTAACTCTCTCTATCTATATCTCTCTATATGGATATATCTGTGTATATGTCTATATCTCTCTGTATCTCATATCTCTCTATATCTGTACATCTATCTAATCTCTCTCTCTTTCTCTCACTCTCTCCCCTCTTCTCTCTCCCCCTCATATATAATCTCTCTCTATATATAGAGAGATATATCTATAACTGTACCTCTTTATAAATCTGTAGATCTCTCTCTGCCTCTGCATCTCTATCTCTCTCTATACTTGTAGATACATCTCTCTAGATATCTGTAAATATATCTTCCTATATGTCTGTGATCTCTCTTGTATATATCTCTAGATATCTCTGTATGTCTATAGATCTCTCTCTATATATATCTATTGATATCCATCTCTATCCATAGATATCTATATATATCTCTATAGATCTCTCTCTATATATATCTAGATATCTCTATCTCTCCATATATATCTATATCTCTATCTGTCCACCTTTAGAAATCTATATCTATATAAATACCTAATATCTCTCTCTGTATCTGTAGATGCCTATATATATCTATAGATTTTCTACATCTATCTATAGATCTCTGTATATCTCTTTAGATGTCTCTATCTCTCTATATATATCTGCTGATATCTCTAGACATCCACATTTTCCATCTCTATTTCTATATAATCCCGGGCCCCGGGGAGGGCGGGGCCGCGCTCGGCGGTGGATTAGCGAGCCTGGGGGGCCGCGCTCGGCGGTGGATTAGCGAGCCTGGGAGGGCGCGCTCGGCGGTGGATTAGCGAGCCTGGGGAGATGCGCTCGGCGGTGGATTAGCGAGCCTGGGGAGATGCGCTCGGTGGTGGATTAGCGAGCCTGGGGAGATGCGCTCGGTGGTGGATTAGCGAGCCTGGGGAGATGCGCTCGGCGGTGGATTAGTGAGCCTGGGGGGACGCGCTCGGCGCTCGGCGGCGCTTGAGGGGCGGCCATGAGGGCGGCGGGGCCGTGCGGGGAGTGCGGGGAGACGGGCACGGGCCGGTACCGCTGTCCGCGCTGTGCCAGCACATAGTGAGCGAGGGGGGCACGGGGGGCAGGGCCTGGCGGGTGTGAGGGCGCGGCGGGCTCTGTGCCGGTGCGGGGCCTCCTCCAGCCCCTCACGCTCCGTTGTCTCTCCCGCAGCTGTTCCGTGCGGTGCTGCCGGACCCACCGCGGTGAGTACGGGCCGGGAGGGGCCGGGCGGGGCCGGGGCTGCCCTGGGGCTGACCCGCTGTGTGTCCGCAGAGCGCTGCGCGCCGCATTCCAGCCAGGAGCGGGACAGGGAGCGGGGCAGGGAGAAGGGTCCCCCCGCGGCCCCGCCGAGCCCCGCACACGGCCCCTGGTCCCTGGAGGACATCCTGGGCGAGGAGGATGAGCAGGACCGCGTCCCGCTGCAGAAACTCAAGCTTTTAGGTGAGTTTGGGAATTCGGGAGTCAGCCGGGTGTGGGGATGGTGGGGCTTTAGCAGAAATACTCCCCATTCCCAGGAGTTCTGCTTGGAGCTGCTCCCAGTCGTGCAGCTCGTTGCAAGGCCTTAAAGAGTTAAATATCGGATATTTGGCCTTTCACCAGTCTCTTTGAAAGTTTATTTGTAAAATAAGGAAGGTCTTAACTTCGTTTGTAACCTTTTGAGATTACTCCTGTTTATCTTTTTTTTCTTTTTAAAGGGGAATCAGAAGAACTGAGGGCTTTGCTGCTGAACCCACACCTCCGGCAGCTGCTCCTCACCATCGACCAGGCAGAAGACAAAAGCTCTCTCATGAGGAGGTTCATGCAGGAGCCCCTGTTTGTGGAGTTTGCAGATTGCTGCCTGAGGATTGTGGAGCCTCCCGAGAAGGAGAACATCCTCCCCGAGTGAGCACGTTTTCCTTTCCTTGAGGTTCTGTGCTGCAGAGCTGCTCCATTCTGTGTCTTTCCTCAGGGTCTGGTCACTTTGCCCCTGGATTTCAGTGCTCTGATTTCAATTCAGAGTAGACAGAGATTTTTAGAGACTGGGGGTTGAACCTGACACTCTGCAGACCTGCTTTGTGTTGGTACAGAAATACTGGCAACCGTGGCAAATGTTACTTCACAGTGACAATATTAAATATATTTGCATTTATTTTAATCGACAAATACTCTGAAATGTTTTTGTTCGTTGTTTGGGATGGCCAGACACCTTGACAAGGCGCTGAGCAGTTTATTTAAAATGACATACACAGAGGAGCTGAACATTTTCGAGACCCATGAGCAAGAAAAGGACGGTACAGAGCACCTCTGATGAGACCGTGGGCAGGGCAGTGCTGTTTGGGGAGCTCTGGAAACGCCTGGCAGCTGTGAGAGCTCATATATTTTGGTCATAGAGAGAAAAAAAGCAAGAGCCCAGTCTTGCTTTTCCCTGAGACATCTGCCCTCCGTGTTACGTTGGCTGCTCCTCCCTCCCTCGGTCAGTCAGAAGTGTGCCAGTGTTGGGGAACACTGGTGGTCAGTCAGGAGGGTTGTACCTCTGAGAACCCAGCAGGAATCAGGAATATTTGCATTATTTGCTCTCTCATGACCAGCCTCTTGCTTCTCCAGGTAGTGCCAGCAGCGTTCAGTTCAAGTATTTATTGCTTAAAGCACCTGATCTGGTTTAGTTGATTGTTCTCCTAGTGCTGATATGTCCTGTAACATGTGCCTGTGTGGAGGAATGGCCCCCAAACCCCCCAAATTTGACCTATATTACATTACATTGTATTTTACGTACAAGGCATCGAGGTGGAAGCTCTGAGGTAGCAGCAGATGTGGCCGTTGAGTGATTTGAAAGCAGCAGCTTGCAGAGAGCCCTTCCCTGAAGGCAGAGGTGTGCAGGGGCCAGGCCTATGTGGGCAGGAGTTCCTTTCTGTCCAGCAGAATCTGGTTGAATCCCGTGATGGAACAGGCATCCCTGTGGGGGCTGACGTTGGAATAGTGCAGGGGGGACTTCCTGCAGTGGAACCTGACAGAGCCCTGCAAGGAAAAGAGGTGGAGAGGTCAGCTGGGGGGCTGGCCAGCTTTTGAGGTGATTTTCTTGTTCATGCTTAGTGTCTCTGAGCAGCTAGTGACTGTGAGGATAGAAGGGGACCTCCAGAGGAGTTTTAGTACAAATGGATTTAAGAAAACTGAGTACCAGTTCTATAATTTGAACTGGAATTAGCTTAAACTCTGGAGATTGGAGTGTTTAGTGCTGAACTTGCTACTGCTTCTGCCCACCTGCAGTAACTGTGACTGGTTCTTGCACCCAGAATTTTATGCAACCTCGGAAAAGTTTCCAAAAAAACCACCAAAGTGATTTTTGTAACAAGGTGCAGTTTCTGAGGGCAGCCAGTGGCTGCAGCTTGTTGGTAGGAAATGGTATCCAGGACTATTCCTTGAACTCCTGGCACCCTCCCCGTGCTGACTGGGGTCCGTGAGGTGGTTACCTGTGGGAGAGCTCTGATGGAAGCGATGCCACAGCCCAGGGAAGGGCCCTCCAGCCTGGAGCAGCCGCTCTCCTGGAGCCCTCCGAGCCAGCCCAGCAGCGCCAGGTCCCTGCGGGGCCCCGTGGCCGTGACAGGGGCAGCAGCCAGGACAAGGCCCAGGGGCCAGAACTGGACAATGGCCTGCCCAGGCCACGCTGTGTCCAAAGAACAAGGCAGTTTGGCCGGGATCACCGTGGCTCCAGGAGCTGGGAACTCCTCCCCTTCCCCCTCATCCAGTTCTGCCGCTGCCAACGCGGCCATTTTTGCCTGGTGAAGATAAGGAACAATATTCAACGAGGTTCTCAGACACCCTGAGCAGAATTTAAAGAGTCTGGAAAGGAGGGAATCTGAGAGGGCAGCAGACCCTTTGGGGCATTCCCATGAAGGTAAGGAATGGGTTTATGCTGCAGAATAGAAGCAGGACTGGCATCCTCTGCTCTTCAGCTGGAGAAGAGTTTAATGGAGCACTGACAGTGCTGCTTTTGTAGTTAGTTGAGGCAGAGCAGTAACTACTAAGAGGGAGATTCCTTCTAAAAAAAAAAAGCCTCAGTGACTGAGTTCTGTGCTTCCCTGTCCCCACACCCTCACCTTCCATCTCCTCCAGCCACGTTGGATGACTTTGGCAGCCCCGCGCATCCTTCGGAACCGACTCCTGGCCAGCCAGGAACGGACAGCTGAGGATTCAGTGGAAACAAAGCTGAGTACAAGCAATCTCAGGAGCTCTGGCACACAGTGTGAGAGGTGGCACTTCACCGCCCCTGCCACTTTAATCCCCCAATATAACTGGAAATGTTCCTTGTTCTGTTGTTCCAGCCACATTTTTGTGGAGTTACCTGCTTGGATGACAGTTGCAGACTGTTTTTCCTTGGCAAACTTCTTCTGCTTAAACCTCCTCCAGCAACACTGGATGCAAAATGCTTTCTCATTTAACACCTCTGCTCTCCTGGCTTCCAGTAGCTCCAGCTGCAGTGGGGACAGGAGCCTGGAGTTAGTGCTCAGGGCAGAGTTCTGCTCTCAACTCTTCCCTTTTCTGCAGCCTCTTGGTGTTTGTCAGAGAGCCACATCCTCATTCCAGTGTCCTGTGACTGCTGGATTAGGTGTGGGAAGTGACAGCACTCCATTAGTGCTTATTAGATAATATGGAGACAAAAATGTAAGTAGTTGGGGGGTCACAGTAGCAGCTGGCTTAAAACCAGCTCCACTGAAGGGGGTTCTATGGCTGCATCCTGCAAGCTTGGCAAAGGTACCTCTGTCTCCTTCATCTTCTTCCCCAAGGAAGCTGTGTGGGCCAGTTGGAGTAGCCAAATCTGTCAGCTGAAGGTAAGGAAAGCTGTAATCTTTCCTGGAATTGGGAGAATCCTGACAGTTCTAGACACAAGTGCAGCTCCTTGGCTCCACAGAGGCCATTAAACAAAGTGCTTCTGAGGGCTGGGCTCTGATGGATGCCTGACTGAGTTGAGTAATTTGAAGGAAAATGCCCAATTCTGGTCACACTGGCTTGGCAGGAGCACTGCCCCCACCATGGTGATACCTGTGCCAGAATCCCAATTGGGCAGGTGAGCTCCAGAATTGTCAGCCAACTTACCACAGAACTGGCCAGGAATACTTTGGTCTTCCCACAGTACACTGAGGGAGTTCCTGCTCCACTCCCTGTTTGCTCAGCAGTGGTTTGTCCCATAACAACGTTCTGCAGGATCTCAAGAACAGCAGAACGTGATGCTTTGTCTTCATCCATCACTGGAGTCTCGCCTGGAAACGAAGCATTGAGGAGGAGGAGTCACAAGACTTGGAAAGCAGGACCAAGGAATTGTCTTCACACTGAGATTTCTTGGCCACCTAGAGGGGGAAAACCTCCAGCAAGAGGGGAGGAGGTGATGGCTGAGAGCACTCAACCTCACTGGGGTTTGGGGTAAAATGGGACAGCACAGATTTCACCAGGTGCCAGCAACCAGACAACCAGCGTGGGGGGTGTTTTAACTGGGAACAAAGAACAAAAAGCAAGGAATTGGACTCAGCCTTAATGTACTGAAAGGTGCAGGAGGGGGAGACAACTTGTGCACGGGTCTCCAGCCTTCCCAGGGCATTGGAAGCAGCTACGGGGTCAGGTACTGAGCAGGACTTTTATTGCAGCAATTAGAGGTTATTAAAACCATTTGTGGGACACAGTGCACAGCTTTTTACATCATGAGACAAAGAGGTTGGCCAGATGAATCTTAACTGCAAATTCAGACGTAATTCAGAGCTGTCCTTGAAAGAGATTGTGTTGTTCAAGGCAATGCTGCAGGAGTTCCTGCAATGGGCTTTGTATCATTCCATCCTGGATACTGTTTGCTTTTCTGCTATAAATATTTCTAAGGAGATGAGAGCATTTTAAGGTACTGAAAACAAATAGGAGCAATTCTTGCCTACAGGAAGACATCTGGTGCCTGTGATGGTGTTCACGGGGCCGGGCTGATAAGGGAACCAAAAGCTTATCCCCGTGTTTGGGAAATTTGTTTTGCTTTGTTTGCAGCTTATTACCCCCTAAAGATAAAAAGGACTAAGAACCTATCACACAGAGGCTTTGCAGCTAATGGGTTTGTAATTGAGGGGGAAAGATACAGTGTGTAAGTAATTTTCCAGCCTGTACTTCCTTCCTCCACTCCATTTCCAGCCGGTGAATGGATATCCAGACATTTTACTTATCTGAACAGGCTGGTACTTACTGGTCCTGCTTCCTGCTGGTTATGGAACAGACCCACTGGGTGAAGATGGGATTAATTTGGGAGAGAGAAGGGGGTTGCAGGAACCTTCAGTATTAAATGTAACCTCCTGATGAGCTCCTCCTTTTAGGGGTTCACAGCAAAGGCATTACCTTGTAGACTGGGTTGTGTTTTTTAAAGTCCATCCTCGCTCTTGCTTAGAAAAAGAGAAGTTTGCAAAAGGTGGAAGAAGCAGCAGAATCCAGGTAAGCTGGAAGGTCAGTGATTCAGCAAGGAAGCAAAGTGGGGGAAAAAAAGAAAGGAAGGAGAAGGAACATGAGCCAAAAGGTAAGAGGTTTTCAAGTCTGCTAAAGAACCAACTCTAAATCAAATTATATTGGATGGGGGGAACCCCAGACACCACTGTAACTGTAATTGTTCCAGCCAAGAGGAACACAGAAAACCAGCAATAAGAGGAAAGATTTTAAAAAGAGCCTGCTGTAAGCATTAGGCAAATTAGAAACTCCAACTGCTGACAGATTAGAGAAGTATTCTGAGAACAGAGGTGTCCCTCGTGCTGAGCACAGTAATCACCTGACCTATGCAATATCAAATGGGTGCAGTGGTAACTTTACTTGATGGCAGAGGGATTATCTGCACAAACATACCTTTTTCCTCAGCAGTGTGAGAGTTGCTTTTATCACACACTCTTCTTTTACTGGGCCCACAGGACTTTCTCAGGATCTCGTAGCGCTCAGTGAAACGTTGGAAGGGGATCCTGGCAGACAAACACACAGTGAATTCCAGGGAAGAGTCACCACTGTGGCAAAGAACTTATCCTTTGGGGGTAAAAACTGCAGAATGGCTGCACAGATCCAGTGCAGGGAATGCAAACAGACTGATGCCTGAAGAGTCACCAACAGGCAAGAAACTACAAACTCCCAGTAGTGCCTGTAGCAAAGACTGGGCAGGAATTGTGCTTGGATATGACAATGATGAGCTTCACCCCATCAGTGCTGAGCTGTGACTATCTCAGGCCTTGCTCTGCACCCTCTAAACGTGGTCAAGAAAGCCCAGCAAGGCTGTGATGGGATGCTGAGCTCTGAGATGTCTACACTTAGATAAATGCCTTTTGTGATTTAATTTTAATTGCTAAAAATGTTGCTGTGAAGCCACGTTCAGTTAGAAAAATTTTAGTACATAATAGTCCACATCAAAACATCTTTCTTCTCAAGCTGGAAAGGTACAGTGAGCTCTCAGACAGCTTTGAAAGCATCAGTAGTTTTGAGGCCTAAAACAAAGTGCAAAATATTTGGGTTTCCTTGCTTATAAGCTCTTCTGAATAACTAATATGCCACTAATTGCTGCAGAAGTGGGTTATGCTCAAGAAGTCTGGACTCACCTGACAGGGAATCCTGCTGCACTGATGGTGATGGCTTCGACTATTCCACATGCCTGCAGCTGGCTGAGAACCTGAGGCATAAATTGGGATGGTTTAGGTGACACTCTGTGGGAGCTGCTCCTCTCTTGTGGTATCCACACCCTGACTGACCGAATGCAGCAGCACATGAAAAGCCAGTGGGGGTATTTTAATACTATTTTCTCCTTATTATTTTAACACTATTGTGCACTCAGCAAATTCTGTAAGTGTTTAAAGTCAAGGCAGCAACACTCCAGCTGCTTGTTTTCCCATCAGATGAGGGTCTCTAGTTACAGCTCTGCTCCCAAAGTCCTCAGCTGATCTCATCCAACTTGTCCTGCACTCCAGGAGCAAGCAAAGCTTTGTTTGGGAGATCCCTGTGTGCCCAGGGCTGCTGAGCACTCAGATCACCCTCATCTGTTTGAGGGCTGGGAGGGCAGCACCCCAAATAACCCAGGAGTGCCCTGGGAAGAGAACTTCTCCTACAGCAACACATAAGTTGCACCTGGGAGAGCTGCTGTGCTCACAGGCTCTGTTCTGGACAAGCACCATCAGTGACTCTGAAGGGAGGTTTTTCTCTGCAGCCTCAAAGGAGAAGCAGCTATTTCAAAATGTGCTGTGAGAGGAGCTTTGCAATGCAAAGGCCCCACAACGTCTCCAGGAAGCTTCTCAGTGAGGAAAGGCTTTGGAAAAGTTACCTCTTCTCTTTTAAAAGTCCTGGCCTTGCAGTCAGCATTGGGTTTGATGCAGCGGATGTAGTGTGGCGTGGTCCTGTTCAAAATCTGCATGAGATGTTCCAGGGAGCTCTGCACAAAACAGACACAGGAGGGATCAGGGACAACTCCACAGGGAGCTCAGCTCATCAGGGGTCTTCTGTCAAACCCAGGGAGCTGTTTTTTTGCAAGGATGGCTTTACAGACTCAGAGCAATTCTACAGGGACAACTTGAGCATAAAAATCCACTCTGTGGATGCTTTCATCAAGTTGTTGATGGTAAATTCAGAAAGTTTCCAAAATTATAGCAGGGCCATCCGTTGACACCAACCCCTCAAGAGGAACAGGTAAGAAGCAGCCTCAAAAAGGCAGGTGCCCAACTGTTAAAGGTAAAATCAGAGGGAGTTAAGACCCAGACAATAGCAGGAGTCTGAAGCTGTTTCTGTTTTACAGCTGTTTCATTTTTACATCATTTACTGATCTTCATCCAGCTCCTGTTTTCTCATCTAGTCACGAAGGCAGCTGTGGAAAGCAGGAAGCTGAAGAGGATGTACCTTGAACTTGGACACCACTGTAACAACAGGTGCTCTGTTCTGGGTTTTGATGTTATTCTGGTTGTTTTCTGTCACAGGAAATAATTTTTGAAGCAGAGAGTCCTTAGAGTTCTGCAAAACATGGACCAGCTCTGGTGGAACAGCATCCTGCAAACACAGACATGATGTGTTAGAATCTGGACTTGGGCGGACACTGCCACCTCTGCAAATGACTGAAAATTCCACATAAATAGATGGAACAGTATTTCTGATGCCAGCTTTGATTTCACCACAGCTGCAGTTCCAAATCTGACTGTGTCCATTCATTCATAGTCAAATTTGGGAACAGAAAACAATGTTTGCCTGAATATTTAGCAGATCCAGTCAAATGTGTGACTGCTCCCTCCATTGTTCTTGTTATTCAGCTTGAGTGAGCCAGAAGCCTCAGCTCTGGTTTAAAAGGACAGTCTGCAGCAAACGTTAGAAAGTCTGTTAGAAATATTCCTTTTAATTAAGAGATGGTGTTTCATTGCATCACCTATTTTACTTATTCCCTGATGGCACAACGAGGCTAAAATTTGAATACTTCCAGAATTTCCAGTAAAGTCCATGCTCTTGTTTCTCATAAACTCACCAGATTTTTTTTAGGGGAAATGAAGCACTCTGTTTATGGTTCTAAAAATGCCCTGATGCCATTAACAGTTCTGCATCCCCAGGAATGGGAGAGGCCCTGATTTGGTGATGGTCCACTTAATCCTCAGCTGAAAGGTCTAACAAAGGAATTGTTTGTGCCAGTGATGGACTGAAAACCAGAGCAAGAACATTACCCAGCTATACATGGCCTGAAGGATTTATTTGGAGCAAGGTATGTACATCCAGCACACACCCCTGAATAGACTTGTTAGTGGTGCTTTGATTTGGTCTCTCTGAAAACACCTACCTTATTTTTCTCCACCATTGCTGCCAGCTGGTAGCAGACTTTGCCAGCATAATGTGAGATGATGAAGTTGGGCTTCTTACTAAACCTGTCTCCACTTAAACACTGGTTACTAGACAAGGCTTTCTCAATCCGAGCCTGGAACAGGGCGGGGTTGGAGGGTCTGTTCAGGCGACACTCCTGCAAACGAGACAGGATTTGTCACAAAGAACTGACTCTAAAAGCTGAACCACTTCAATTTAAAATCACACAGCCTTTTTGCTTTTACAGCATGCCAGCCATGGAATATTGGGGGGGTGGGGAGGATGGGAAGTAACTGAGGCTTCGTATTTGAATCAGAACATCCAGGATCAGAGGGAAAAAGACACTCAGAACACGAGGAAGCAGTGTCATGATTATTCTGAAAACAGAGCTCTGCAGACATTGTATATCTGACAAGTTTTCTGTTCATACTTTCTTTGGTGTTGTGGGACAAAGGCAGGAAACTAGGCCAAAAAAGTTCAGGGTTCAGATCACACTTACCTCGTTCAGCAAGGAAAAAATGCTGAGAGGGTTTCCCTCTAAGAGATCAAGGCAGTTCTGGTTATCCTGGTAGTTTATGAATGACCACTGCAGGCCTTCAGCTGCATATTCTTCCTGAAGGAAGAGGGAAAGGATCATCCTGCAGCAGAGGGCACCAGAGCCTGGAACTGTGTGTCTTGTGCAGTTGATTCAGTTAATGTTTAATGAGTTAATCCCAGCTCAGCTGCTCATCCAAAGCTCAGCTCGAGTTTAAGAGCAAGATGAGAAAAAAAAACCAAACGAGGGTATTCTTGCCCAGGTAGCTTTTGAGTGTGGATCAGATCCTGCTGCAACAATTTGTCTGAGTATTTGGGAACCTCACAGATTTATCAGAGTGAGCTGCAAGGCTGATTTAGAGAGTGAACAGAGGCTACAGTCACACAAAGCCTGTCCTGGCTGTGCTGAGATTTGCCCCGAAGGGCAAGGAACGTGGAGAACTCCTTCCTTAGGCTGGGACACAGCCCTAAACCAACCATTGTGTGCCAGGCTTTACTAACTGGGCTCCTTTTAAAGCCTGATCCAAGAGGAAGTACAGAAAGATATTAGTTGAAATAATCTGCACAATATTTATGCTGAACTACAGGACAGTCTGTCAGGAGTGTTTAACAAGCTCAAGCTCTGGGCAGTTATTTTAAAAGTCTCCTGCCAAAAGCTTGCTCAGCACAGCCACTAATGGCATTTAAGTGGTTTGGGCCCCAGCCAGAGGCAGAGAGGTAAGAGGGCAGGCAGTGACTGGGAGGGGAGCAGCAAACAGAGGTCATGGAGCAGTTTCAAGGCAAGTAATTGTGTGCTTGAACTCGGTTTCCATCTTCACTGACCATTAACCCCTGGCACACTGACGAGGGCAGGCAGGGAAAAAAAGCCTGGGAATGTGAAAGCACAAACTGTAGTCAAAGGAACACTTATCTCCTGAACAAATTGACAAAGCCATGCTGGGAGGCAGGAGGTGCCAGTGTGCTGGTGCCATAAAGAAAATAATTTCCCAGATTATGCAGTTAATGGCAAAGAGCAATGTGGTAATGGAGCTGCACTGGGGGAGAACTGGAGCAGCCCTGGAAGGGACTCTGTGCCCCCAGAGCACTCAGGAGAACTGGAATTAGCAGTGTGTGACCAGTGAGGTGAGGGACTGCAGAGCCTTTAGCGTGGTGCAAATACCTCCTCTAGTGTGAAACAACACAATTTGTGAGCATTCCTAACAAACCCCAAAAGCTGATGCAGACTGAGGTTTGGTTTTACAGGTACTAACACAGCAGCTGGTTCATGGAGCTGCTCCCCTGCAGCAGGAGGCCTCCCCAGGTACCACGTGGGTGTTGGGGTGACAGGGGTCTGTTGGGCTCTGCCTTCACACTGAGCTCAGTCTGGGAGCTCCCCACTCTTTTTTTTGGGACTCTGTGCTTGAGGAAGGGAATTAACATGGCTATGAGCAGCAGCTTCCAAGAGAATCTCTAGGCTGCACTTACCTCAAGAATTTAAAGTGTTCAGCTCTTTGAAGAAAACCAAACAGTTTAACTGGCACAGTTTAACAGTGGAGCTGGATAACAGGGAACAGATTTCCAGTCTCCAGGACAGAAAGTCTGTCATTCCACCAACTGCCCCACACTCTCCTCTTTAAAAAGCCACTGTTACATCCCACTGGTTTCTGTGGCATTACTTACTGCCTGAAGGTTGCAGTCTGACCAGAGGCACAGAAATACAATTAAAGTGACAAAAGATGCTGTTTTAAAATTAGATTTTTTTTCTCTTACTGGGGGTCTCACCTGCTGTGCCTTCAGGTAGTGTGCTACAAAGTGCTGCTGCAGTTTCTCATTGGCATAGTTAATACAGAGCTGTTCCAGGTTGTTTTCAGGGAAGGCTTCAAAACCATAAACATCCAACAGGCCTAGAAGGAACGTGGGAAGACAGTGAGCTTTAGTCTAGGAGCAGCTTGAAGGACTTCCAGTGAAACCAGGGTGGAATATGGAATATCCATACCTATGAAGCTGGTCCACACCGATGGATCTGCATAGATGCTCTCATTGATGACCAGAACGAGCCACTCAAACAACCTGCAATGACAGTGGGATGGGGTGGAAGCTGCTTGCAGGGCAGAGTTCTTATCCTGCTGTTCCTGTCGGTGTCACTTGGAAGGAACAGAAATCTCTGGCACGAGACAGCAGCACTCTGAAGGATTCTCTGCCAGTGCACAGCAGAATGAAGGGGTGTTGAGAGGGGAAGGGAGGGTTACAGTGATGGAATCCAAGCAGAGAGCCAGGGGAAGGAAATCCCTCTGGCCTCCCTCTTCCCTCCCCAAGGCCCCGTGGGCTGGCACAGCCGTACCTGGCGTAGATGACTTTGGCCAGGCAGTCCCTCCTGGTCTCACACTCAGCTCTGGAGCAGGGCTTCTTGAACACCTGCTGCTGTTTCCCAGCAGTTATTGTCCGAATTCTTAAGGATTCCAGTAGTTCCTCCACAGGGATCTTCAGCAGATCTCCAGTGGTCTTCACAAAACCTTGTTCAGGAGGACAAACAGTGCCAGGTTACCTGGATGCAGATCCTTTAAGCTCTGGAAGGTCTATAGTGTAGGAAAATGACACTTCCATGAGCTCACCAACTTTAATGTGGACTTTGGATCTTTTTTACCCAAACTTGGGAGCAAGTTTTGCAAGACCAGACTCTTAATTTGGACGTAGAGTTCCCCTAGAATTTCAGGTACTCTATTTAAAATGAAGCAATACCAAGCAATTCTGAAGTTTGCCACACTGAAGTTGGTGTTTTATAGAGTCTTTCTAGTCTTTGTTACTTGTTCACCTTTTCTGAGCAGAGACCTTGAAATCCAGGTAGACAAATCAGTCATGGCCAGAAAAAAAAAACAGGGAAAAAACCAGAAAATGTAGAAGAATGAGTATTTGCTAACAAAGCATTTAAGATCTTGCTAAGCTGAGCTGTATGAAAAACAATTTAATATTAAATAGAGCTTGTGAAATCCTAGCAGGAAACTTCACTGTTCAGGACAGTTTTGGTTCTGAAGGAAAACTAGACCCACAAGCCTCCTAAAGACATGCAGAACCACCTCTATTTATGCTGCAATTTTAACAGATTATCTGTTACTCAGTTCAAGTCTTTATCATGAAAACTTCAAAGCTTTCATGTTAAAAGCCCTGCTCTCCACTCTGGCTCAGATTTCTGCAAAGTCTTGTGATGTCAGGGTAAGATTGCAATCAAGAGTCACAGTTCTGCCAATAATCCTGCTGAAATCACTGACTGATGCTGAAGTTGCCTTGACCTGTCACAGAAGGATATTGTCTCTCAGAGCAGGGGAGCATTAGAGTTTTGTTTACTCACAAAAACAAGCTTAAATTTTGGGTTGCTCATGACCTTGATAGTCTATATCAGCAGAAGGGTGCAGTAATCCTTTCCATCAGGCATCTGCACTGAGATAACAGGACTCCCTGGAGCATGGCATGGTTGTTGCCTCACCTTTGGTTTTGTCTTCCAGGTCACAAGGCTGAGATTCATCCACTGGATTAGAGAATTGGATGTTCCCAAGGTGGAGAAGGCCTGACAATACCTGAAACACAATCAATAACTGAGGTTTTTAAAACAGCTCCCCTCCAAGGCAGTGTCCTCTGAGCCTTCCTTAACCCCAGGAACAGGACAAGTCAAAACATTTCTGCACCAGAAGAAGCAAACACATTCCAAGCTTCTGTGTGAATCCCTAGTGCTGCAATTCCTGAAGGAAAACTGCAGTTCACAGGTGGAGGCTTTTAGTTAAGATCTAATATTTGGCTGTGCAACCCCACGTGTTGCTGCAGGAGCACCAACCAGCCCATGCTCTGCACGGACACAGGTTTCCTTCTGCAGCAATCCCACAGCAGGAGGACACTCCAAACCCCCCCAGCAGCCTCGTGGTGTCCCCTCTCTGTACCTGACCTTGAAAACATTGCTCTGCGTGCAGCGCTCGATGCCCAGGTGACACATGGCAGCTCTGGTCACCTCGAAGCTGTCCTCTGCAAAGCCAAACAAGGGCTGGTTAAAACAGAGCCAGGCACACAAACACAGGCAAGCAGGACACTGCACAGCTCCAGCTCGGCTGGAATTGTCACAGGACACCAAGGGAGCCAGAGGCAGTTGGGGTAAATCCCCCAGTACAGGCTGGAGAACCCAGTCCCTGACTCAGTGCTGCCTCTGTGGCTCTGCAGTGAGGCAGCAGGTGCTGAAGCCCATGCAGAGACAAGACAGTTTCAAAACACAGCCCCAGAGATGCAAATTCACCAGCCAGAAACAGCCAGGTTGAGTTTTAAGATTTAATAGTGCAAACTGAAACTTCAAAAGAGTCCCACTAATGCAGGTGGCCCTGGGTGATGGGATTGAACAGGACATATTTTTGCCTGCCTTCCTTTAAAGTTCCAGCTGTTTTTAATGGACAGTGAAACTCATCTTTACCATCCAAGTTTCTTTCAGGATTTGGCAGCCAGCGGTACTCAGCCCCTTCTGGAAGGTTCCATTCCAGCCTCTCCTCTGCAGTAGCACCTTTTGTGATCTGGAGGCAGAAAACAAGGTAAAGATTGAATTGTGCCTTTGGTATTTACAGCTCACAGACAAGGAAGAATAACATACTGGGAGGGTGATTTAATTTGGAAGCCTGGCAGACAGGGAAACTGTTAATTATTGAAAGTTGCAACTGTGCTAAATCTGGTGATTTCATCCCACTGTTTGTCAGAAATACGCAGCAAAATTAACTGAAGGCAAACCTGATAAAAAATATGAAAGTTTCTTTCATTGGGGGCCTGATAGGCAACTCTGGTCTTCTCCAAAAGGAAAGTCTGAATGGAAGCACTGCTCAGATGGTGGAATCTAGAGGGGGAAAAAGAGCAAAGATTTCAACAAAACCTCTTCACAGAATCCAACAGGTGCTGTGTTTTGTGACACCAACTGACTGTGAATGCTTTGCAGTTCACCTTCAGTTTTGTGCAAGCCTAATTTCGTATTTCATTCAGAGTTCTTAACTGCATCTCTCTTCTTCCACTGCTCTGTTTGAGAGATCAGGGTGAGAGCTTGCAGAAACAAGAAGGGAAATAATAACACTGTGAGCTGCCAGCAAAACCAAAATATGCTCTAAAGGCAGATCAGATATTCTGTGGCAGACTTCAGCAACAGGCTTGTGAAGGTTTAAAGGAACAAGACAACAGGGGGTTTACAGAGTGATTGTTACCTGTCTAGCTGGAGCTGGATGTACTTCCCAAAGCGGCTGCTGTTGTTATTCCGCAGGGTACACGCGTTGCCTGTGGAATTGCCAGGGACAGAATAATCAGAGTGGTTCCACTCTCCCATGCAGGACATACAGATAGTAAGGGTGATTTGATCCTGTATTTTGAGAGCTTACTTTTAAGGAGAGGACCAAGACATAGCTTGGATTTGTGTGCTAACAAAGAAAATTCCCACAGTGGCCGTTACTGCTTTTTGCTGTTAAAAAAGCCTCATTTACCAAATGCTTCCATGACAGGGTTGGAGTCCAACACTCTCCTCTCTATCCTTTCCACAGTTTCATTGCCTTTTGGGGAGATAACTGAAGCAGCAACAGAGGCATAGAACTTCATGAGGCAGCGAGAGGTCCAGGTCTGCAAGAGAGAGGCTTGACAATAGGGCCTTGTTTTTCCCATGTTATCAGCTGTGTCAGTGAGTGAGCAGTGCTGGCTGCTGGAGACACAGTGTGCAGCTGGTGGGGAGGCTAAAGAGAGGAACTGTGTCAGGCTGATAGCTCTGGTTCAGTGGAAACTCTGTGCCACAGACACATTGAAACGCTGTTGGAGTGGGAGTGCTTTGCTGAATGGCAGTTTCATTGAGATGTCACCATCTGGAAGCTCAGCCAGAATTAACAGCCAGTGTCTTAAGATGAAGGGAATATAAACGGATTTTGAGTCATTAACACCCAGCAAATCAGTTTGTTCTCAGGCTTAAAAATACCCTCAATATTGTCCTGAGCAGGGAAGAAGGGCCCAGGGCAGGCTCTGAACTCTCTGCTCCATCTAAGTCTCTACACAGGGTTTGCTGACACCTACATGAACTCCTGGACAGACCAGGCTGGGGCATCACCTCAGGTGCAGTTCCTGTTGAATGATTCAAACCCAGCCCTCCCAGAAATGACAGATGTCACCTGAAGAGCAGCTATATTAAGCAGAGTGTGTTTAACTGCAGCAATCACTTAATGCTTCACACGTATTTCAAGAGAGTCACACTGGAGCAGACTGGCTACGTGCTCCATCAGAGGGGGTTTTAATTCATCTCTGCTCCTTCAGTGCAACACTCTGCACTACAAATCACTGGCAGATCTCAAAACTTAAGAGCAATGTCATAAAAAAAGAAATTTTCTTACCTTCCCAGCACCACTTTCCCCACTCACAATGATAGACTGGTTCACAGGGTCCATCTGGTTTTGGACGTTTCTGTAGGTTTGCTCAGCCACTGCAAAGATGTGAGGTTTTAAATCCTGGCAGTGAAAGAGAATATTCAGATTTAAGAGAACAGTAATTACACAGTTCAACAGCAATGGATAGTAAAGGTCATCTCACATTTACCTGAAAGCAGTGCTGCTCTTTTCACAGAACTAATATTTCACTAGAAATGGGTTTTAGCTTTTAGGAGTGTTTTGCTCACACAGATTTTGAGGAGCCTGACATCTGGGTTCTGCAGAAGGACAGTTATTTCAGATACAAGCATTACCTGAGGACGAAGTGCAACATGGTACTCTCTCATAAGCTCAGGGGAATAGAGGCAGGAGAAAGGCTGGAATGGATTTAAAGCCACGAGGCTGCAGCCAGCATTGGTGTAAAACAAGTTGACTCTGTATCTTGCTTGAAGACATCTCAGAACTGAAAAATACACCTTCTGTTAGCACCTTTTGCAAAGTGTATTTGATTCATCCTGAGCCTGTTTGGAACAGAAATCCTTCAGGTATGTAACCTATTAGGTTTAACAGAGAATGAGGTGACCAAGAGAGAGAGATTGATCTAATGTACACAACAATGTCTTCAAGAGTTGTCCTTGTTTGTAAAAATCCTAAGGGATCTGCTATTCCATTCAATGAATCCTCTGCTTTTATGGGGTTTCAAACAGTCCTAGAGGGCAAATCTGTTCCCTTGCAGAAAAAACAGGCAAGAACTCCCCATCTCTGCTAGGAACAGGCCTCAGCTGCTTCTAACAGCATCATCTTTAAAAGTTGAGGGAGGAATTTACTTTTTAAGACCAATTTCATGGCTATATTTGGAATCTAAGTTAGAGCTCGTTTTCTGATGTGTTCAGTAACACCAAACTGCAGTGCCAAGGTCCTGCAGGAGTCCTGCAACAGTGTTAACTCACACCTGGCTGCCTGAACCAACACCACCCATGTGAGCTCTGCATGCAGAGCGTGCTAAGTGTGACTTTCAAAGGCTCAGAACAGGCTTTAATAGGCTTTGAATCTTTAACTACTGTGTTCATGGCCCTATTAATGCAATGAGAGCAGGAACTACCCCAGATCAGTAGCCAGGGAAAGTGATTCCTCAGGAGATCCTCCCCTGGCTGCTCCTACCTGTCGTGGTTGTCACTGGATTAACTTTGGTGAGGTCATCAAAAAGGTGCAGTTTCTCTTCATCACTGAGGAAGGCTCTAACTTCTTCTTCAAATGACTCACTGAGGTCATTCTGGATGACAGAGTCTCCTTTTTGGCCGTTTTCCTAGAGGGGGTGTCAGATCAGCACTAGTCAAAGGCTGAATCCAGCTGGACTTTCACCTCATCCACTATTCCAGCTCTTCTACTGCTCCCATGTCCAACTGTGGACCAACACAACTGCAGTTTTCCCAGCAGAGACTTTCATTTTCAGGGTACACACACCACAGCCAGGGGAGAGAAGTGGTGGTTCTGGAAGAGCTGGCCTGCATTGGCTGAAGATTTGTCCCCTTTGAATCACCAAAAATGTTCAAATCTTTCCCTCTGGGCTCCCGTGCCCTTGACAATATTGGCTGGAAGGACACACTTATTGTACAAACATAATGGAAAACTAAGAGAGATTCCAGGTCCTGTTTGTCACTTACAGGGAAAGGAGAGGTTAGATAAGAAAATGAAGAAGATAAGAAAATGAAGAAGGGAATAAATACCCTTAAGGATGTGCTAGGCACCTGCCCTGTTAAAGCCAAGGGCACAACAAAGATCCCTGCCTGCTGTTGGTAGCACAGCTCAAACCCACAGTAAATAGGTCCAGTCAATTCATGAAGTAGGGGTGAATATTTATTAGTTGTTACCTAATCTTGACTGCATGGAAATAAGCCAAGAATTCTTTCCTGGCAGTAAAATTTAATTAGCACACACAGTTCCTGGTTTTCTCTTTACCTGCTTTGGCATCTTGTCCAGGCCTGTGGATGGGAATGCTGGAGAGGAGCCTTACTTTAGGGTACTTCATTCAAATCAGACTGAAGGATGCTTAAATAAGACAAAAAGGCATTTAGAACCAAATAACTCTGGACATGTCAATCTCCAGAGGCAAAGCCCAAAGGCTTCAGACAGAATTACTGATCCCAGTGGGACCAGGCAACACTGGAAGCCTACCCAGACTATCAGTGACGGTCACATGTTCTGCTGCCCCTGCAAATAGAGCTGATTTGGAGAGAATAATGAACCTTTCCTTACATCAGGAATAAAACACTTTGTTTCTCTTGAATTAATAAAGCAAGGTTTCTGGGCAAGAAATTGCAACTTTTTGTTAAATTCCTTCTGTTTGGCCGAATAGGAAGGATTTGTGGTCTGAGGGCATCGGAGGAGCCGCCAGTGCTGTTGGAAAGGCTGTGACTCAGAGAAGTTTGTGCTGCAGCAGAAACGAGATAGGCTGCTGTCCCCTTCCTGCTTCCTCTGGAAAACTGTGGAGCCAACCCAAGGTGAGTCAAGCCCTTTGGATTTCTGTGGTAAACACAGAGATTCCAGTCACAGAGCCAGGAAGAATTCTGTCCTTCCAGCAGCCGAAACTGCCATTACTCCCACTCTATTTCTAATTCTATTTCAAATTCTATTGTAATTTTAATTCTATTCCAATTCTATTATATTATAGTCTATTTTTAATTATATTATATTCCAATTCTACTATACGATATTCTATTTTAATATATAATATTATGTTATAATTCTATTTATCCATGCTATTCTATTCCATTCTATTCTCTATTCCTATTCCTTTCCTTATTCCATTCTTACCTGGCATGAAAACACCACTTAGCGCCACGTTCGACCCCTGAGCTGATGCTCGCAGAGCTCAGGGCACCCCGCGACCCCCATCCCAAATCCCCCCGGTCCATGCCGGTTCCCCAGGAGCGGCCTTTGTGTCCGTGCGGGACCCCGGGGGACGCGGGATCCCTCCCGGCCGCTCCCTGCGGGTGTCGGGAGCCCAAGGTCGCTGCCGCCGGGCCCGGGGCGGGAGCGGGACCGGGGTTGGAGCGGGCGGGCGATCCCGGGGCGGCGATCCCGGGGCGGCGGGAGGCACGGGACGGGATGGGAGGGATAGGATGGGACGGGCCGGGCGGGACGGGACGGAAGGGGCCGGTGCGGGACTTACCGCGGGCGGCAGCGGGGCCGGGCGGCGGCGGGGCAGCGGCGGGCGGAGGAGGCGGAGGCTCGGGCGGGGACTCGGGCGGGGATTCGGGAGCTGCGGAAGCGGCTCCGCTGGCGAAAGTGCGGGCGGCGAGCGCGGCCGGGCTTTACCTGCGGGCCGGGGCGATGCGGGACACACACACGGCCCGGCCCCGGCCCCGCCGCGCTCCGGCCCCCGCCGGTCTGTGCCATCGCCCCCCGGTAAGATCCCGCGGGGAGACAAAACCCGCTGGCTTTGAGCTGTTCATTAACGCTGTGGACGTTTCACGGGTGTTCTCCCGGAGGTGGAGGAGCCGGGCTGGGCTGGGGCTGCCTCAGAGAGGTGCCAGGGGGGGATCTCAGCCGCCAGGTTTGTTGCTGACCTGGCATCGCAAAGTTCCTTAAGGTCGCGTTTTTACATAACTGTTTCATTTACACTATAGAGAAGATGGCAAAATGTGTTCTGCAGAGCGGGACATACAGTAAGATTATTCGCAATGGGAATATTCAGTGGAGTGTCTGGTATTTAGAGACCTTAAGCACATATATATGAAGAATCTTGGAGCACAGCAGGATAGGTAATGCTGGAGCTTGTCCAAGTCTTCCATGTGCCTGTAACTCTGCTCAGCTTCCCAGGCCACTGTTTCTAGCTCGGGGGGTGCTGCTCTGTGTTCTTTAAATTGAAAAGTAACTCAATAACTCCTGAAATCAGTGGTGTTTTAATGAACTGGTACGTAAGATTCCTCTTTTAAGGAGTTCTGACACCCCTGTTCTGTGAATGATCGTGGACCAGAGCAGAACTTAAAGGGTTACCGAAGCAAAGGACATTACCAGAACAGAAGAGAATGTGGCAGAAGGTGGGAGGAAGTGTCTACAAAGGTGAATGGAGCCAAAGGTTGCATGACCCAGAACAAGACAATTGAAGAAAAGAAGAAAGCTGAATAGGTGTAAAGATGAACACTAGTTTGTTAGTAGGTAGAAGTATGCATACTGTAAATTTATAGGGCCAAGTACTGCTTGTTGACAGGTTGAAGATGCTTAGCTCACAAACCAGAAATGAAACTAGTTCCTCTGTGAATAGAGGCTTGAAATAAATAATAAAGGATTCTCTTGCTGACCAGCGAGGGTGTTCGTGCCTCTGTTGCTACACTGTGCTACAAAACTAACTCAAGCTCACATTTGTGTTTTCAGAGGAAGAAAGAAGAATGTCCCAAAAACAGCTGAAGGAAGCCTTTATCAGCAACCTGAACGGAACTAGTTTGCTGGAAATTTCCGTGGGCTTGTCCCTGCCTCCCCTGTGCCTGCTCTGCAGAGGGCTCCTCCTGATTCTGTACCACCTGCACTATGGAAAACCCGTAAGTTCAAGGAAATACAGCCTGCTGCTGGACTTCCTGGTGCTGGTATCTCCTCTGCTCTTCTCCTGCACGGTCTTGTCTCCAGTCCTCTTTCTCGTGCCGGTTATCCTTGCCGCCTTCTGCGCCGGAATATTTTCCAAAATATGCAGCCAGAGAAAGCAGGAGACCAGAGTGCCCTTTGGGCAAATTGTAAAAGAGTTCCAGCAGACGTCCTTGGATCCCGAATACATTCCAGCAATAACCGTGTTCCGTGTCTATGTCAATGTGCTGACAACCATCAGCATTTTGGCCGTGGATTTCCCGCAGTATCCCCGGCGATACGCCAAAGCCGAGACCTACGGCACGGGAGTTATGGATCTGGGGGTCGGAGCTTTCGTCTTTGGCAACGCTCTCGTTTGTCCTGAGGTTCGACAGAAGTCTCACGTGGCACAACCCAAGTTTTCCAACCTGGCCAGGCAGCTCTTTTCCGTTTGGCCCTTGGTTTCCCTCGGCGTGGGGCGACTGCTGAGCGTTAAATCCATAGATTACCACGAACACACGTCGGAGTACGGAGTGCACTGGAATTTCTTCTTTACCTTGGCTTCCGTGAGACTTGCAGCATCTCTGCTTTTAGCCATATTTCCTAAAAATAAGTCTTGGATCGTGGCTCTAACTCTGGCTGCACTTCATCAGCTCATTCTCAACACTACCTCTCTGAAGACGTTTCTCCTGCACGGGAGCAGCGGCAGGGACAGCAGGGTTGGATTTCTGGATGCCAACAGGGAGGGGCTGGTCTCTCTCGTTGGGTATCTGGCCACTTACCTGGCCAGTGTCCAGGTGGGGCTGTGGCTGCTGCAGTGCAGGAGCTCAGTGAAGGGCTGGCTCGGGGCACTGCGTGTCCTGGCCCTGGCAGTCGTGGTGCTGTTCGTGTCCCTCCACGTGTCCCAGGCGCGCGCGGACCCCGTGTCCCGCCGGATGGCCAACCTCTCCTTCTGCCTGTGGGTCGTCGCCCACTCCCTGATGTTATTTATCTTCTTTGTGGCCACTGACCTCACCTTGGTGCTCACAAAGCTGCTGGTGAAGGGCTCCAGCGTGCCCTGCAGCTGGAGCGTTGCGAAGCCCCCTAATTCCAACAAAAAGCTCGGAACGGCGGCCGCGCCGGCGGGAAGGGAGGACGAGCTGCCCCACCCCTGCCTGATCAGTGCTATTAACAAAAACCAGCTGCTGTTTTTCTTGCTGGCAAACGTCATGACCGGTGCTGTGAATATCCTGGTAGATACAATCCACAGCAAGGCTGCCTTTGCACTATGCATATTGCACTTGTACATGTTTGTTAACTGTTTAATTATGTCTATATTGCACGCCAAAAATATAGTATTAAAGTTTTGGTGATTTCCACTCTGAGTGGACTAGTTGGACTTTGCTGTAGTTGAATGGTGGTATATGGAAAAATTAGTATTTTTCCTGCGTGTATTACAAAAATTAGTATTTTTCCTCCCTTTTCCTGTATTGCAATAATTTATAATTTAGTATAGATCTTTATCATTTAGTACTGATTATTTTTTATTGGTCCTCGTTACCAGATTATACAGTCAATGCTGTTACCTGTTGGAAGTTGTTACACGCTTTCCTGAAAACTTAGTTTTTGAGATTGCTGAATATTCCTGCTGCTCCTAGGAGTGAATTGTATTTACAGTTAGTGAACTGTGCTCATACCTAAGGGCTGGTGGAATTAGGTAGCGATGTATGGAGGAGAAGCCAGATGAAAAGTAAGAAAATGAGTAATTATATATAGAGAGAGGCTTAGCTGTGTCAAGATTTACGTAGTTAAGGCCCTTGAATAAATAATAGATAAGAATAATTCTTTATACAAAATATATTGAATAAGTGGATACTTAAAAATATTTTTGGCCCCAGTCCTGCAAAGATTTATGCATATGCTTGACTTTGATGGTAGTAATTGTATGTGGAATGTTAATCACATACCGAAATCTAAATTAGCCTTTGAATTAAAGCTAAATTTTATTTCCATCCTCACTGATGAATACAAATGAAGACCCTGGATAAAGTGTGATGCTCTGAAGGATAAACTCTACTGCACATGAATTTATAAAGCAGTTGTTGGAGGTTGTGGTGCAAATAATAAGAGCAGCACAGAAAATACAAAGATCCCAAACTCATTCACCCCCAACCTGCAGGACCAGCATGTTGTGACAGCTTATCTTTAGGAACTCTGTAAAATAGGGACTTCAGCTTTCAAAGTACTCAGGGCCCACCTACTTGTCTGTAAAATGACTTGAAACAGCAGCTCACTGAATACTGTATTTTGAGAGGAGAGATGTCTTCCAGGGGGAATATTTGGTATTAATTTTTATTAGCAAACAAACAGGGTGCAGGTGGAAAGAAAGGCTATGCAGTGGCAGGGCCTTGACAAGGGATGTGCTCAGTTTCTCTTTCTCAGTCTTCCTGCAAGGCCAGAGCAGAACCCCCTCTTTGTGACAGCTCTTCCTGATCTCATAAGGTTGCCGAGAAGAGAAATATATTTAAAGAGCATGAGGAATTCAATAATGGGATATAAATACTTTAGAATACAGATGGTAGTTGATGATAGATGGCTGATGTCAGTCCAGTTACAGCAGTGCACAGGGGCCATATTTCATATTTCTCCTCTCTATCAATTGTGATGAATCATAAAACCTTTGGAGATTGAGCCTCTAAATCAGATTCCTTGAGGCAGCCATGCTGTAGAAGATTCCTAAACTTGTGAGGTTCTCTTAGCCCCTGGCCAACAGAAGGGTGAAGTCTGAGGATTAAAAGCTGTGGCCATGCTGAGTTCCTGCTTGTTTGCTTCCAAGTGAAATCCAGGTAGTCTCCAGAATTAAAGAGATCCTGGTTTATCCTGGGGACAAATGCAATAATTGGCAACAATGTCTTAGAAACAGTTGTGTGTTTACAGCAGTTTTCTGGTAACTGGTGGATGTATTTATTTTAAAGCACTTTCTAGCCTTGCCTAGGGAAGAAAGGCCTCCCTCATGAACTGAATGGCACTGCTCATTTATGCAAAATTACTCATGGATATTAATTTTTGAAATATTTCAAGCCCAGGCCCTGCAGTGAGTTCTGCCTGTGAGCACAAGCCTGTGGGTGTGATTCAGAACCAAGGCATGAACTGGGTGTGACAGGCAGAGCTGTGTCTGGACAAGCACGAGCTGCCCAGGTGCCAAGTGCTCTGGGTGAAGCAGAAATGCCGTGGGAGGTCTGGGCTGTCTGGGCAGAGCCCTGGGAGCTCCACACAGGCGGGTTTGCAGCACAGCCAGCAATCCAAGGGCATCTGGTTGTGCCAGAGGAGGGTCAGGTTGGACATCAGGAGGAATTTCTTCATGGAAGGGGTCTCCAGGCATTGGGAGGGGCTGCCCAGGGAGGTGGTGGAGTCCCCAGCCCTGGAGGTGTCCGAGGAGCAACTCAGTGCTCTGGGCTGGGTGACAAGGTGGGGATTGGTCACAGGCTGGACTCGATGGTCCTGGAGGTCTTTTCCAACCTGAATAATTCTGTGATTCTGCAAGTCGTTCACCACTGAATTAATGAGGGACAATTAATTCTCATTGCTTATTGTCAATAACAAATGCAGCGAGCTCTGCCCTGAAGTGTGGTTATTAATGCTGAATATTCAGGCCATGAATACAGATAATTACCCAGGCCCCTCAAAGAGCCCAGAGATGCAAGGGAGCATTCTTTGATCCTGGGGTCTGTGGGAGCAAACAGCACTGCAGTGGGGCTGAAAAGATGTGAGCAGTGAACAGTCTGCAGGCACTTTCTCCACACACACACCCCAGAGCTGTCAGCTGGGTGCTGCAACACTGCATTTCACTTCACTCCGGGCTGTGTTTTGACAAGCAACCCCTTACAGATCAAAGATATATTAAAAAAAATCAGAAACTTTTATTTAGTTGTTACATAATTAGTAAAAATTTAAGATATTTCAACTGTGAAATATCTTCAACTGTGAAGATATTTCAACACTGAAATGGTTCACCCATAGTGTGCCACTGACTTCAATAACAGTAAATCAGAGGACTGGGGAAAAAGAAAGTGTTTTGCCTTTGCTGCCATAATTTCACCAAATTACCTTTTTGTAGGGCTGCAAGATGGAAAAAATATGATGAGAGGGCAGAGCTGATTACATTTATCCTTAACCTTTTGTTAAACATTAGTAACTTCTTAACAGATCTCATTATTTTTAAGGATCAGCTCCTTAGCATGCCTTCCCTTTCAACCCGGCACTGTCTCTTTTGAAGTCAGATGTTACAATAAAGATTGCAGGCAGTATCCTATTTCAAAGCCGCGGTGTCCTCGAGAACAGGTATTTCTTCCAGGCAAAGAGGGGCATGCAAATGAAGGCAGGAAGGGGCTGGCTGCCTTTCCACTGCGTTGCAGACAACAAACAAGCTGCGTGTTCCAGCAACGAAAAAAAAATTAAAAATCCATGGATAAAAACTGTATGAAATGCGATGGTGCTTTTCATACGTAAGGTCATCAATGTGCAATCCAATAATGAGAAATTTGGGCACTGCTGTTGATAGGATCCAGCCAGGCTCTGGGAGTGGAGGGGCTCAAGTGACACAGGAACCCACACCCTTGCAAAGAAAGCGTTAAGTTCACCTTGGTTCAGGTTGCTCACAGAGCTCTGGTGTGAGAAATATTCTTTATTATAAAATCCCAGCTTTTCTGCTGCAGAAAAAGATGAAAACACACCGACTGCAAACGCTGCAAGCGCCGTGTTCCCGTTAGAGATGCTGCACGAGGAGCTCGAGTAAATTAACTCCTCCGCTGAACACGGCTTTTATGCAGACACGAGAAAAAAATAACCCAAAATTCCTGCTCCTTAATTACCTCCCCTGCATTTTCTCGTGAGGACTTCAATGTCTATACACACACACACACACGCACGACAAGAACGAACAGATCAGCTGGGTTATTTAATAGCTCGAGAAAGGCGCTGGGTTTGGTGTTTGATTTTTTTATTTTTTTTTTTGGCCGCTTAATTGAGGCAGCCACAGGATTTCGGGCCGGTTGTCCAGGCGCCAGCATCCCTCGGTCGGAGCAGTTCCATCCTGCCCTGCCTGGCCGGGGACCAGGCGCGGAGGGCTCGGGGCTGTTTGGGCTGGGGCGGTGTCTGAGGCGAACTCACAGAACATCCCGGCTCGGAAGGGACCCACAAGGGTCGAATCCGACCGAGGGCTCCCCCAAAACGCCACGGAGCGCCCTGAATTCCGCGCATTTTTGCCCCTCCGCGCCAGGGCAGGACCCTGCCGGGGCCGTTCGCGCCCGCGGTAACGCCCCGTGAGGGGCAACTCGAGGCGGCGGCGGGTTTTAACCCCCCTCCGGGGCTCCCCCCGGGCCTCTCGCCGCCCAAACCGCCGCTCCCGGCGGCCGTTCCGGGCACCGGCCCAGGGGCCGTTCCGGGGCCGCCTCCCCGCGCCCCGCCCGCTCCCCCCGCGCTCGGGCCCGGCCGGTGCCCGCGGGCGGTACCGGGCGGTGCCCGCGGCTCTCGCGAGAGCGGGGCGGGGCGGCCCCGGGGCGGGCGGCAGCGACGAGGAGGCGGCTCCGGAGCCCGCGGTGCCGCCCGCCTGTCACAGCGCCCGGGCCCCGAGCGCCGCCAGCACCCGGTGAGGGCCCGGGGGCCGCGGGCAGCGCCCCCGGCGAGGGGAGGGAAGGGGGGGCCGGGGGGACGGGAACCCGGCCGCCGCGCGGGGCTGCTCCCCGGCACCGGGCGAGGCCGGGCAGCGCCGTTCGGAAGGGGTGGGTGTGCGGCGGGACCGCGGTGCAGCCCCGCGGGGAGGCGGCGGGGCGGGCGCTGGCCGGCGGGGAGGGGCGCCCCGGGGGCAGCGCCGGGCGTTGTGGCGGCTCCCCCTGCCCCGGCCCGGGGTGCGGAGGAGCCGCAGGGCCGCGCCGGGCCGGGCTGGGCGGGTCCCGCCGGCCGCGCTGGGCCGGTGGCGGGCGGGGGGCGGCGGCTCCATCTCCTCCTGGCCCTCCGCTCCCCAGGTCCATGGCCCCCGAGCGCTCCATCACCCCACGGGGCTCCCTCTCCCCCTACCAGTCTCACTCTCTCCCCACCAGGGTCCATTTCCCCCCTGTTGGTCTCCATCCCCCCCAGCTGGGTTCTGTTCTGCCACCGGGTTTCCGTCCCTCTCAGCTGGGCTCCATCTCCCCCCAGCCGGGCTACATGTACCCCACCGAGCTCCATCTCCCCCCGGCTGGCTCCATCCCCCCCAAACGGATCTCCATCTCCCCCCCCGCCCTTCCAGCACCCCCGCTCCCCGCGCCTGGCTTCACCCTCCTTAACTGGGCTCCATCTCCCCCGCTGGTGCTCCATCCCCCCCAGCCGGGTCTCCGTGCCCCCCGTCCGTCCCCCCGTGTCCCGCCGCTCCGTGCCCGTCCGTGCCCCCCGCGGAGCCGCCCGGCGGCCGGGGCGGGCCGGGCCGTGTTGAATCAGGCGATGCGGAGCGCAGGCTGTGTCTGGGTGTGCGTGCGGAGGTGGTGAAAGTGTGGCGGGGGAGCGCGCTGGGTGTTTACTCCGGGGCTGGGCCGCTCGCAGGCAGCAGCAGCAGCAGCACAGCGGGGAGGAGGAGGAGGAGGAAGAAGCGGCAGCAGCGATGGCGCGGCTGGTGGCGGTGTGCCGGGACGGCGAGGAGGAATTCCCCTTCGAGAAGAGGCAGATCCCGCTGTACATCGATGACACGCTCACGGTGAGTGCTCCCCCCCGGGGGCCGCCCCGCGTGTTGCAATGCCCGGGCCGGGCCTTCCCCCCCCGGCCGGGCCGCGCTGGCTCCTCGTTCATCTCGGCGTTTAAACTGCGCTGCCTGTGGCAACTTTGGCTTTATTTTTTTTTTTTTTTTTATCTGATCCGCGGCTCCCGAGGCGGGCAGGCCGCGGAAGAACGAGGGACTCGCTGCCGCGCTGGGGCCTGGGCACAACTTGTGTTGGAGCCACCGGCGTGTGTCGAGCCCAGAGGTGGAGCAAAGCCATTTTCC